CCTGGCTACGGGCCTGTTAATTACTTATATTAAGGTGTACCAAACCCTTGAGACCTTCATTCATCTTCAGAACAGAAATTGAGATATTTTAGATGAACTTCGAGAACTTTCTGTCCATAGATAACGAATTTCCCGATACATTCTGTCCATTAAAAAGGCTAGTTTTGGTGCACAAAATTGTTCTTGGAGCTTCGTATGATTACAGTTGCACTACTGAAGTCACATGAAACGTTATGACAATGTTTTTGGTTTATTTTCTGGACTTATCTATACTCTTGCTGTCTGTGGATACTTGGAGAGCTCTAGGATTTCTTCTAAAATATCACAATTTGTGTTCTGAAGAGAAATGAAAGTCTCAGTGGATTGAAATGGCATGAGGTTGAGTAATTAATAGCAGACTTTTCTTTTTTGGGTGAACTCACCATTAATAATAGGCATATTAATCAAAAATTGGTCCCTAAACTAAAGTGTTGCCAGTCATACTAACAACTGCAATGCCAAATCTTAATTTTCATCACCCTTATGTTGTTTAAAACCAGCTCTGCATTCTTTATTTCAAATATAATGGCATAATTTAATTTTTTCTCTGCTTCAAAGAATGGGCACCATCTGTAATTCCTGTTATTCCATCTAATGAAATTCCTTTATAATCGCTGGCCAGCTCAAATCTGCCATTGAGGAGTCCAAGCTATTTAAAGCCCCATCTCATAATAGGCAAAAGCCTCTCGGGATTGAAGCCCATGTCGCTCTGGTGAAAAGACGTTGGCCCAATGCACTCATCTGAATCCTCACCATTTGTGCAAGGGAATACACTCGGCCCATGGCTCTAGAGTCTGGCAGCCGCGAGTGTGTAGATAGGGCACGGTTCAGAGACCCGCGCTCCATGCCAGCGTCTGTGCCAAACACAGTTCAAAATCACACCCGCTGAGGAGCCCAACCCTCTGACTGCCACTGCAAAAGTGCCCTTCAAGCCTGTGTGTGAGTGTGTGTGTAAATGCTGCCAGGCAGAAAGTGTTGTGTAAAAGGACATCAGCTGCCTTAAGCTTCAGTCACATTAGGACAATTTTAATGAATTTTTTTCTGCAAAGAAATGTTGACCATGAGTGACTTTAGTGTGGTGATTTAGATTGTGATTCAAATTGATTTGTGCACAGAATTAACATCTATATTAATTAAATCTATATTAAATGAATAAAATTAAATCTATATCACAAAATATAACTGTACATCCATCATGCCACAAAGGTTTTCCAGGATTTGAATGTGAATTGTTAATCAGGATAGTGATTTAGACGGTAATCCAAATTCTAAATCCAGATTATGTGAATCTAGATACTGTTTGATCTGGAAATTTCCCTTTGGAACCAGGTTTGAATTGAAATCTTATATTTATATTTATTTTGAATTTTATGAAATAGAATGTTTTTGTTTAAATAATTCTCCCACCTTTTTTCCCTCTACATTATATTGTTACTCCAAATACAAATTTAAATCCAATCCAAACACCAGTTACAATACAAATGTTGCTCTGAATTTAAATTCACTTCTAAATTACATTATATTGTTCCTCCAAATACAAATTTGAATCCAATTCAAAACCAGTTTACAGCCACTGCTCTAAAATTACGTTCACATCTAAAAAAACATGAATTTTCTATGAACATAGATTCAAATCAGATACATTTTGTAACCTGTTTTTTAATTCAGATTTTAAAAATAGATTCAAACAGTTTTATTCAGATTTGTTTTATAAATATTTATTTAGACTGCCTTTTGGGATTTAAAATTTGTTTATATAAATAATTTCTGTACCTTTTTTTTCGCTACATTATATTGTTCATCCAAATACAAATTTGAATCCAATCTGAAAACCAGTTTACAGCCAAATGTTGCTCTGACATTGCATTCACATCTATATTACATTCCATTGTTCATCCAAATTGTAATTTGAATATGTATGAAAATCAAAAACCAGTTTGAATCCAAATTTGTCTCTGAATATGCTTTTGGAACCAATTTTGAATTTTGCTTTTATATTTACATTTAAATTACTGTAAAAACAGATTGTAATCTGATCAGATCAATTTTAAAACCTCTTTTGAATTCAGATTTTAAAAATAGATTCAACATATTTTATTCAGATTGTTTGCTCTAGATATAGAACTCCAGAACAACTTTTTGATCTGCACTGTACATCCTTTTTTTAATCGAGATTCATTTTTGACTCAATATAAACTGTTGTCATTTAAATCCATTTTAGGTCCAGATTGTAATCCTGATTTTTTAAACAAATTGTAAATACTTATTCCAGATTTTATGATTTAGAATGTGTCTTTAAATGATTCCTGAACTTTTATTTCTCTATATTATACTGTTCGTCCAGATCCAAATTTGAATACAATCCAAAACCAGTTTACATCCACATGTTGCTTCAAAATTACATTCACATCTATATTACAATATATTGTTCATCCAAATTGTTATCTGAATATGAATCTGAATCAAAATCCAGTTTGAATCCAAATTTGTCTCTATTTATCCCCTTGGAACCAGTTTTGATTTGAACTTTTTTTGTCATTTAATTTATATTTACATTTAGATTACTGGTAAAAACAAAAAAAATGATTGTAATCCTATTTCATTTTTCTATGAATGTAGACTCATTGTAATTTAGATTCATTTTAAAAATATTTGTCAAGTGTATTAAGATTGTTTGTTCTAGATTTAATATTCTGGAATAACATTTTGATCTGTATTGTATATCCATATTGTAATCGAGATTAATTTTGGACGGAATATAAACTGTTATCATTCAAATACATTTCGGTACCATATTGTAATTTTTGCAGATTTTGAATGTAGATACTAAATATTTATTCTAGATTTTATTATTTAGAATGCATCTATATATATATGTATATATATATATATATATATATATATATATATATATATATATATATATATATATATATATATATATATATATATATATATATATATATATATATATATATAAATCTGGCACCTTTTTTTCTATACATTATATAGGTTATCCAGATTCAAAATTTGAATCCAATCCAAAAACTAGTTAAAATTTAAATGTTGGTTTGAATTTACATTAATATCTATATTACAATATATTGTTCACCCAAACTGCAATTTGAACATGAATCCAAATCAAAAACCAGTTTGAATCCAAATTGGTCTCTGGATATACATTCTGAATATAGACTTGGCAGTTTATGATTCAGATTCTCCTTGATTCCTATAAGGAATTCTGAAACCCGTATTTTTGAGTCATATTAAACATATGAATTTTAGCACAAATACCTTTTACTCTGAATATAGATTCTAAATAAAGATTGTGATCTTCATTTTAAATAGAGATTACAGATTAAATGCTTGTATAGAAGAAGGAAGCACTGCTTACACTGTTAGACATGATAGACATTGTATTACTGCAGTAACTTACTGGCAGCACTGTTGCCATTAAGTTACCGCAACTACCTCTTTACAGTAACTTACCTGTAAATGTATTTTACAGTAGCAGGGCCCTACTACAATTTCATTTTACAGTAAAATAGCCTTACTTATTTTTTTTGTTGTAAAATGTCCTTTACAACATTTTATGTTTACAGTATGACAAATTGTACAGTACGTTTACTGTTTTTATTTTTCTACACTAGCAGTACAACACCTTTATTTTCAGTATTTACTTTTGAACAGGGCGGAGTTGGACTCCATTTCAGCCCTGGAGTTTTAAGCCTTAGACCGGCCCACCTCCGTTCACGACTGACTATATTAAAATAACGTAATTTCCAATTTAGATTCGAATGACAAGTCTTTTTCAAGGAAATAGCTGCTTTAGTGCTTTAAATGTTTTTTTCATAAATATGTGAACATTAAAGGGTAGCTAAATCACCAAATTTATAATTTAAAACATCACAATGTCCTTTCCTGCAATATCTGAGTATATATTCTGTTCAAAATTCTTTATAGATATCCAGTCCTTTGTAACGGTGGTCACACACACAAAAAAAAAAATAAAATAAAAATAAAATATGAACACCTACATAAATAACCCAAACAGTATTATATGTCTCAACACTAAAATATAAAAAAATTTATAATTTACTCAAGTGTGGTTACTAATGTAGTGAATCATCTGATTTTCATTGAGCAGGTGTAATATTCATTAATATTAATTATTCGAATTCTTATATTCACTAATGTGCCGCTGTTTGGGGTCGAATTATAGTTAAGTTACATCATCATTAACCTGCAGGCTGCATTTTGCTCACGTGGCTGCGAGAAAATAAATAAAAAAATGTAATTTTTTTTTTAAAAAGTGCGACTGCTGAGAGTGCAAGCAGCTTGGGACACCGGCCCTCGCGGCCAAAAAACGAACCGGCCCACCAGAAAAAAAATTTCTGGTCCTCCCGATTAGCCAATCCGGGCCTGCTTTTGAATTTAGTAAACTCCAAACAAGTGACTCATTTCTTTCATTTTTGTCCTTAACTACAGTAGTGGTACTTGGTTACTTTTGATTACAGTAGAATACTGCAAATTCCTAATATGCTGTAGGTTAATGTAAAAGCTTTAAAATTACTCACGATGCTTGAATGAATATCAGTATTTTACTGGCTATTTTTTTCTGTAAATAACTGTAAAATTGTGCCAATGTCCAACAATGTATCTATAAGCCAATTTCAAACCAAGCAGCTTTCTGTAAGGCGTTATGTCATATTTGCGCAATGCATAAGTTGCATTAGGAACTTTTTCATAGTCATGCAATTCAGTTTTTTCTGCTGCTTTTTCCCACGGAACACAATTTAAGACCCTGTCAAAACACCATTTTTCCATGTTTCTGTTGTTCCTTCCTAAAATGAGCATGGCGCCAAATGCATGACTTGTTTTAATTCCTTGCTCTAACAACAAGCTGTAAAACTTGTCAAACAGTTGGACTTGTTTTCATGAATTTCTCTTATTACTTCCAGGTGAGGCGTCCCCCTGCAGCGTAAATAACGGAGGGTGTCATGACCTCTGCCTTTTGACCCCTCTTGGTGTGGTAAACTGTTCTTGCCGTGGGGAACGGATATTGCTGGATGATAACAGATGTGTATGTAAGTCCCGTACCCTCTCTCTATATCTATCTCTCATTTTATTGGCCTTTTTTTGGTCACCATCTTACTGTTATATGGCTAAGTCTGTTAGTATTGAGGCTGTCTGTATTCTGGCATATTCCATTGACTAAACTAACCGTGAAGCAGTTTGTTGGCTGACTGGGTCTGAATTAAAATTCAAAGCGTTCTTTCAGATCTGTGGAGTTTCAGGTCTGGAGGCTGATAGCTAAGATAAGGGATAAAACAATCATTTTTTGCACCAATTTGGCCAAGAAATCTAATACTGAAGCTGTGGCGCAACAATATTATTACTTCAGGAATTTAGCTCTTCTATAACTTTTTGTTTAGGTCACAATTAAAGGTGGTTACAAACTAAAAACTAACCCTATTAGCTTAGTAAACTATTAATTATCTTTTTATTACTAGTAAGTAAAGTAAGAATTGGGTTTAGGTTTTGGGTAGGATTAGGAATGCATAACAAGGTTATATTTTACAACTACTAATGAACAGTTAATAGCTCATTAATAGGCAGGTAATAAGTTAGTAGCATGAATTGTGTCCTAAATTAAAGTGTGACCAGTTCTTCTACTTGAGAACTTGGGAAAGTTTCTTTCTGAACTGAATGACCAGATTGGAATCGGAATGGAATCCTTGTTGTTGTTTACATTGTAAAACTAGATTAAGATTTAGATTGATCCAATTTATAATAATAATAATAATAATAATAATAATAATTTTGCTCTGAATTTACACTTTGGAATGATTTAGATTGATTTGGGAGGTAGTTTTGAATTCAAATGTTGCTTTAAATTTAAGTTGTAAAAGCTGGAATGACATTATGATCTAGATTGTACATCTAGATTGTAATCCAGATTAGTTTTGCTTTGAATAATCTCTCATTGTCTAACATTTGCATATTATTTTGGAACAGTTTTAAATTCAAATTTAAAATTCTGAAACCAGATTGTGGCATATAATTTACATGCCCATTCTGATTCAAATTAATTGTGAATTTAGTTTGTAGCTTACAACTTGGACCAATTTTGACTATTTATATATATATATATATATATATATATATATATATATATATATATATATATATATATATATATATATATATATATATATATATAGAATGTTAAATAAAATTTCTGAATGATATGATTCATGTGTATTTTTCTGAATCTATAACTCTGAAAGCAGATTTCGACATATGTTTTGTATATTAAAATTTTTATTGTGAATTCAGATTGTGGCTTATACACTTGGACCAGTTTGAATTCAGTTTTTTTTTCTTAGAATGTTAAATATATGTTCTGGATGATATGATTATTTTTTTTTCTGAACATATACTTCTGAATGAAGATTTTGACATATAATTTAGGATCACACTGTAATTCAAATTAATTGTGAAATCAGATATTGTGTCTTACATTCTTGGACCAGTTTTAAATTCAAATTTTTGTATGAAATAAATTCAAATAAAATTTAAATATAGGTTCTGAAAGAATTTATTTAAATTCTTTTCTGAATATATAATCCTGAAACCAGATTTTCAAGTATAATTTTGCATTCACATTATAATTCAAATTAATTGTAAATTCAGATTGTAGCTTACATTCATGTTGGAACCATTACAGTCTGAATTTTGTTTTACAAATTCCTAATGTGATTCAGATTTCAGCTGCTCTGAAGATAGACTCAAGTCTGAATTAAAATTCAGATTTATTCTGCCTAATAGATTATAGATCCAGACTGTGAATAAGATTTACTGTATCTACTTTGTAGTACATATTTTCTTTACTTTAAATTAAAATTATATGCCAAGAATTGTGTATTTGAATCTGGATTCAGAGTATGATCCATATTATAAATCCAGATTGTGGTTCAGATTTAGTTCCAATGTACATTCTGATTATAATCCCACTTGATTGTGCTGAGTAAAGACTCTAAATTTTGATTGTGAAGCAGTATAAATGTATTTAATATTCAGTTTATGAATGCGTTGCAAAATGAATATAAATGAATACACTGTATATTCACCGTGTGAATTAATTATTTTGAATTACAGTTTAAAGATAAAAATGTCAAAATCTGCTTTTCAGTTAAATATATTCAGAGAAAATCTGAATCCTATAATTTAGAATCTATATTTAAAATGAAGACAAAAACATGAATTCAAGACTGATCCATATTAAAATGTAAGTGGCGATTGTAAATTATAAATTTAGAAAGGGTCTATTTTTAATTTTCAGTTTGAGTTCTGTTCTTACACTTCAAATGTGAATGGCAGATTTGAATCTGGATTCATTAAGATACCTACTGTATCAAAAATAGTTCCAAGTCAAACCAAATGGAACCAAAATATAGATATTAATACTAAAACTTGGAATCTATCAATCTATTTATCTGTCTGTCTGTCTGTCTGTCTGTCTGTCTGTCTGTCTGTCTGTCTGTCCGTCTGTCCGTCCGTCCGTCCGTCCGTCCGTCCATCTATCTATCTATCTCACCAAAGTTAAACAATTCTGCTGTAAATGGGCGCAAAACATGCCGAGTTTGAGTGTAGAATAGTAACGACACTCAGGCCTCTGCTTTTATGGGTGGATTATTGGACTTGTACTGTACTCTGATATATTTTTGTGTCAAAAAATAGCTGGTCTTAGTGCTGCTGATGAAACGGAACAGAACCCAAGCCGCATGATGCAAAGACCAAAGAGAAGCCCTTCTTACTTTTCGACACTTGCTCCTATTGCCACATCTGAGTCTCCTCTGCTGCTGATTATCTGTCAAACAGTCAATGCACATCCCTAATCTTTACTTCAGCACATCACGACTCAGCAAATCTCTCTTTTACTCTCCTCTTCCAGCCCCTAACTCCTCCTGTAACATCCACTCGGAGTTCCAGTGCGGAAACGGCGAATGCATCGATTACCAGCTGACATGTGACGGCATCGCGCACTGCAAAGACAGGTCTGATGAGAAGATGCAGTACTGCGGTAAGAAGCCAATCAGGCAGGGATGTTGTGTTTTGAGCCTGCAGGTTTCAGCTGTAAACTTGAATGAAGGAAGATACAGAAGGTCTCGCTGTTCTCCTGTGACTCGGGCTAATAAGACGGGCTCAGAGCAGCCTAGCAAAAAAAGTAATGAGTGCGAGTGATGTGACAGGCTGACTGCTGCTCTCATTCTCTCTCTCTCTCGCTTTCACTTTCACTGTCTTTCTTTTGTGCTGTCTTTACTTTCACAAGCAGAGTTTCAAACAAAGCATTCTGAGGTCTATCTATCTATCTATCTATCTATCTATCTATCTATCTATCTATCTATCTATCTATCTATCTATCTATCTATCTATCTATCTGTCTGTCTGTCTGTCTGTCTGTCTGTCTGTCTGTCTGTCTGTCTGTCTGTCTGTCTGTCTGTCTGTCTGTCTGTCTGTCTATCAATTATCTATCTATCTATCTATCTATCTATCTATCTATCTATCTATCTATCTATCTATCTATCTATCTATCTATCTATCTATCTATCTATCTATCTATCTATCATCTATCTATCTATCTATCTATCTATCTATCTATCTATCTATCTATCTATCTATCTATCTATCTATCTGTCTGTCTGTCTGTCTGTCTGTCTGTCTGTCTGTCTGTCTGTCTGTCTGTCTGTCTGTCGTCATATCACATTTCACTCTGGCTTTTTAACCTTTATCCATCATTTTATCATTCTATTTAGACCATCCATCAGTCTGACCATCCATCCATCCATCCATCCATCCATCCATCCATCCATCCATCCATCCATCCATCATTTTGTTATACCTTTTATCCATCCATCTATTTTGATCTAACTTCCATATAATTTTCCATCCATCCATCTAGCCAACATTTTATGCCATTAAATTCTTCCTTTCTTCCCTTACTCATCTAATTCATCCATCCATCCACTAATCATCCATCCTTTTCTATACCTTTCATCCATCCATCCATCCATTTTTGCTGTTTAATTTTCCATCCATCCGTCCATCTGTCTGTCCATCCATCCATCCATCCATCCATCCATCCATCCATCCATCCATCCATCCATCCATCCATCCATCCCTCCATTTATTATTTGTTCTACATTTTTTAATTGTATATATTGTGCCTATTATTGCTATGTTATTCAATTCATCCAAGGCCCATCTGTCTTCTGTCTCTTTGTCAATCCTTTGGCTAATTCTTTCCTTTTTCATTCCAGAAAACCGGAACTGCAGACACGGCTTTAAATCTTGTTATAACCAACGCTGTGTGTCCAACCAACGCTTCTGTAATGGTGTGAATGATTGTGGGGATAACTCAGATGAAGTTTACTGTAACAGTGAGTATTTTTTTTTTCAAACACACGAAGTTCAATCTTTGTTTTTGTATTGTTCTTTCCAAATCTCTAGAGAAATTCCATCCATCTGTTAATACTCCTTTGAGTTTTGAACATCTTAATAACCGCATTAAGTTTTAATGCCATACACATCTATAATGTAGACAGCACAAACCACAGATCTCTGCGTCACTGTACTTCACTGAAGGCCAATGAAAGCTGTACTTTTGCCAGCAACGCGGGAATCTGAATGCTTAAATAAACAAATAAAATGAATCTATGTTTAGATCTGTTGTTGTATTTCAAAAACGGTTGTCAATAAAACGTCATTAAACGTTTTCCTTTCCTTTGTCTAAGAATACAACTCACAACTTGCGAAAACAGACAACTTTTCTTGGTTTACTTTGCCTGATTTGTCTGAGTTGTCTGATGTCTGAAGCATTCATTAAAGTTTTCATATAAACAGTTCTGATTTGTTTAAAGTGATGCGACTTCATTCGAAGCATCTACATGTTCTTTAAAGTGGTCTGACTTCATTTATAGCATTTACTTGTTTCTTAAAGTGGTTTGACTTTTATTTAAAGTGTTTACATGTTCTTGGTCTGACTTTATTAAAGCGTTTACATGTTCTTTAAAGTGGTCTGACTTGATTTAAAATGCGTGTTCCTTAAAGTGGTCTGACTTCATTTAAAGCATTTACCTGCTCTTTAAAGTGGTCTGACTTCATTTAAAGAGTTTCCATGTTCTTTAAAGTGGTCTGACTTCATTTAAAGCATTTCCATGTTCTTTAAAGTGGTCTGACTTCATTTAAAGCGTTTCCATGTTCTTTAAAGTGGTCTGACTTCATTTAAAGCATTTCCATGTTCTTTAAAGTGGTCTGACTTCATTTAAAGCGTTTTCATGTTCTTTAAAGTGATCTGACTTCGTTTAAAGCATTTCCATGTTCTTCAAAGTGATCTGACTTCGTTTAAAGCGTTTCCATGTTCTTTAAAGTGGTCTGACTTCATTTAAAGCATTTCCATGTTCTTTAAAGTGATCTGACTTCGTTTAAAGCCTTTCCATGTTGTTTAAAGTGGTCTGACTTCATTTAAAACATTTCCATGTTCTTTAAAGTGGTCTGACTTCATTTAAAGCGTTCCATGTTCTTTAAAGTGGTCTGACTTCATTTAAAGCGTTCCATGTTCTTTAAAGAGGTCTGACTTCATTTAAAGCGTTCCATGTTCTTTAAAGTGGTCTGACTTCATTTAAAGTGTTCCATGTTCTTTAAAGTGGTCTGACTTCATTTAAAGCGTTCCATGTTTTTAAAGAGGTCTGACTTCATTTAAAGCGTTCCATGTTTTTAAAGAGGTCTGACTTCATTTAAAGCGTTCCATGTTCTTTAAAGAGGTCTGACTTCATTTAAAGTGTTCCATGTTCTCTAAAGTGGTCTGACTTCATTTAAAGCATTTCCATGTTCTTTAAAGTGGTCTGACTTCATTTAAAGCGTTTCCATGTTCTTTAAAGTGATCTGACTTCGTTTAAAGCATTTCCATGTTCTTTAAAGTGATCTGACTTCGTTTAAAGCATTTCCATGTTCTTTAAAGTGGTCTGACTTCGTTTAAAGCGTTTCCATGTTCTCTAAAGTGGTCTGACTTCATTTAAAGCATTTCCATGTTCTTTAAAGTGGTCTGACTTCATTTAAAGCGTTTCCATGTTCTTTAAAGTGATCTGACTTCGTTTAAAGCATTTCCATGTTCTTTAAAGTGATCTGACTTCGTTTAAAGCATTTCCATGTTCTTTAAAGTGGTCTGACTTCGTTTATAGCATTTCCATGTTGTTTAAAGTGGTCTGACTTTATTTAAAGCGTTTCCATGTTCTTTAAAGTGGTCTGACTTCATTTAAAGCGTTCCATGTTCTTTAAAGTGGTCTGACTTCATTTAAAGCGTTCCATGTTCTTTAAAGTGGTCTGACTTCATTTAAAGCGTTCCATGTTCTTTAAAGTGGTCTGACTTCATTTAAAGTGTTCCATGTTCTTTAAAGAGGTCTGACTTCATTTAAAGCGTTCCATGTTCTTTAAAGTGGTCTGACTTCATTTAAAGCGTTCCATGTTCTTTAAAGAGGTCTGACTTCATTTAAAGCGTTCCATGTTCTTTAAAGAGGTCTGACTTCATTTAGAGTGTTCCATGTTCTTTAAAGTGGTCTGACTTAATTTAAAGCGTTCCATGTTCTTTAAAGTGGTCTGACTTAATTTAAAGCATTTACATGTTCTTTAAAGTGGTCTGACTTAATTTAAAGCATTTACATGTTCTTTAAAGTGGTCTGACTTCATTTAAAGTGTTTACGTGTTCTTTAAAGTGATCTGACTTCATTTAAAGCGTTCCATGTTCTTTAAAGTGGTCTGACTTCATTTAAACTGTTTACGTGTTCTTTAAAGTGGTTTGACTTGATGTAAAGCGTTTTCGGGTTTTTTAAAGTAGTCTGGCTTCATTTAAAGCGTTTCCGTGTTCTTTATAAGTGGTCTGACTTCATTTAAAACGTTTACATGTCCTTTAAAGTGGTCTGACTTCATTTAAAGTGTTTACGTGTTCTTTAAAGTGGTCTGACGTCATTTAAAGCATTTACATGTTCTGTAAAGTGGTCTAACTTCATTTAAATCATTTGCATGTCCTTTAAAGTGGTCTGGCTTCATTTAAAGCTTTTACATGTTTTTTAAGTGGTCTGGCTTCATTTAAAGCCTTTACATGTTCTTTAAAGTAGGCTGATTTCATTTAAACTGCTTAATTAAATTTTTTTTTTTTATATATATTTCATTTAATGTGTTTTATTTGCTCTAATGTGATCCAACTTCATTTAAAATGTTTTCCTTTTTTATAGTGGTCTGATATTCAAGCATTTTAAGTAGTCTGACTTAACTTATTACATTTTTTGATATGGCAAGACTTAATTTCAAGAATGAAATATGTTTAAATTGGTCTGACTTCATTGATAGTGTTCATACTGGCACCTAAAATAATTTGGAGTTTCTTCAACTATGAAATAATGTGCTCTAACATTTCCCTACGTCCTAAAATATGTGTATTATTTCCCTTTATGGTTTTAGACTCGTCGTGTTTGTCTTCCGAGCACCGCTGTGCCGATGGCTCCTGTATTCCCACATCATCCTGGTGTAATCAGATCATCGATTGCGCTGACGCATCGGACGAGAAGAGCTGTAGTAAGATTAACACATGTGAAGGCGCTAGCCTGTTCTTCTCACTTCTGACAGCGTGCGTTTGCGTGTCACCTAACGTGCGAAACACTCATCTCATTGTCCTCTCCAGATAACACAGACTGCATGGGATACTACAGGCTGGGAGCTCGCGCCAGCAACACTGAGCGCTTCCTGAGCTGCAATTCCACGTCGCTGTGTGTTCATCCCTCCTGGATCTGTGATGGAGCCAATGACTGCGGGGATTACGCAGATGAAACACACTGCCATGGTAGAAATGCATTTGCATTCTTTCTTCCGATTTTGGCTTTGTCTTGTTTGTTTGTTTGTGCTCAAAGTACAAGCGAGGCTCATTTTTTATTATGCGATTCTGGCTACATTTCTGTAAGAATGCTGCATAAATAAACTTATGTTTCAATGCAGTTTTAATGTGAAGTTGATGCTAGGTGTAACAACAAGGGTACTTTTTCACACAAATTATAAATGGAGGAGCAAATAACTGACAAATAAAAGAAACCTATGCTTATTTGTAATGTGTGAAACTCTGAAAATGCAGTTATACACACGTTTCAATACAGATTTTAAGTGGAAACAATACTAAGGGTAGTAAAATAACAACAAGAGTCCTTTTCCACATAAATTATAAATGAAAGAGCAAATTACTGACAGATCGGTGAATCCTATAGGCTTATTCTTGATTTTTGAAACTGTAAAAACGCATTTATACACACATTTCAATGTAGTTAGTAGGTGAAATTAATGCTGGGTGTAGTAAAATACCAGCAACAGTTGTCCTTTTTCATACAAGTTATGAACGGAAGAGCAAATTACTGACAAATAAAAGAAATCTAGGTTTATTCTTAATATGTGAAACTGTAAAAGCACATTTCTACACGCATTTCAATGCACTGTGTAGGTAAAATGAACATCAGAAAGCAGTAAAAACGAACAATGATTGATTGTTTACCATAAAATCTAATTAGATATTTCCGTAAGGTTATTGGTTCCATACTATATAAAAACCTCAAAATACCTTAACATTGATCAATATTTGTAAACAAATGCATTCTGTCAGGCACCTATCGGCAAATGAACAATTTTTCTGATGTAAATCTGGTGTAGTTCATTCACCTGGTAGCTCACAATATGCAATATCATACATACTTAAAAAAAAAAAAAAAAAAAAGCAGCGCCCTCTTGTGGACATTTTATAAGAAAAGTGCAGCGAGACCTACCGGGAGGAACGTATTTCAGGTTATGCAATAATGTAAATAAATTAATTTATCAAGAATGAGCCTGGGTTATCACAGTAAAATGTTGTCACTTTAAGAATGAAAAGTAGCATTGGGAACAAAGGGATTTTTTTATTCGTTTGCACTGGTGGTTTTTTAATGAAGCTCTGAAGTATGGACTCTTTTTTTTTTTTAACTCAATCTTGGTGAGTCCTGCCAAATATTTGACAGTAATATGCTTCGATATTTATTATATGAGTAAAAGGCCCGGGTCCTTCTGAGAATATTTAATGACTTAAGTCCTTTTTGCTGAAACTCGGGAGGATGATGAGGATGTTTGTTTTTTTTTATTATTTATTTATTTATTTATTTATTTATTTATTTATTTAGTTTTTTTCCCATTTCACTGCTGATTGTTTTATTAAAACATTCAGCCTGAATTGTGTAATATAATAATAATATTAATAATAATAATAATAATAATAATAATAATAATAATAATAATAATAATAACAATAACAATAATAATATGTTAATAAGTAATAAAAACTAAAATATATTATGATTAATAATAATAATAATAATAATAATAGTTATAAAAGTAATAAAAATTACAATAATAGTAATAATAATAATAATAATAAATATAATAATATTCATTCATTCATTCAGGGTTGTCACAGTGGAATGCATCGCCAACTTTTTTTCTATTTTTAATTACTATTTCATAAATGTAAAAAAAATTAATATTTTACAATATATGTGTATATTTTACAAAAAAAATGTATTACCCTTTAAAAAAATACTAAAATAAACCCTTTTTTGAAGCATTTGCAAAGTAACAAATATAAACCATACCCTCAGTGCTCTGTTTCTGTAGTAAATTAGCATCTTAATACGTTAAACACAGCATGATTTAATAAAAATCAGTGCCTTGGTACAATAAAGTATATTAAAACGCCATGTATGATATTCATAGGAACTTCTCTGGAAGTAAACATTACAAAAAATGTTTACGCAAGTGTTAACTAACATAGCACTGATTCTCTGAGTGCTTTTCCCGAAAAAGTGCATCTTCCAGAAATTACCTACACTGTAAAAAAATGCTGGCTGCCTTAATTTTCTAAGCCGAGTTAAATTAATCGTATCAGTCCATTTAACTTATATTATGTTAAAGTGACTTAAAACAGCTTGTGTAACTTATAAAATTAAGTTAGAACATGATAAACTTAGTTTAATAAAGTTACAATGAACTAAAAACATGCTGTCATTACTAATTGATTTTTACAGTGTCCAAACCTTCATTAAAAAAAAAAAAAAAACATGAAGAGGATTCAACTCCTGACCTCTACTTCGGTTACTCCAATCTTTTAATAAAATAAAATAACTCCGATATTTACTTCTCTTTTCCTTCAAGGAGCTGTTGCGAGTTCAAAATGACCTTGATATGCTCAAGTCAGAAATCAAAGAAAAAAAATAAATCCACAGATAACAAATTGCAGTCGAGGTGGACATTCAGAGGTCACACCATTGATTTGTTTACAGTGTGTTTTCATCCTGTTTTTCAAATGCTGAAGAAACAAGCTTCACTTCAGACAGATCGTTTTTCCACAGGTCTCCTTTAAACCCTCCATTTTTTTTTTCTTTTCCAGCTTCTGCAGTCCATACGTGTGAAGACGGTCATTTTGCTTGTCCCAGTGGAAACTGTATCTCCAGCGTCTGGTTGTGCGATGGACAGAAAGACTGTGAGGACGGAGCTGACGAGTTTCAGTGCGGTGAGCAATGCCATAATACGTGTCAAATTTTTTTGTACTATTATTTAGCACCATTTTAAAAAATGCATTAAAAACTTAAATCGTAAATCATTTTACAGCATGCATTTAATAATAATTTTCATATCTATTGTTGTTTTTTTTTACATTTCTGTGATTTAAAGTTGAATTTTGAGCATCATTTATTTATTTTTTTCTTGACTAAACATTTTACAAAGCAAAATCGTTACTAATAAAGCTGATGGAAAAAAAAACATAAACATTTACATTAAGAAAGTGTCTCAATGCAAATACACTCACTGGCCACTTTATTAGGTACACCTATCCAACTGCTCGTTAACCCAAATTTTTAATCAGCCAATCACAGGCATGTGCACACATAGGGCTCAACCTGTGCAGTGCACATGCCCTTTTTAGTCTTGGATATAAAGTGCCCTTCCAAAATGATCAAAAGTGCCCCCGCGACGTGACACACCCTCCGTCCCGCCCTACTGTAGGCGCGCGACAACACCGCTCTTGAGTACGCGCGCTCAACCCACCCCCCTATCCCCGCTTTACAGTACGCGCGCGACAACACAGCTGATCAGAACGCGCGCAACAACACCGCTCTTCAGTACGCGCGCGACAACAACAACACCCCCCCACCACCGCTCTTCAAAAAATGTATCCTGCACATGCCCTTTGGACGGTCTCTGCACGGGCCTGGCCAATCACATAGCAGCAACTCAATGCATTTAGGCATTTAGATATGGTCAAGACGATCTGCTCCAGTTCAAAACGAGCACCAGAATGGGGAAAGGTGATTCGCGCCATGTCATAAATCATCTCCGAATGGTTTCTTGAACATGACAATGAGTTCACTGTACTCAAATGGCCTCCACAGTCACCAGATCTCAATCCAATAGAGCACCTTTGGGATGCAATGGAACGGGAAATTCGCATCATGGATGTGCAGCCATCAAATCCGCAGCAACTGTGTGATGCTATCATGCCAATATGGACCAAAATCTCTGAGGAATATTTCCAGTACCTTGTTAAATCTATGCCACAAAGGATTAAGGCAGTACTGGAGGCAAAAGGGGGTCAAACCCTGTAAGGTGTACCTAATAAAGTGCCGTTGGATATATAACAATTTATGTATCAGTATAAAACACAATATATTCCAGTTATATTTAACATGAGAATTTTATTTCGGTATATTTTGGATGTCTCAAAAACTGCTTTGGAAATACTTTTTTGTCGAAATAAGGGAAACACATTTATGTATGAAAATGGCTCAAAAGCAAATTTCAGTTTTGATACATAAAAAATCACGAGATTTCTTTTTTACCGTTTATCAGTAAAAGACTAGTTAGATGGAAACAAAAGGCTTTTTTTTTTTTTTTTTTTACAAATTTATGTTGTTAATATTATATAATAATACATTTTGGAAAAATTGGATGTGAACTTGGATAGGGTCACATGATCCTACAGAAATATCAGTCTAATATGATGACCTGCTGCTCAAGAAACATTTATTAAAATTATTATTAACAGTCTTGAACATTGTTGTGCTGCTTCATTTTTTTTTTAATGGAATACAGTACCTTTCGAAAACACCATTCAGAATACATTGATTTTTATTTATCAATGACACAGAATTAAACTGAAGAGATTTACTAAAATGTAAAAAAGATTTGAATTTAAATAAATGCTGTTATTTAAAAATCTTTAAAAATTTAAATATATTACAATGTCTGCAAACAGTATGACGCAAAAAAAAAAAATCATACATTTTTAAAGGATTAGTTTGCTTTCTTTAATAAAAACTCTATAAAAATTAAGGGAACTTTTCATTCAAAACATTAATTTCTTTCTTTCTATAAATATATAGTATGTACATTTTAATTTATGTTATAAAAAAGTTTATAGATTTGCTTTATAAGACTAAGATAAAAAATCCTGTAATCCTTATTTATTTATTCATTTATTTATTTATTTATTCATTTATTTATTGAAGATAGAAATGATTCAAACAAACTAGTTCATTTATGATTAAACACCGATAATAACTAATCATAATAAAACAGCAAGTCATCATAATTTCTGAAAGATCGTGTAACCTGAAAATACAGCTTTGAATAACTAGATTAAATTACATAATAAACTAAGTTCAATAGTGTAAACATTATGCTAAATTATAATAATATTTCAAAATGTAAGCTTTTTGTTGGATTTTCTTCTTTTATCAGTGTTTTGAGGCCTCTGTGAGCAGATAAGGCTTATTTTAAATGCACACAAAAAAATCGTACTGATCACAAACGTACTGTAGTGCAGATTTATCAACTAATCATGTCTGCCGGACAGATTCTGCACTCAATATGTCATCCTAATGAATGTATTCATGTCTGAAGACTTTATTTATCTTCTAGTCACGCTCCGTCGCCTATATTAGTGTGTAAGTGCTGTTTTGCTTTATTGATCCACTTGTCACGGTTAGTATGTGGTAAGTGGTAAATGTGCGAGTTTAGCTGCCTGACATTCCTGGCCTAACAGAGTTATGGATATCAAAAAGTTAGGCCAGATTTCTTCTCAGCTGTTTACCTGTTTAAAAATCAAGACACAATCTTTTTATTTTATTTTTTATTTTTTATGTTTGGTAATCAGTTTTATGTGCCAGCATATTAGTCAAGCTTATCTCCAACTCAGGCTAAAATATAATATAATATAATATAATAATAATATAATATAATATAATATAATATAATATAATATAATATAATATAATATAATATAATATAAAATAACATAATATAATATAATAAAATATAATATAATATAAAATAAATCTGACTTTCATTAATTTTCTTGTCCTTTTTATTTTCTTAAATCTCACATTTGAACTTTTGTTGTTTTTTGCATTTTTAATTAGGACTTCATTCCTTGTAATCATGACATTATTTCTATAGTTTATGTATCCCCAATTGTGATCCCTTTTTTTCCATGTAATTAGCACTTTATATCTACAAATTTTTTACTTTTATTTCGATATTGCTTCTATATCTCGCAATACAAATCTGCATCTCATAACATGATCTTTGTTTCTATAATTAAGACTATATTTCTAGCAGTTAGCAAATGTATGTGAATTTATATTTCATTATCTTGACTTTTTTATATATAATTGCTGTGCTTTATCTTATTTGCACACAATTAGACAGTTTTGCTTTATATTTTGTTACGTGACTTTATTTTGTCCAGAAATATGACTTGTTCTTTCAGAATACGTGAATATATATCTCCCATGTTCACATAATGTGCATAAGTCCACTAAAAACAGACACTGGTGGTTTATTACATAATAGCTCAATTTATAATACCAGCCCAGACAATATATTACTTAAAACTATTAAAGTAAAATTGTCAATAACAGTCATTTCAGTGTTAAACATTGCTGAAGGAAAGATTAAGATCCCACAATGCAGTTCAAAAGCATGGCAAAAACACCAATGAATCCCAAAATAAATGTAAGATTATGTTAATTTACAGATATTATTACAGTTAAAGGATTGATCAACAGTTTACAGTGTGTTAAAGGTTTTTATAAACACAACATTGAGGCAAAGAAACCATTGATTATACCACTTATTTCAGGTATAAACAAGTTAAATCCATGGCTGTGCTGTACTATGGCACTATTTTAACAAGTTTTCATCAGTTATGATGTGTTTAAATCTCCCAACTGTAAACCCATCACAGACAGACAGAAAAGAAAGAGAGTTTTCGAGATATAGATCAATAGAACATGTGTGTGTGTGTGTGTGTGTGTAAATGACCTGGGCATATATAATAGCTCATAGTAACATGCGTAAGCTACTTTTTCCGCATTTTTTTATTTACTACAGTATGTTTGAGTTGGAGATGGAGGTTGTTCTCCATTAGCTCTTTAGTGAAGCACGCGTCACTGTCTTCTGTTACTATGGTTACTACTAATGATGGATGGAAGCGCAGCATTTATTTTGAACCATGATCAAAACTGACTGGAACTAGCTCTGCATTAAATGACAGCCAATCATATATCTGCTGCGTAAAATATATGCTGGAAAAGTTGGGGGTTCATTCGGCTGTGGTGACCCCAGATTAATAAAGGGATTAAGCCGAAAAGAAAATGAATAAATATATATATATATATATATATATATATATATATATATATATGTATGTGTGTGTGTGTGTGTGTGTGTGTGTGTGTGTGTGTGTGTGTGTCTATGCGTGCGTGTGTCTGTGTGTGCGAGCGTGCGTCTGTCAATCCATGTTTGCTAGAGTGTGTGTGTGTGCGTGCAATAATACGAATGTGTGTGCTTATGTCTGTCTGTGTGTGCGTGCATTTGTCCGTGTAAACGTGCCTTTATTCGTGCGTGTGTCTGTGTGTGCGTGCGAATGTGCATGTGTCCGTGCGTGCATCTGTTCGTATGAACTTGCGTGTATCAGTGCATGAGTACATGCTTTGAAACGTGTGTGTGTCTGACTGTCTGTGTATGCGTGCGCGTGTCTGTGCATGCATCTGTGTGTCCATGCGTGCTGCCTTTTTTATGACATAAAATCTAACTTTCTCCAAGGTGAAAACAATAACAAATATAGTCGTACATATAGAATTCTCTCTCTCTATTCTTCCCCTTATGAATTTCGTTCTTTTCTGCAGTGGATTTTTTGATGTTGTTGTTGTTTTTAGACTCTTCTCAAGGTAAACAATGGCAAGATCTTCTAGAATACAGTAGCTTCAGACGCTGATGTGTTATTCCCTCCACATCTTACAGTAATGCACTGCATAGTTATTAATCCTGCACACAGCGATATTTCTTCTCCATCTCTCTGATACTCATCTACAGAGAGCAGACCTGTAAAGTTCTAGAAAGTTCTGCTGTCCTGCTGCGACCAAATCACATCTCTGCTTCAGGCTGGACCCCATAGCAAGAATCCTTTTGCTTTCGCTTCAAAGCATCAGGTTCTGAACAGGACCTCTGATCTGCCAAATAAACCCTCCCTGTATAGTCCGCACAGCTCTGGACTGCTGCATGCCCTCATAGTCACTGACCCAAAATCAGAAATAATACGGATTTATTTCCGTGTCTTTGATCTCGACCAGTGCATCGAAGCTATTTCACTTTTCGCTTTGCTAACTTGTGCTTTTGAAACTTTCTTTATGGCTATTTTTTTAAGAAGGACCCTAAAGTTTAGCATTTTTTCAATGATTTAAAAGAAGTTTATTCTGTTCACCAAGGATAACGAAAAGTTTAACTAAGGGTTAACATATGGTTAAATAATAAGGTTGCACTACAAATACAAATAGTGAAAATCGAGTGAGAGGTACATGTGGCTTTGTTTTTTATTTTGAATCCATTATAAAAATAATGTTGAAATAATGCCATTTTAGACAGGACCACTTTTGGCAAGTTAGGATGCATTGAGTGCCAAATTTATATTTGGCAGTATAGTTTCTAATTAGAGTTCTCGCTTCATGGTTATTAGCACATACAACAGTTCTGCTTTAACCCCCAGAGCCATAAGCTAGGCAAATACAGGAGATAAGGATTAAATTGGGTTGTATTATAAAGAATTAGTGTAGATCCAGGAACGGCTTTGCTGTAGCTTGCTGTGGAAAATGTCTGTCCTTCACCAGCGAGGTCTGTATTGGCTAGAACTTGAGGGCTTGGTAATCTGAAATGAGAGGAAATGACAGCCAGAAGGTGCACAAGTATATAAAGGGAGGGTTGCGAGCAGTTTGAGTGCACTTACCTGAGCTCTATGCCATGTACTATATATATATATATATATATATATATATATATATATATGTAGATATAGATAGATAGATAGATAGATAGATAGATAGATAGATAGATAGATAGATAGATAGATAGATAGATAGATATTATATATATTTTATTTTATTTATTCAATAATAATAACAACAATAATAATTATTATATGTTATTTTTAAAATTTTATTTTTTAAATGTACCTCTTCTAAACATTTTTATGCCCAAAGATAAATATATGAATAAAAAGATCAACATGTCAATAAATGATAATAATAATAATAATAATAATAATAATAATAATAATAATAATAATAATAATAATAAATAATCATCACAATAATATATATATTGTGTAATATATATATTGTGATAATATGTCGCTGGTTCGAGCCTCGGCTGGGTCTGTTGGCATTTCTGTGTGGAGTTTGTATGTTCTCCCAGTGTTTACGTGGGTTTTCTCTGGGTGCATTGGTTACCCCCACAAGTCCAAAGACGTTTATTATAGGTGAATTGGGTATAAGCTAAAATTGTCCATAGTAAATGAGTGTGTATGGATGTTTCCCAGTGATGGGTTGAAGCTGGAAGGGCATCCATTGCGTAAAACAAATGCTGGATAAGTTGGCCGTTCATTCTGCTGTGGCGACGCCAGATTAATAAAGTGACTAACCCTAAAAGAAAATGAATGAATAATAATAATAACAATAATAATAATAATAATAATAATAATTATTATTATTATTATTATTATAATTATAGCTGATGTGATAAATAAAGGTAAACATAGTTAAATTATACTTTTTAATAGCATTGTATTATTCAATAATAGGAATTAGCCTGGCAGTTTTCAGCACAGATGATAGTAAAAAATGTTTTTCAAGCAGCAGAACTGATCTAACATAATACAGACTGATGTAACTGAAAATTCAACATTAAATTCCTCAAATAAATTATGCTACATTCGATAGTAAGATAGCAATTTTAATCTACAATACTATTTCAAAATTTTGATTGTAGTTTTTGATCAAATAAATGCAGCCTTGGTGATCACAACACAACTTTTTCCAAATCTTTCTTATCCCAAACTCCTTTTTTTTTCAACCCTTTCTCTTCCTGACCTTGCTTTCTCTATCCTGTTCAACGAAATCGATGGTGAATGCAAGCAAACAAACTTTCAGACTGCTGATAGAGGCATATTCTGTGGCCCTTTGGTGGCTGGTGTGCGTATGCAAGTGGACAATTACTTTAAAAGTGCTGGCTAGCAGGATTGCCTTCCAAAAGTTGAATCTCTAATCCCGACAAGGGCAAAAAAGGGCTTTTAGAGGCCACCTTTATCACTTGCTGAACTCCATTTGCCGTTCACAAGCCAACTGGGAACTAGTGAAATGTATTCATGGAGGTTTTTCTCTTTTATTTGGCTTGTTGTTAAGGCTAAATGCTTTTCTTGTTTTCCGCCAAAATGGAAATTCTGTTATTATTTATTCGCCCTTGCGTTGTTCTAAGTTTGTATGGCTTTTTTTTTTTTTTTTTTTTTTGGATTACAATAAAATATTTTATGTGTTTTACATTATATTGGTACCTTTCTGTTTGGAAAAGAGCCTAATGAATATGTTTAAAATATTATATTTTGTTTTGTATGAAAGTATTGAACTCATGACAGAATAACAATTTCAATTTAATGTATGGAATGTAATGAATTATGTAAAGGTTTTAATAAATGAAAGGAATATATAATGTCTGTTAAGTTTTGTGAAATATAAATCTTTAATTATTATTTCAAACCAGCTGAACTAAAGTCAAAGTGATTTGAAACAATACAGTAAATGCATTGTATTTCTAAAAAGTTTTTTTATTTTTTATTATTTATTGTTTATTATTTATTATTTATTATTATTTATACTTATACAAAAGTCTTGTCATTAATCCCAGTTGTAAGAGCAACAACTAATTACTTGATTTCTAATTAATCATTTGGAAAAGTGTCAGAAGGTGGATTTTTCCGATGAATCATTTGTAGAACTGCATCCCAATCATCACAAATACGACAGAAAGACCAATTGAAACCCACATAGACTCGAGATTCCCATAGAAATTAGTCAAGTTTGGTGAAGGAAAAATCATGGTTTGGGGTTACATTCAGTATGGGGGTGTGCGACAGATCTGCAGAGTGGATGACAACATCAACAGCCAGAGGAATCAAGACATTTGTGCTGCCTGTTACATTACAAACCTCAAAAGAGGTTTAAAAGCAAAGGTCAAAGTGCTCTAGAAATAGCCAGCCCAGTCATCAGATATAAACATTATTGAGCATATCTGGGGTAAGATAAAAGAGGAGGCATTGAAGATGAATCCAAATTGTCTTTATGAACTCTGAAAGTCCTCCAAGAATGCTTTCTTTGCCATTTCAGATGACTTTTTTAATAAGTTATTTGAGTCATTGCAGAGATGTACAGATGCAGTCCTTCAAGCTAATGGGAGTCATACACAATATTATTATTTTTTCCACTGCAACGTGATTTTATATTCTATACTGTACATAATTTCTGTTAAGTGACAAGACTTTTGTCTAAGCAAAGTCAGACCTTACTGGCTTAATTAAATAATTAAAAGGCATGATCATATTTTATTTTGGTAAAATAAACAATCTAGATGCCTTTGGCTTTTATATAAGCCATATGTACATATGTTATATTATACAAATCACATGAAATTTGTGTTCCAAGGAAAACATGAATGCCATACAAGTAACCATGTCAGATTATTTAATATAAAAACTTAAGGCAAAGTAGTTCAAAACCTAAATGATGACATAATAAAATATAAAATGTTTACCTTACAAATTATAATGCTGTCCAGGCTTTTTACTGGTAGAGTTCACATATATTTTTTAAATGTTATAATCTTTTTTTCCAGAAAAAAAATTAAATAAAATAATAATTGAAACATAATGTCAACATATTCAGTGAATACTACAACTACTTCTACTACTAATACTACTACTGCTACTACTACTACTACTACTACTACTACTACTACTACTACTAATAATAATAATAATAATAATAATACATGTATTTATTTATGTTTATTTATGTATACTTTTATAAATAGATAGTGAACACCATGCTATAAAATGCATGAAAATAAAATTAAATAAAATTTATTAATTTTACATTGTGGTCTAGGAGAAGACAATGAAAGCCGTACAAGTTATAATATTATATGATATAAGAACTAAAGTCAAAGTGGTTCAAGACAACACAGTAAAACAGAATCTTTTTTTTTTTTTCCACTCACATGTACTGTTCCTTTAAATGTCAGTTTGCTTTCTCTTGGGTTCATTTTCAAAGTTCATCCGTTTCCCTGCAGATTCGTCGTGTCTCTGGAATCAGTTCGCCTGCTCCAAGAACAAGTGCATCTCCAAACAATGGCTGTGTGACGGTGAAGACGACTGCGGCGACGGACTGGACGAAAGCCAGGAAATCTGCGGTAAAACTTCTGCATTTGGGCCACACAATGAACGACTATCTCTGAGAGGAAGAATATAAATCAACATGAGAGAAGCGAGAGGAAAAATTGGCCTGCGGTTTCATCATAGTTGCGAATTTATGGCCATGCAGAACTCTTAACAAATGGACTCTGAAAGAAAATATTAAAGGGCACATATTTTAGCCCTTTTTTGAGATTTAATAGTAATATTATGGTTCTTCTGAGTGTGCTAATGTAGGTTCAGATTAAAACGCAATTCAGATATTGTTATTATGCTGTGTTAAAAAGTGTAAATTTAGAGGCGTGTACACAGGTTGCTGTTTTGGGGTGTGTTGTTTAACATGATAATGAGTTTTGACTGCCCGCCCAACGTAACAAGGGGGCGGAGCCAAGAGCGCGTCTGCTTTGTGCACCGCGTCACAGAGGCAGACAGTAAGAGTCATCATGAGTGAGAGGAACACAATTCAACCCTACATATTTGACACAGACTCGGACACAGATCAAGCAGAGTCGACTGTTGAGGAATCTATAATCCGAATGTGCCAGAATGTGTCAGAGTGGTACATACAAAATATTTTATGTCGTTGTATACTTTTTCAGCCGCTATGTAACTATGCATGCGCCATCCGTAATTTGTTTGATAAAGTTCGCGAACGTCATGCGTTACGTCAAACAGACAATACATAAAGATATCTACAAAGATAAATTTTGCATTGGTATGATTTATTCGTAATTCATGAATATTGACGTTGACAAATATTGGCAGGTGCTCATGTGGCAATTGTGAAAAAATGCCAACTGAGGCTGAAAATGTATGCTGCTGGGAGATACCGCAGGTAAATTTCCAGTTTACGTTGCTGCTCTAAAGACATCGAATGAGATAATAAACAGCATAACTGTGTCGTGTAATAAGGTTAGAAGACGAATGGATCAACTAGAATTGCAACCCTCGTGCATGACGGAGCATCCAGGAATGGATCCCGTTTGCTTCAATATTTATTCCTTGCAAAATGCATCGAATATATACAAAGCAGACTATGGTCCCCTGCGACTTCGTGGAGTGCAAAAGTGAGTTTAAATAAATAGAAAGAATAGCAGGTTACCTTGTTCATGATCTGCATGCTCGCTTTCTTTTTAAGCACATTAACGCTGTGTAGTCAATAAAATAGCGATAAAGTTGGTTTTATATCCGCACATACAGGAGTCCCTGTATTGTTTACCATGGTAGTTTAAACAATCGATCGGATTTAGCATGCAAGTATGACTTGTAAACAACATTAACACTATCTACTTGACTGTAAACAATGTTGTACTTTGTCATTTGCTGCTAATACGATTTCCCTATTTTGAATTTGCAAAGAATACTTTACAGAAATGATACTATTAAGGAGAATGTCCGAAAATCTGAATATAAAAACCAACTTTACCTCAATGTCAATAAAAATGAAATACGTACCTTTTTTGTTGCTGCTATTTCTGAGATGACAATTTGAATGACTTCATAAAAGGCTGAGTAATGCATGTACTTTTTATTGAAAAATAATTTTAATTTCACTAAACATTAATATATAAACTCTTAAAATATATAAAAATCAGTATGGCATAGAAACAAACACTTCAGAAAAGATGCTTCAATTCCTTAGTCATATAAAAACTTTATATTGAAGTATAAATTAAAATGTGATTGGCAAATATAAAATGTATCCTTGTGCAAATATAAAATATAAACTTCAAGTTGTCACTTTGTTGAATGAAATACAATTGTCCATGAACATTAGAAAGTACAGTATATCTACAAACACATAAACATATCAAACATTGGCAGTTGAATAAACAAAATATTACTTCTGAAATGTTGTTAAAGCTAGTTATTTTATCAAAAATAAAAATGTATATGTGATAACTCCCAAGTTCAAATTGTAGTGCAATTTCTAAAACAATGTTTCATTATTATGTCTCTGTTAGACAGTGCCGCTTTTTGGCTTATCGGAGCTTTGCGAGCTGGTGTTGGGGTTTCCTCGGGCGGAGAGTCCGTGTTGTGATTCCTGCCTGTGTGGTGCTGAAGATTCGGAGACAGTTTCCTGAAGAGCAGGGCAGCTATGTGGGTTTTAGGATAGCTATTGATTGAAGCGGGTCACCCTGCTGGAGATAGCCTCCTCCATCTCAGGTAGATCGCAGGCTGATGATAGAGCAGGTGGTATGTGAATTCCCAACACTTCATCAACATAGGGTGATGGGTCCACAAACACTTGGTTGAAGATGAGGTCCAGCAGCTCTTTTACATAACCTGTGCAATATAACAGTTATCTCTTTAGTAACTTAATTTTGTATTTTGGAGTAGTGAGTTGTCATTGTGAATGTAAAGTGCAATTATTTTTTTTATTTATTGAATTATTAAAAATACTATAAACATTTATATACATACCGAAAGTTTGCTGTGTCTTCACTTCTCGGACCCTATACTCTCTTTGCCTTTGGAAAGGCAAGCTTGTAAATAGGTTTACCAGTTGCTGATGTGGCCTGGGGACGCCCGGCATTTTCATTGTAATGCAGTGCAGCCAAGTACAACCTAACAAAAAGAAAAATGTAAATGACGTACCATGACAAGACTGTATGGTATTGTAAATATTAATTTCTGATCATTGGCTTTACCTGCATAGCATCCCCAGAAATGGGAATACCACATTTTTGGGTGTAAACCGCAGTAGGACGCTGTGGAAAGCTTCAACAGTTGACGTCTGGTGGTGAGGACTTAGCTTGGCCACATCCTTCAATATTCTCTTGTTAGCGAGAACTTTCTCCAGCTTGTAGAATGGCATCGTTGCTAAACAAGCAAAAATTTAAGGTATTAGAGTCTGAATCAAAAACAAATCTGAACAAAGAAACAAGCTCTGTTTTGCATTAGTTTTAATCGCAAAGAATATTTTATTTGTCTGTATACAACTTACCAGCCGACAGCCATTTGTTCTTGTCTCTGCTTATCCGTTGCGGATGCAGATAAGCCGGAAAATTGGGGTCTTCATGTACATGTTTGTCTTGTACATGGTTTAAGATAGAGGTCCACTTTGCCACTCTTTCAGGACCTGTTGTGGATGATGCAGCAGTCCAGTAGATGTGGTTTTTGATGCTACGCAACCATTTACGCAACTTCTCACACCCCTTTATCTGGCATATCTTGTCCAGTTTTTTGGAAATTCCTGGAAATTAAAGAAAAAAAAAGACATCAACACAAAAATAATAATAAACATGTAAGAACTGTAAATAGCAATTTAATCTTAAGTAAATTAATAACTGCTAAATTACACACCTTTCTCGATATGCCACACATCGTAAAACTGAGTGACATTTCGATCCCTGAGATATTTCTGTATTTGAGGATGTCGGTCTGTGATGATGCATTCCAGACGAACACCGCGGGCATCCAACAGGTCTAGGCTTCTCTTTAGGCCTTCTTTTTCCATATGGTAACTGCCGCCCACCTCATTACTCTATAAAATTTTAAATAAGGAAAAAAATATATATATAAAAAAAAAATCACACATTTTCCATCCAAAAAATTATGCTAGTTCACATAACACTTTTCTGTATTACCTGGACTAACTTTAGGTCGACCACTGTGTTAGTTGCAAGGTCCATCATTGTATAACTCCCATACTTGGCCGAGTGACCTTCAAGAACAAACCGTACATAATTATTTCAAACACATTTTTGGAATAATTGTAATGTATTTCATATTTATTTTTTTTATTAGACTGTATTGAATTAGAAATGTAATCTTTTGACTAAATACCTGGGGAGTCAGCCCTCTTATCTCCTCCAACAATCACATTCTCTCTTCGACTGAGCTGTTCTAGCATTTCACTCTGCCAATTTCTCCACTTGTGGACAATAGCAGGTTCAATGCAAAGTCTTGCATGACAACGAAATGAATCATATTTAAAAATGTGTAGTTTCATGGCAGCAAATACCTGACAACAGAGAGGAGAATTTTTAGTACAATGTGCATGCACCCTGTGACAAAATTTATATTATGTTTCTAAAAGAAATGTGATAAATTTTGATAGATAATTACCTTTTCAACTACAAAAAATTATGCACCACTCAAGTAGACTGCAGCAGAAAGATGCAGGTTGCTAGCTGGAGTACTACCAATAATTGGCTGACTGTTCCATTTTCTTACAAACTCGCAGTGTGGGCAGACTTGCTGTACGCTCAGAAATGTCCCAAGCCTTTGTGACTTTACATCACATCTCCTTTGACACACTGGGAAGTCACTGAAGAGCTCCATGAGGCATGTTTCATAGACAATGAACTTGGCAATGTTATGAACTGGGCATTCTTGGATTCTGTAAAAATAAATATACACATGTACATAATAAAAAAAAAATGATGATGAATGTTATGATGACAATACACAATCTTTCAAATAATTTACATAATGCATAAACTCACGACAAGTCTGTTGGTTCAGTTGCAGATGTGCATTCCTCTGCAGGGTCAAATCTCATATCCGAGTCTTGGGCTATAATTTTTGACTCTGTCAAAGTCTCTTCGGCTTCTTCTTCTTCCTCCTTCTCCTCCTCCAGCTCCAGACGAGGTCTTTTTAGTGAAGGTTTGAGGGGTGTCGAAGTCATAAACGCAGTAGAGGATGCTGATGGTACAGTCAGTTCAAAACTGGATACTGTTGTCTGGACACCTATAGTGTAATTTTATGATTAATCTCATTGCACGTTTATGAAGATAATAAAACACGTTTCTAATGCAGCAACTTAAAATAAACTGAGAAATTTTAACTTACTTGTACTCCTGCGTTTAGCCTGAAGCGTCCTAAAAGACAACTGGGTACCAACACTGTGTAAAGATGTGTGAAATGGTTCTGTCTGGCAACAAACATCCACCTTGTTGCTCTTTGTCGGCGTCGTGGCCTTTGTAAGAAAACATAATTTTTTTAAAATGACCTTTATTTGATTAAAACATACCGATCTTATTGTAAACAACTGCAGACCACGTGCAAGTACAGTGAAAAAAATTTCAACAAACATCCCACATACAAAACAAACTTTAGCTGTAACTTAGTCAGTGGTAATGCTTTATTACAATGTTTAATTTTTTCTACCGTTTCTGTTTCTGATGGCTAAAACCCCTTTATGGACACATTAACAATTAAAGCTTCGAGTATTTAGACTGTTTTAGAAAAGCACAATAGCTGTAAACGCGCAAACATCCGAAGTAGCTTTAGCCGCAGATGCTATTCATTTCTGCTTAACATTACAGTATACACATTACAACAAACATCCCACATAAACAAACTTTAGCTGTAGCCAGTACTGGTTACTGCTTTATTACAATGTTTATATTTTTCTACGGTTTCTGTTTCTAATGGCTAAAAGCCCTTCTTGTACACACTACCACTTATAGCTTCGATTATTTAGATTGTTTTAGAAAAGCATAATAGCAGTAAACACGTGCAAACAAACATCCGAAGCAACTTTGGCTGCTTTTAACTTTTAGATGCTATTCATTTCGGCTTACCATTACAGTACAACAAACATTTAACAACAACAAACTTTAGCTGTAACGTTAGCCAGTGGTACTGCTTTTTACAATGTTGCTATTTTTCTACGGTTTCTGTTTCTAATGGCTAAACCCCCTTCATGTACACACTACCATTTGCAGCTTCGAGTATTTAGACTGTTTTTGAAAAGCACAATAAGAGGTAAACACTTGCAAACAAACATCCGAAGCTACTTTAGCCGCAGATGCTATTCATCGGCTTATCATAATTAGAATGCTAAGGCTAGAAGTACATAAAATGTAATACTTACTTGAAGTGAGGCAGGATCACGTATTGTAGGAACTGATCCAGTTTTCAAAAACAATTTACTCGCGAATCCGGAGTTGTATTGTCCCGCGTTCTCGAGGCAGTCTACGCTAAAGTGGTTAGCGCAAACATACAACAGTTTTGGTACATTTTCAGGCACCTTGTCTTCAAAGATAAAACTCAGCCACTTAAGCCTCTGTTGCTCATTTGCAGGAAGACGGTGAAGGCTCTTGTGCTGAGCCTTACATCCTAAAATAGCACAAGGGTGTTCTCTCGGTGGCATCGCTTCGACGTTCACGCTGATAATGGCGGAAACGGCAAACTCAGGATATGTTAATACGCGCAGCTGTCAATCAATTCGGTGGGCGGGGGGAATCGCACACCTACGTAATGGTGCGATCGATTTCAAAACAGCTCCAATTGGCCGACCCTTTTTTTTGTAGTGAAATTGAAAAAAAAGGACTGGGTGTGTTCATATCACCCCAGTATGATGGTCTATACACTATACCAACACACAGATCTGTCCAAACAGCTTGAAAAGTAGATTTTTTACAATAGGTGCCCTTTAAATAAATAAACAAAACGCTTAGGTTTCACAGAGGTCAAACACAAGCAGTTTGTTAAATGCATTCTCAGGACAAAACTTAAGGCAAGGCACTGCAGGTGAATAGGGTAAAAAAAAAAAAAAAAAAAAAAAAAACACAAAATATTATAGAAAATGATATGTACATAGTGGTGTGAAAGGATTTTAACTGATTTCCACCTTACTGATTTCTTACTTGTTGCATGTTTTTTGAACTTTACATTTCAGATCAGCAAAAACATTTAAATATTATTAAGGGAAAACAAAATCCAAAACTACATAGCTCTGTGCCTAATAACAACATAGCAACAACTGCAATTAAGTGTCTTCAATAACTTGCAATAAGTCTGTAATAGACTGAGTTAGGGTTAGTTTAAATTGTGATTCATCCACATTGGAGGGTTTTCGAGCATGAACCTTCTTTTTAAGATCATACCACAGCATCTCAATTGGATACAGGTCAGGACTCTGACTAGGCCACTCCAAAGTCTTCATTTTGTTTTTCTTCAGTCATTCAGAAGTGGACTTGCTGTTGTGCTTTGGGTCATTGTGCTGCACCATTGTTCGCTTCAGCTTGAGCTCATTAACAGATGGCTGGACATGTAACTTCAGGATATTTTGGTAAACAGCAGTATTTATGGTTCTATTTATCACAGCAAGTCTTCCAGGTCCTGAAGCAGCAAAACAACCACAGACCATCACACAACCACACAGTATTTTACTGTTTTTATAATTTTCCTTTTCTGAAATGCGTTGTTAGTTTTACGCCACACATAATGAGACACACATCTTCCAAAAAGTTTAAAAATCCAACATGGGGATCACCAACATGTTTTCGGGCAAAACTGAGATAAGACTTTGTTCTTTTTGCTTACGAGTGGTTTTGGTCTTGTATCTCTGCCATTCTTACCATTTTTTGCCCATTTTTTTTCTTATGGAGTCATGAACACTCACCTTAACTGAGGCAAGTGAGGCCTGCAGTTCTTTGGTTGTTGTTGCGGGGTCTATTTTGACCTGTTGGATGAGTTGCCACAACTCCTGAGAAGGTTGTCCACTGTTCCATGATTTTGCTATTGGTAGATAATGGCTCTAACGCTGGTTTGCTGCAGTCCCAAAGCTTTAGACATGTCTTTATAACCTTTTCCAGACTAGTTAATCTCAAGAATTTTCTTTCTCATTTGTTTATGAATTACTTTTAATCCCGGCATGTCTAGCTTTTGAGGATCTTTTGGTTTACTTCACTTTGTCAAACAGGACATATTTAAGGGATTTTATTGTGAACAGGTGTGGTAGTAATCAAACCAGGTCAGAGAAATTGAACTCTAGAGTAATTTAGAGCTAAGTTATGTTTCAACATGGTCCAAACACCTTTTTTACACAGGGCTGTGTAGTTTTGAATTTTTTCCTTTAATAATAAAAACCTTCATTTAAAAAAAAAAAAAAAAAATCATGATATGTTTACTTGTGTTATCCTGTCTAATATTTACATTTGTTTGATGATCTAAAACATTAAAGTGTGACAAGCATGCAATGAAATTAGAAATCAGTAAGGCGGCAAACATATTTCCACACCACTGTATGTGTGTGTGTGTGTGAAAATGTCTACTTAAAGTTAAACATTTCCAATCATTTAATAATCGTCATGCTGTCCATTTCTCATTTATTTTGAGAACTTGTTTAGTGACCTACAGAACATTTTCAAACACATGAGACTGAGATTTGTCTTGATCTTTCCAGGTTCTGCATCATGTTCTCCAGGATTGTTCAGTTGTCCGGGATCGTACGCATGTGTGTCAAGGAACTGGTTGTGTGACGGAGAGAGAGACTGTCCTGACGGCAGTGATGAACTGGCACTCGCTGGATGTGGTACGTTAAACCACTTTGGATAAAAGCGTCTGCTAAACGACTAAATGTAAAATGTAAATGTAAACCATCATGGTTCTTGTCACAAAACCAGCTACTTCCTTTTATGGCTGGTTTCAGATGTAGAAATCAATGTTTTTATTTACATTATGTTGTTGTTTTTTTTTTTTTTTTTTTTTAGCGCATACTTTGTTTTCATTGTTTTATTCTTTATTTAAAGACTGTTTTGCTACAGTTAGTAAAATAGTCATGTAAATACAGGCATGTTATTTGTGTGTTTAATTTATTTTATTTTATTTTATTTTATTTTATTTTATTTTATTTTATTTTATTTTATTTTATTTTATTTTATTTTATTTTATTTTATTTTATTTTATTTTATTACTGATTGACTGAATCTCAATCCCAGTTTTAAGAGCAACAAATAATAACTTGGCTTCTAGTTGATCATTTGGAAAGTGGCAGAAGGTTGATTTTTCCTATGAATCATCTGTTGAACTGCATCCCAATCATCACAAATACTGCAGAAGAACCCGCATGGACCCAAAATTCTTAGAAAAATCAGTCAAGTTTGGTGAAGGAGAAATCATGATTTGGGGTTACATTTAGTATGGGGGTGTGCGAGAGATCTGCAGAGTGGATAGAAACATCAACAGCCTGAGTTATGAAGACATTTGGCATTGAAGATGAACCCAAAGAATCTTGGTGAACTCTTGGAGTCCTGCGAGAACACTTTCTTTGGCTGATTTATTCCATCACTTTACAGAATATCTTCCTCTGTGCTTAAAATAAGTAAAAGGACAATTTTTTGGGTGAACTATTGCTATAAGGTGCCAATTCTACCCAAAGTCTCTTTGTTTCATCTGCTATCAGACCCACAACCAAAATACTTTGACATAGGTCTCTATTATATGCTACTATTGTAATCCTGACACACATAACTAACTACGTGCTTCTTCCTTTTCCTGTCTTTAATAAGCTCCCAACAACACGTGTACCGACAGCACGTTTCAGTGCCGAAACCAGAACTGCATCCCTCGCCGGTTCGTCTGCGATCATGATGACGACTGCGGAGACGCTTCAGACGAGTCGCTGGAATGCGGTCAGTGCTCATTAGTTTCTCTGCAAAATGACCAGCCCCTTTGCATTCCACATTAATGGCTAGTAATTATGTTGGCACAGCTTTTATTGGACGTTTCATTGGTTGGAGAGTGTCCACAAATCCAAGAATAAACACACAAGCTCATACTAGCTGCAATCAGCTTTTAGATTAATACTCTCTATGAGAAGGGCCAGACAGAGGCCCAATCCCAATTCTACCCCTTAGTCCTTCCCCTTACCCTTACCCCTCGTTTTGCTTGTTCATGCCTAGGGATTCTTTTACTAAAGGAGGGGGGGGCAATTTGTTTGTGTATGAATCCCCTTCATGAACGACTTGTTCACTTTGCCAACAATAATCCAAGTTTCTGTCACCGCAACATCTTGTTGTCATATTTTATTTACATTATTTGCTGATTTTATTCAACCAAAATAGCATAAGCCTAATATTTAATGTGAGTTGGTGCCACCTTGCCTATGGTCAGGGCAGTAAGAGACTCTATTATCATCAATAACACTTTTTTAGCACAAAAGTTCATAACATACAAAAACATAAAAAATGAAATCTTACCTATGAAATGTTCTGCCTTTATGCTTTGTTTTCTTTGTTTGTTTACTACTATATCTGTACACTGCAAAAAATGCTTTTCTTGCTTAGATTTTTTGTCTTGTTTTTAGTCCAAATATCTAAAATTTCTTATATCAAGAAGCATTTTCTAGACAAGCAAAACATATTGTCTTGTTTTGAGAAATAATATGCCAATATTAAGTGAGTTTTTCCTTAAAACAAGCAAAATAATCTGCCAATGGGGTGAGCAAATTAATCTTGTTTTTTTCTTTTGACGTAAGATTATTTTGCTTACCCCATTGGCAGATTATTTTGCTTGTTTTAAGGAATAACTCAAGTGGTGCTCGCTGCAGAGCCATTTGAGGAGAGCTGAGCTCCAGCAAGGGGGAGCTTAAGCTTGAGCTCCACCTTTTTTGCACTTCTTCTACGAGTGATGTCACTGGGGGTAGGGTTAGGGGTGGGGTTGTTGTACGCATTAAAACAGCTTACAGGAGGAGGAGCGACAGCTCATGCTCCCCCTCGCTGGAGCTCAGCTCTCCTCAAATGGCTCTGCAGCGAGCACCCTCTCGAATAACTCACTTAATATTAGCATATTATATCTTAAAACATGACAATATGTTTTGCTTGTCTAGAAAATTCCTCTTGATTTAGGAAGTTTTAGATTTTTGGACTAGAAACAAGACAAAAAATCTAGTAAGAAAAGCATTTTTTGCAGTGTACATAGCACTAAAGTCCAACATCTTCAGATTGGGTTTAGTCTTGACTAGTGAGGCTGAATGACATTTGTCCTGGGATTGACACATACTCAGGGTCTGTATGCAATATCTAGTACATATATCTTTGGGCGGGAGAGGGTTTGAAATATGGGAGACTCCTGGGAAAAATGGGAGTGTTGGCAGGTGTGTATTGAGTGCAAATTTTATATTTCAAAATTGTGACTTTGCATATGTCTTTTTGACTTTGTCACTCTTCACCACAGTTTTAAACTGTACAATTTTGACTTTACACTGCAAAATGTCACTATTTTGTTTCTCAAAATGACTTATTTTTCATGCAATTTTGGTATATCTCGCGATGGGGCTATTGACTGATGTAGCATCAGCATTACCTCTTTCATCCTCTCTTTTCTCTCCAGAGTACCGTTTATGCAAAGAGGAGGAGTTTCGCTGCGCAGATGGGCGGTGTTTGCTGAGAGCCCAATGGGAATGTGATGGTTTCCCTGACTGTCAGGACCAATCAGACGAGCTGCCACTCAACCCAAAGTGCTCCGCTGCAGGCGAGTCCCTCTCACATGTCTCCGCCCCTGTTTGACTGACAGGTCCCAGGGCTTTGTCCCATATGGGATTTGTCAGAACACCTGGTCCTCCCCGTCTGCATCTTGTACCCCTGCCAGTAGCTCCTGAAGTGGGCAGAGATGGGCTGATGAGTCCGCTGCATCTCCCTTCTTCAGTTTTTGGCTTCAGGGGCAAGCATATGCCAATAATGTTAACAGATGCCTTTACTGTTCCCAGCCAAGCTCGTTGAGAAACAGTTTTATGGTTATATTTCTATGGGGAAATTAAAGTCAGATGTTTACAGCATGTTTACAGTGTTACTTTACAACACTAATAAGGCTAGACTTTGGGAGGCAACCATCTAGCAAACAAGCAGAACACCCTAGAATATCGATAGCAATATGATTTAGAAACAGCATAACAATCTACCACTCATAAATAATAGCCACACTACCTTAGGAACTGCATAGCATCATGTACCTCCCCAAACATGCCAAAAAGAAATTCTCAGAACACCCTAGCAACCTTACAACATTATGTTAATCATTGCCCCAAATCAAATATACCAAAAAAAAAAAAAAAAAAAACACACTCAGAACACCATAGCAACAATGTGGCAAAATGTCAAAGCACCCTAATAACTGCACAAACTTTTGAACCACCAGCCGAAAAACAAAGATTCAAAACACATAGCAGCATGCCAAAAACACTTAAACCACCCTAGCAACTGTACAACAACTGTCACGGTCGGGTGAGAGGAAAAGGAGCGAGGACTCAAGTGCAGCAATAATGGGTTTTTATTAATAATAAAATAAAAACAAAAAGACGAAACAAACAACCCCGAGGGGGAAAAATCTAATAAAACAAATAAACGAACAAACAAACTTGACTGGACTGGCAGGACAAGGCAGGGCTAGACAACAGGAAAGGGAACTATCGATGACGAACTGGCAAAGGACTGAAAACATGAGGGGGATTATAAAGCAAAAAGTAAATTGACACACAGGTGAACATGACAAACTAATAATGAGTTCACAAGGAGGGTGGGACTAGACAATAGACGGGAGAGCGCATGACACAGAGAGACAACACAAGCCATGCGCTCACATTAAACAGGACAAGAACATGCAGCCAATGAGAGAACTCATTAACCGCATGTTCATGACAAGCACAACGCTGAAGCACACGACAAAAGCACGTGACCACAATGTAAACACCGAGCCACGTGCTTTGACAAAAGGCGCAAGACACAAGCGCACGATAGATAAACACCTTACCGTGCGCTCACACATAAGCAACTCGCATGCTTCATCCCAGCGCCAACCAAAACTGAAACCAACTAGACGGAGGCGCCGAGAATAAAGCAGCGCGATGCTGACAGAACAAACACAAACACTAGTACAAGAGCGCGCGCGTCTGAGGGACACAGAGCGCGCGCGGCCACATAAAGCAGCAGCACGCACACTCTGCGTACACCCACGACGGCGGGCGCGCACAGAGACAGAAACAGGACCAGACATGGGTAGTGTCAGAGCTCTGCCACCACCAAAACAAGAATTTACAAGACCAGAGTGGCAGAACCCTGACAACAACGTGTTTAACCCCAGCCCCAAAACCAAATAAAACAAAACACCCAGAAAACTCTAGCAACTAACATCCATAGACAAAACATCCATAGCATCAGAGCAACTACATAGCAACATGCCAAAGACACTTAGGACACCCTAGCAACCACACAACAGCTGAGATGTGGCAAAGAGAAAACATTCATAGCACCATAGCAACTACATAGCAACATGCCAAAGACACTCAGGACACCTTAGCAACCACACAACAGCTGAGATGTGGCAAAGAGAAAACATCCAACCCCTGCCCCAAAACCAAATAAAACAAAACACCCAGAAAACTCTAGCAACTACATAGCAACATGACAAAAACACACAAGACAGCCTAGCAACCATACAGCAATATGGAAAAGATATATTGTAAACAGTCAGAACACTATAGCAACTGCATAGCAACATCTCAAAAACAAGAACACCCTAGAAACCATACCACATGTTAAACCCCTCTCCCAAATTCAAATTAAATGTGGCAAAACACCATAGCAACTGCAGAACAATGTGTTAAATCACAAACCCAAATGGAATGGACAAGACATGCCAAAAACACCCAGGACACCCTAGCAACCACACAACAAATAAGATGTGGCAAAGTGAAAACACTCAGAGCACCATAACAACTACATTGCAACATGACAATACACTCATAGCACCAAAGCAACTGCATTACAACTCAGGACACCCTAACAACCACACAGCAAATGAGATGTGGCAAAGACAAAACATCCATAGCATCAGAGCAACTACATAGCAACATGCCAAAGACACTCAGGACACCCTAGCAACCACACAACAGCTGAGATGTGGCAAAAAGAAAACATTCATAGCACCATAGCAACTACATAGCAACATGCCAAAGACACTCAGGACACCTTAGCAACTACACAACAGCTGAGATGTGGCAAAGAGAAAACATCCATAGCACCATAGCAACATAGCAAAGTGCCAAAAACACACAGGACACGCTAGCAACCACACAACAATTGAGATGTGTCAAGGACAAAACATGCATAGCTCCATAGCAACAAACACTCGGGACACCCTAGCAACCACACAACAGATGAGATGTGGCAAAGGCAAAACACTCATAGCTCCATAGCAACAAACACTCAGAACACCCTAGCAACCACACAACAAATGAGATGTGGCAAATACAAAACACTCATTACTTTATAGCAACAAACACTCAGGACACCCTAGCAACCACACAAGAAATGAGATGTGGCAAAGACAAAACCACTCATAGCTCCATAGCAATAAACACTCAGGACACCCTAGCAACCACACAACAAATGAGATGTGGCAAAGACAAAACACTCATAGCTCCATAGCAACAAACACTCAGGACACCCTAGCAACGACAGAACAAATGAGATGTGGCAAAGACAAAACACTCATTACTTTATAGCAACAAACACTCAGGACACCCTAGCAACCACACAAGAAATGAGATGTGGCAAAGACAAAACCACTCATAGCTCCATAGCAATAAACACTCAGGACACCCTAGCAACCACACAACCAATGAGATGTGGCAAAGCCAAAACACTCATAGTTCCATAGCAATAAACACTCAGGACACCCTAGCAACCACAGAACAAATGAGATGTGGCAAAGACAAAACACTCATAGCTCCATAGCAACAAACACTCAGGACACACCAGCAACAACAGAACAAATGAGATGTGGCAAAGACAAAACACTCATAGCTCCATAGCAACAAACACTCAGGACAACCTAGCAACCACACAACAAATGAGATGTGCCAAAGACAAAACCACTCATAGCTCCATAGCAATAAACACTCAGGACACCCTAGCAACCACACAAATGAGAAGTGGCAAAGACAAAACACTCATAGCTCCATAGCAACAAACACTCAGAACACCCTAGCAACCACACAACAAATGAGATGTGGCAAAGACAAAATCACTCATAGCTCCATAGAAACAAACATTCCGGACACCCTAGTAACCACACAACAAATAAGTTGTGGCAAAGACAACACTTATGGCACCAACAACTACACTACAACATGACAAAACATTTGTAGCATCATAGCAATTACAATGCCAAAAACACTCAGAACACCCTAGCAGCTACACAACATGCCCAAACATAAATGAAATGCAACCGCACAAAAATCTTATATCCTCTTAAACTCAAATTAAATTTGACAAACAACAATTAGAACACCCTAGCTACTATATAGAAACCCCCCAATCCAGTGAAGCATGCCTTTTTCTTGGGAAGAATTATAAACACTGTATAACATCCGAGCCACCACTAAGCCATCTAATGGTTGTGTCCATCTGTGTCTCCTGTTTTCTTCTCGCTGCTCCATGTTTTAGAAAGTTTGTGCAACGGTACGGTTTTCATGTGTGCAAACGGCCGCTGCGTTCCGCTGGGGAGCGTGTGTAACCAGCACGACGACTGCGGGGACCGGTCTGATGAGAGGAACTGCCATGTTAATGAGTGTTTAAACCGGAAAGTCAGCGGCTGCACCCAGGACTGTCAAGACCTACCCGTGGGATACAAGGTGTGTGTGTGTGTGTGTGTGTGTGTGTGTGTGTGTGTGTGTGTGTGTGTGTGTGTGTGTGTGTGTTTGAGAGCACATTTGTCATGCTCTGCAAGGTTTTTCTTTGCTTAAATTAAGTGTCTGGTTCAACTTGAGTTCCATCCATGGCTGAAGAGTTCCATGTATGGAGGGAAGATATGAAACTCTGACTCGTGGATGTGAAGAAATGTTTTTGTTTTTCCAACAAATCTTTATGCTAACCTTATTAGCAGGCTTTAGCGGCTACGACAACATTGGAAAAGTCTGTGCAAACAAATTCGACGTAATGAAGTGCATTTTACATTCCACAGAGGTTTATAGTTTTAGCCTTAGATCTGTGGGAAATGTCATGATTACATTCCCCGTTATTTTAAAAACTTGAACCATTGAATTTATAAACAACATGCTAAAAACATCAGAAAAATGCTAAAAAGTCAGTTGTGAGAATTCATTTCAGGGGGAATGCGACAGTATATACCAATCATTGCTAGACCTCATTAGCATGTGAGTCTATTGGAAAAGTCTCTGCTAACATCTTGTTTAATGTCATAAAATCGTTGTTTTGTTTGTGTTTTTTTTTTACATTCCACACAGGTATATAGTACTTAAAAAAAGAAATCTGCCGAACATGTTATGATAACTTAAAAGTGATCTTTAAACGATCATTTTGTTTGTCAAAAATTCTTTGTATTTAGTTTTAGCTACAAATCTGTGGAAAATGTTATAATCGCGTTTACATTTTTTGTTTGTTTGTTTTAACATTGATAACATTTAACAATGTAAATGTTTGATGTCGTAGCATAAATATTTATAATAATTGGTAAAAAAAAAAATTGGTTAAAAGTGTTATGATAACTGAAAACATAACTTGAATTTAAAACTGAATTTACGTTTTTGGTTGTTTGTTTGTATAAGTAAATGTAAATAACATTGTTTTTTAAGTTCTACAGAGGTATATATAATATTTGGGGGAAAAAATCGGAAATGTTATAAAAAAGGAAAATGTCATTTATTTATTATTTTTTATTTTACTACACGAAAATTTGGTGAATCCCCATTTTGCAGTTTTATCACCAAATCGATGGAAATTGTTATGATCAAATTTACGTTTTTATTTGTTTGTTTGTTTGTTTGCTTTAAAAAATAAACAAATGTAAATGTGATCTTGTTTGATATCTTAATATTCATTTTTACATTCCACAGAGGTATATAATACATGGTGAAAACTGAAAAAGCAGAAAACTGGAAATGTAATTTATACAATAATTCTTGTTTGTGAAAAATTCAGTCAATCCCTACCTTTTAGTTTTAGCAACAAATCTGGGGAAAATGTTGAGATCGAATTAAAATTTTATTTTTTTTAATTTTTTTTAGTTTTTTTTTTGCCTTTTTTAACCTTTTTTATCATTGACTATATAAACAGCTGTAAATACGATCTTGTTTGATCATGCATTTTTTAATACCACAAAAGTATATACTGTAGTATCTGGCAAAACAATCTATCAAAAATGTTATTATAATTGAAAACAGAAAATTACTTTAACTTAGAAATTTTCATCGGCCAAAAATTCAGTCCATCTCTACTTTTTGGTTTTAGCAACAAATCTAAGGAAAATGTTATGATCACATTTATGTTTTTTTTTTTTTAAGTAACTGTAAATGCAATATAGTTTGATTGCATAAAATGTATTTTTACATTCCATAGAGGAATACAATACTGGATACATCTGAAAATGTCATTTATACGATAATTTTATTTGGCAGAAAAATTCGATCAATTTTTGTTTTATCGCCAAATCTATGATAGTTGTTATGAACAAATTTACATTTTTGCTTGTTTGCTTGATCTTTGACTGTTTAAATGGCTGTAAATACAACCTTGTTTGATGTCATAACATGCATTTTTACATTTTTACAGAGGTATATAGTACTTGGCTAAAAATGTTACGATAACAGAAAACTGAAAATGTTAGTTATGCGATAATTTTCATTGTTTGACAAATTCTGTTAATCCCTACATTTAGTTTTTATCACCAAATCTGTGGAAAATGTTATGATCAATTTTTGGTTTGTTTGCTTTCTTTTTATCATTCTTTTTCTTTTTATCTTCGAAAATGTTATGGTTACCAAAAATTCCATTTATACTATAATGTTAAATAATTTTTATCAGCTAAAACATTTACGGCATCCCTACTCTTTAGTCAAAGCAACAAATCTAAAATGTTAAGATCACTTTATTTATTTATTTATTTATTTAGTTTTGATTGTTTGTTTATTTTAATAACAATTAAAATCTTTGATTGTATAAGCTAACATTTAGAATTTTTTGCATTTTAAAAAGCCATTTGAGGTAGTGAACGACGATTAAATTTAATTTAATAACAAGCCATTTTACATTTTGCATTTTTAGACCCTAAAACTTGTTATTTTAAATTAAGACATGCAACAAACGTTTGAAATAAACTGGCCATCCTTACCTGTTGTTTTGCTATCAATCTGCGCTAAAGCTCTCAAGTCTGCAGAACATGTCATGTATGAAACACACTTGTTCTAAAATGCATATGCTAGCTATTTATCATTTAAGAAAATTTGTTGAGTTGGTACGAAGAAAAAGGAATGCGACAGTACAAATAAATATATATAATAAAGGTTTTGCTTTTCCAACAAATTTTTGCTAAACATCATTAGCATGCTTTAGTGGCTTAGAAAATAGTGGAAAATTCTGCACAAACAAAGCGTTTGATGTAATATTATGTTGTTTCACATTCCGCAGAGGTTTGTTTTCTCAGCGATAAGTGTGTGGGAAATGTTATGATAACGTTTTCATTTGTTTTACAACTTTCGACTGTTGAATGTGTGGTATTAACAAATATGCTAGCCTTTTAGCGCTTCAGAAGTCAGCCGAGGTAGGGAACAGCAGGAGAATGACATTTAAGGCAGAAACACTGACAGAGAGTGTGTTTTTCTTGGAAGAATGACACACACGCACACACACACTCACACACACACACACACACATACACACACACATACAGAGTGAGTGGCAGATCGAACAGCGTTGTTTGGCAGACGGCTCTGAAAACCGGCCCGGTCCTTTGACAGCCACACTGACTTTAAAAAGAGGCAGTCAAGGACACAGCGGCTCCAAACTCACCAGAACTTTGTTTTTCTTGACTGTTTTAGCGTTCGTTCCCGTACTATTTTTGTGTAAACATGGTATTTGAGAGGAGGGACTAATGACTGAACTAATGATCTCGAAAGTTGGTGAACATTGTATTTGTTTCAGTGCTCACTTCTGTCTATTAGTCTCTTGTTAGTGGTGTAGTAAATTTGACACGGTTATATTTCATTCAAATGCCAGACAGGAAATGTTTTAATTTGTTTTAAGAAATTATTTTAAATGTTCTAAATACAGTTTCAAACATGTTTATATATGATTTTTATGACAAAATGTATTTACAAAAATGTATTTTTGTAATTTATTATAATTATTTGTTATTATTATTATTATTATTATTATTATTAGTACTAGTAGTAGTAGTAGTAGTAGTAGTAGTGGTGTTGATGTTGATAATAATAATAATAATAATAATACCACTACTACTACTACTACTACTACTACTACTACTACTACTACTAATAATAATAATAATAATAATAATAACAATACTACTACTACTACTACTACTACTACTAATAATAATAATAATATTAATATTAATAATTAGCTGTATTTAAATTTGTTTTGTTAGTATAAAAAATCACCATTAATTGCATGCAAAATTAAGGATTATATTTGCATACTGTATGTACTGTAAATATACAAATTAATGCATATATTTTTGAAAATGTATGTTTATAATAAAATTTAAATTATATGTTATATTTACATTTAAAATTTCTCAGTTTTTGTATCATTTTATTTTATGTTATATATTATAAAATATTTAATACATTATAAATTATGTAACATGTAATATTAAAAATATAATAATAATAGTCACAAGTTGGTAATAAAGTCATTATATAAAAAAAAAATATATGTATATATTTTTTTTACGTTCCTGTAAAATGGTTTCATGCATGTATCTCATGGTTCCTGTTTATTTATTTATTTATTTATTTATTTATTTATTTATTTATTTATTTATTTATTTATTTATTTATTTATTTATTTATTTATTTAATTATTTTTTTTATTTAATTCCAGCTCAAGGACATTTCCTGACAGTAACACCCTGTCTTTCTCCCACTTTGCTTCCTGTCTGATTATTGTCCTATCTAATAAAACCAAAAAGGCCAAAAATAAATCTAGAACATTTTTTTAAAATAAATTTGATATTATTTGATTTGTTTAAATAAATACAATATGATTGGTAATAAAGCTTAAAATATTTTTTTACAAATACTGAAATAGGAATGTTATATTATGTAATGTAACTTAAACAAGTAATATTTTGCCAAAATTTCCAAACAAATATTTCTTTACCTATTATTATTATTATTATTATTATTATTATTATTGATGCATACATTCCTAATAAAGCCTCCCCTCTGTCGTCTGTCTTCCAGTGTTCCTGCTGGCCAGGCTTCCGTCTGAAACATGACGGCAGGATGTGCATCGACGTGGACGAGTGTTCCGAGCAGTTTCCCTGCAGTCAGCAGTGCGTCAACACATACGGCTCCTTCCACTGCCTGTGTGCCGACGGATACCAGCGGCCCGCCAGCAACACCCACAGCTGCAGGTCTCTCTCAGGTACTCTTCTAGTCAACATACACACTGGTGTGAATGAGCTCCTGTCGACACACACATACACACACACACACACACACACAAACACACACACACACACACACACATACTGCGGTTTATATTCAGACAAAAACTGCAGGAGCTCAAAGACTATTAGTTTATCAGCTGGAGATGAGCTCTTATTGGCTGAGAGTGGATCCAAGTGTGACATATGGCAGTTGTCTGTGGTTATTTACTGTATGAAAAACACACACAGGTTCATAGTCATTTAGTGCCTGTTCACTAATATCAGATGCGAACAAAACGAAGCTAAATGGCCTTGCTAATGTTGAGCCAATCGTGTTTATGATTGCGTTTTTGACTTGTTACTGTGAAAATACTTCTTTTTTTGGACATTCATACACTTTAAAGATGGAAATTAATGAGGAAGAGAAAAATATCCATGTTGAGTTAATGTTGTTGTTTGGTTTTTTTAAAAAGACAGTAAGTCATCAGAATTGTGCTTTAAAGATAAAATGATTAATGATAACATTTTAAAGTATTAATATTAGGGCTGCACAATATTGGAAAAATCTGACATTGCAATATTTTGTTTCTCTGCAATATATATTGTGATGTCCTAACCTTTGACCACCGCCCATTCCACAATGCACCAGCCCCTTACGACTCCCCCTGTAGGTGGTGTGCCCGCAGGAGGATGGTCCCACGTCGCTCCTTCAGGCTAAGCCTGGCAGGGTTCCGTGGGAAAAAACCCGGCCACCAGGCGCTATGTTCCTACTCTTAAGCCGAGTTCAGACTGCATGATTTTCAAACTAGTCGTGTCACAGATGTTTTCACACTGCATGACTATCTGGTCTAGCGTTTCGTCGCTGCTTTGTTTACACTGCAAGATGGTTCGGCGACATGGACATTCACATTGCATGACTTTACTATAGGGAGAATCGCCGACAACTTCGTCCAAACTACGTCTCACAGCCAAAAACATGTAGTATATCTTTTGTTATTAACTACATAATGAGAAAGAAGCATTTAATGGGGTAGAACATGTACATGTTTGCTCACCTGGGTTTAAAGGGAATTAGCCATTTCTCCTCAACGTTGATTATAAACTAATTTCTTTCTGTATGAAACGTCAAACAGACACGGTTGCTCCTGAGTCCTGTCAAACCTCCACTAGTTTTCCCTCCATTTCGTGGGTCCAAATAAACCGAAAAAGAGCGCTTTTCACTTCTCCCCCAGCCTCCCGCTAGCCTGCAGCAGGTATACACACACGCACACACAAGTGAAAGCTGCTCTCTCATTGGCTGTAGGCGATCGCTGATGTTATTTTCAGTCAAAACTCAATTCACACGGCTTGATTTGAATCGCCGACAGCTCCAGATATTTAGCACGCCAAATATCTCACAGGCATCGGCGACTCATCGGCGATTCTCTCAGATCGCGTCTTTGATAGTTCATACTGTGTGATTGTCACTCACGTGCACGAGCAGCGATTTGCCTGTGATTTCAGGCATTTGTCTGCGCTTTCTCAAAACCTGTCGGCGAGCCAAAATCGGGGCTAAAATCACGCAGTCTGAACTAGGCATTACCTATGGTCATGAGCTTTGGGTCATGACCGAAAGGACAGGATCTTGGATACATGCGATTGAAATGAGTTTCCTTTGTAGGGTGGCTGAGAGCACTCTTATAGACAGGGTGAGGAGCTCTGTCACCCAGGATGAGCTCAGATTAGAGCCGCTGCTCCTCATCAGAGTATATATCAAATTACCATGGTTTTACCAACTAATTCAATATATCTCTATAACATAATACCATTTGCCTTTATTAATCTACAGTACTTTTCGCATTGAAGCACACACACACACACACACACACACACACACACACACACACACACACACACACACACACACACAGACTGAAGTAATAAAGCTCTGTTTGTGTATGATTGGCATGTCTAAGTCCCGGTCTTGACAGGAAGTGGATGTTCAAGCGTTGGCAGCTCACAGGAAATCGATTTCAAGTCATCAGACTGAAGTTGCAGTCGTGTCTCGCAGCTGGAATAATCCATACAGCAACACAAACACTTATTTAAAGGCTTTTCAAAGTATTTCAAACCACAATGTATACATATAGCCGAATACTTTGACATGCAGAGTACTTTTTAAATGTATTTACAGTTACACTGGATTAAAGTTAGACTGTGTCTGTGGTTTATAACAGCATTGAATGCTTTCAGGAGACATATTGTGGTGAAATAAATAAAATAAATAACACAATAATAGGATTTATTAATATATGTATAATGTTTTCTGCTGTAGAGCCTGGATGGATGGGTGGGTGGATGGATAGATAGATAGATAGATAGACAGACAGACCGACCGACCGACCGACCGACCGACCGACCGACCGACCGACCGACCGACAGACAGACAGACAGACAGACAGACAGACAGACAGACAGACAGACAGACAGACAGACAGACAGACAGACAGACAGACAGATAGATAGATAGATAGATAGATAGATAGATAGATAGATAGATAGATAGATAGATAGATAGATAGATAGATAGATAGATAGATAGATAGATAGATAGATAGATAGATAGATAGATAGATATTGCTACTCATTGTAACATATATCAACAATATTAATAAATAAATAAAAAAAAAAAAATTGTGTATATAAAAATCTGTATTTTTATTTTTTCCAGCGGAGCAGCCTTTTCTTATCCTTGCCGACCATCATGAAATCAGAAAGATCAGTCTGGATGGATCAAACTATACTCTTTTGAAGCAGGTAAAATAAGTGTTACTTATAAGTGTGTTAAAAATCACAATTTTATGATCACTATAGTGCCTTTAGATGCCTTGATGTTTAGATAAAACTTCATTAGCATGTTCCAGTTCCTTCGTATTCCTTTTACAAATCCATACTTATTTATTTTCATGAAAACACACATGCCATGAGCATACGAAGCTTAATATAGACATACCATCCCAATTCCCAAAAGGGAAAACACAACATCAAGAACCACCTGTGATGTCTTATAGAAATTCAAAAGATAAACATGAGCCTGAAACTTCAGTACAGACCCTCGACTATCATAAATATTGAATATTCACAAAAGGTTATGTTGTGACTAGAATATCAAGTATTTCTACTTAAATGATAATGAAAAGTATAACTCATAGTTATTTTAATCCTTTCTGACCAGTAAAGCAAAGTTCATTAATCCTGGATGAGCCCCCTTTTTTATATATGAACTGTTTTTTTTTTTTTGACCAGCAAATAATTTTCATTGCTATAAATCCTATAAAAAAGAAAATGTTTTTAAAATGCTGTCAAAATATTAAATGTTAAAATGTCAACCTATTACTATGTTTTTTGCGATGTGAACAATTTATATTTATCATCCACACTTTGAAAGGGGAGAAAACAACATTAAGAACCACTTGCGTTTATAAAAGTTTACAAAATCAAGTTGAGCCTGAAATATCATTATAGACACTTGACTGACACAAATATTTATTAATTTGCCATGACAATATCATATTGTGACTAGAATATCAAGTATTTTTAATGATAATGAAAAGTAAAACTCATAGCTATTTCATCTTAATTTCTGATCAGTAAAATAAAGTTCATTAATCCTGTACGTGTCCCCTTTTTATAAATGAACTTAAATAATTGTTTTGTTTTGTTTTGTTTTGTTTTGTTTTGTTTTGTTTTGTTTTGTTTTGTTTTGTTTTGTTTTGTTTTGTTTTGTTTTGTTTTGTTTTGTTCAGCAAATAATTTATACATATGATATTGACAATATAAAAAAATGTGTTGTGTAAACAAAACAAATTAAATTATCATAAATATCAACATGTTACTTTTATTTTTTTATATTTTATACAAGCTATATTTACCATCCAAACATTGAAAAGGGAGGAAACACAGCATCAAGAACCACTTGTGATGTTTTATAGAAGTTCACAAGATCAACTTGAATTTCAAACATAATTTCAGACTCTTGACTGACACACTTGTTAAATATTTGCCCATGGAAAGGTCATATTGGGACTAGAATATCAAGTTTTTCTTAAATGATTTATTAAATGATCATGAGAAGTATAACTTGTAGCTTTTTTATCCCGGAAGAGTCACCCCCCTCCCCCAACCCCCATTATATAAATAAATACATAACAAAAATAATTCAAATGTGTAGTTGATTTATAATCAACAACACATTTTTTTGTTGTTGTTGCTGTAAAACCTATAATATGGACATTTTTGTAATATTTTAAAAAAGTTTACAAAAAAATCACAAGATCAACTTGAGCCTCAAACATCATTTCAGACACTTGACTGACTCAAATATGAAATATTTGCCCATGGAAAGGTCATGTTAGGACTAAAATATCAAGTTTTTTGTTTTTTTTTTCTTCTTAAATGATCGTGAGAAGTATAACTCGTAGCTCTTTTATGCTGAACGAGAAACCCCCCACCCCACCCACACCAACCATATAGACAATTAATTTTATTTACATTTACATTTACATTTAGTCATTTAGCAGACGCTTTTATCCAAAGCGACTTACAAATGAGGACAAGGAAGCAATTTACACAACCAAGAGCAACAATGAATAAGTGCTATAAGCAAGTTTCAGGTCTGTAAAGTCTAAGAAGGGAAGTATTAGTAGTATTAGTATTTTTTTTTTTTTTTTTTTTGTACAGTTAGTGTGATATTCAGAGAGGCAATTACAGATTAGGAAGTGTAGTGGAGACTAAATAGTTGAGTTTTTAGTCGTTTCTTGAAAGTAGCGAGTGACTCTGCTGTTCTGATGCAGTTAGGGAGTTCATTCCACCAACTGGGCAGATTGAGCGTGAGCGTTCGCGAAAGTGATTTCTTCCCCCTTTGGGATGGAACCACGAGGCGACGTTCATTCACAGAACGCATTTATAATATAAAAAAAAAAAAAAGTTGTCAAAAGAATTTTCTTTTAAATGTCTTAAAATGTCAACAAGTTACTATGATTTTTACCATGTGGACATTTTACATTGATCATCCAAACATTGAAAAGGGAAAAAAACACAGCATCAAGGACCACCTTGAGGATCAACTTGAGCCTCAAACATCATTTCAGACCCTTGATCGACACAAATAGTACATATTTGCTCATGGAAAGGTCATATTGTGACTAGATTTTGAAGTATTTCTGGTTAAAATGCCATGGAGAGTATAACTTGTGGCCCTTTTAATCATTTCTCACAATGAAATCACAGTAGTCTTTATTAACAAAAAAGTTAGGATCTTAAACTCCCAGCTGAGGCCCCTATCAAAAAGCATGCACAAATTTAAAGATAATATTTAATAAATTCAGAAGTAGATGTTTTTTTTTTTTTTTGAGAGAGACAGTTTTTTTCAAAAAACCCTTTGATAAAGACAATATTTTAATAATAAAAATAAAAACAATAATAAAAAAATATTTTTGAATTGTCAACCTAATGCCATGGTCTTTAAAAAGTTATATTTACCATCCAAAAAAAACAAAAAGGGAGAAAACACATCACCAAGAACCACCTGAGATGTTTTATAGAAATTCACAAGAGCAGCCTGAGCCTCAAACATTGTTTCAGACACTTGACTGACACAAATATTGAATATTTGCACATGAAAAGGTCGTGTCGTGACTAGAATATCAAGCGTTTCTACTTAAATGATCATGAGAAGTATAACTAGTGGCTCTTTCAGTCATTTCTGACCAGTAAGTAAAATTAGCGATCATTAATAAAAATTAATAAAAAACGATTGCTCCATTATTAACGAAAGCATCACTTCTGCTTTTTAATCCCGGACGAGCCCCCCATTTGTTTGCAAACGACCGTAAGTTATAAAAATCTCTTTCAGCTTTGCGTGTGTGAAAGAAATTGAGCAGTGTGTCATGGAAGAAGCAGTTAAAACCACACGCTTGACTGGATTCATCAGTCAGAAACTCCATCAGTTTGATTTAAAAGGTTTGGTCCAGCAAATTAGATGTGGACGCGGCGGGGGGTTCGAGTCAATGAGACACACAGGAGAATGTGAAAAACCCCTACTGAGAAAGTGATTGGCTGAGGTCTGAGCAAAGCATGATGGGAAGCGTCTGTCAGACACAGGATGTCGCGCTCATTCCGGAGCCGACGTCTTGAAAATAATAAACGAAAGGTATCGTAGAAGTGCTGTAATGGGTTAGTTGACTTGAGTGCAATGTGATGTTTGTTGTTGGGGTTATTGTTTTAAATCTGATAAGATGCTTCAGAAAAAACTTTTATTATATCTTACATTTATATTTTTAATTTACTATTAATTTATCAGATACTTTTATCCATAGTGACAGTTAAGAATAAAAGAATTGCATATTATAAGTATAGGGTGCTTATAAAAAGGTGCCTGGTGCATATGGAAAGGAAAAGAGTGTGTTTTAATATAGGTGGTTTTGTGCTGCAGGACAGGATTAAGAACATATTGGGCCGTGAGGCTATAGCAAACAAAAGTTGCTTTTTTGCTATTATTAATATTATTAATTTGCTAAATTATTATATAATAAAATTTTCCAATTGATTTATATTTAATTATTATAAATATTTTCTAATTTACTAAAGTAGGCGTACAAGCAAACAAAATTAATTCTCATTATTAAAATGTTACAACACGCTGACAAATTCAGAAATAAAAAAATAATGAACACATATTTGCAAAACCTGAATGAGTGCTTTACAATAAATACTTTAAACTTTAGCTGAGCAGAAATTCTAGAACCAAATTCTAGAACTCAAGACCAAATAGAAAATTAGAAGCATGGATTTTAAAGATATTTTAGATCTTTAAAATCCATGCTTCTAATTTTCTATTTGGTCTTGAGTCAATCAATTACAGCAGGTTAGCATGTTTTTTTGTTTTTTTCTTCATAAATACTGTCTGATGAAAGCCAGCGCCAATGTTGTATTGCTTGGATTATTGCTGTCATTTCTTATAAAAGGGGAAATTCATTCATTTAAAAGTTTGCTTTCTTACTTGTTCAGTTAGACCTAAACCGTGTATTTTCTTCAGGCACATTCCTGGGGAAAAACAGGACATCTGTTCACCTTGAGACTAAATCGAAAGCTTAATGCAAAGAGGCGTTATCTGCATCATGACGCAAACTAATTCGTCAACTAATCAAGGGCCCCCTCTTGTGAGCCTTTAGGCTTCAGCTGTAGGAGATGTGGTTTTACAAATAGGGATAATGTTGATTATGGAACTTGTTGGGTCGCAATATTTCGTATCGCAATCATTTTATCACTTTCTGTATTTATTTTATTTTACTGCCTATATTATAGCATAAAAAACATTCAAACTAAACTAAAGGTAGATACACCTTAAAATTGTGTGTGGCCAAACAAATATTTTGTTTTATTTATGTTTTATGTTAAATAATAGTAATTTTGCATTATTTTAAACATATATTTATTTTGATATTTCATTGGTTATTATTTTTAATTAGTTATTATTATTATTATTATTATTATTATTATTTTGTTTTTGTATAAAACATATGTGACCCCGAACCACAAAAATGGTCTAATGCTGTGTATACACCGGACGCGGTATGCGCAGATAAATCGTGCTATTCACTTATAAATAGACAAGTGAACATTTTGAGTTTACTCGCTTCATTCGCGCGTCAAATTCACCTCACAATAGATGCGGATATGTGTCATGGACGAGGCTTCTGTCTGCCTGGTCACTCTAGTTTCATTACTAAATGGCTAACGTGGATTTTATTGAGAGAATAGCTGTGTTTATGTGCTTTAGGAAGACTGAAAAACAGCGTTGATTTGTTTGAAGCCGTGCCTGAGTCCACTAGATCAATTATGGGGTGCACCCAGCTCTGTGAACTCATAAACTCCTCCAGAAAATATACCTGGATGATGAAAGCTTTCAGCGGTGCTTCCGACTGAGCCGAGCCCAGTTTGATGAACTGTTGTCCGGTGTCGGCAGGAGGATTTCCCCCCAGGACACAAACAACAAGTGCTACGCCATAATCACTCTCCTACAAGAGAAAGTTCGTAATTGGTTAACATGCCGCCATATCTGCTGAAGTTCTGATTTTCTAACTCGAGGGATTCGCGGGTCAATTGCGCCAAATGCTCAACTTGTGCCACTTCATTCATGCGAGTCGCCTCATTCGCGTGTTGCATGCCTCACGATATCTATTCACATCTTTGTGTTGACTTAACATGTAAATCACAAGCTTGATGCTTTTTCCGCATCTCATGTGAACGCAGCATTATGCTTTATGGGTGTATTTTGGGGAATAGCCAAAAAACTATTTTTAAAGTCATAGGAGATTTTTAATTTTATGGCAAAAAGTATTAGATTATTAGAATATATAATTATTGGAATATAGTAAAGATCTTGCTCCATGAAGACATTTTGTAAATCTCCTACTGTAAATATATAAAAACTTGATTTTTAATTGAGATGATGCTTTGCTAAGAACAATTTTATCAATATTTAGATTTTTTTAACCCTCACATTTCATGTATTTTCAAATTGATGCATCTCTGCCAAGTATTGCCCTAACCTAATAAGCCATAAATCAATTGTAAACATATTTATTCAGCGTTTAAATCAGAAATCTTAACTTTCAAAAATTTACCCTGGTTTTGTGGTTTTACCCTAGACTGCAAAACCAGGGCCAATTTTTCTATATGTAATATTAAAGATGTAATATTTCCAATTTGTGGAAATGTAATATTTAATAAGTATTCTTAATGTGAAACGTGAATGCATTTCTGTTTGAAAAAAAAAATCCTCTTTTTTTCTCTTTAAGATCCCATCTGTCAATCTTACACTTCACCTATCTCTTTCTCTTTGTCTGCGTCTCTGCAGGGACTCAGTAATGTCATCTCTCTAGACTTTGACTCCAGGAAAGAGTTGATCTATTGGATTGACACTAGCAGACCCAGCGGACGCAGAATCAACAGAATGCGCCTCAATGGAAGCGACCTCAAGGTACATCTATGAATATCTCTGTGCGTTTCTGTTGAATTACTCTTGAAATCATCTAAAATTGCCCAAATCGACATATGCAAATATCACTTTGCCCCTGGGTGAATTTGATTCCTGTCACCTCTGTGCTCGGGCAGTTTTTGATTGCGAAGACTTTGCAGATATGTTCAAAATCTTCTTTTTCTTTCTAGCATTTCATAGTCTATTATGAGGACTTCATAATTCAGAAAATACCCCCACAAAAACAAAAGAATAAACTGTTTTATATAATTAGGGAAACTATGAATGAAAAATTCCCTCTCTAAAAACCTTCCGAATTGAGATACGAACAAAACTGTGCAGTTTGGTGTTTTTAAAGCTGTTGAAGATGAGATTTATGGGTCACTATAAGAGAAAACATTTATTTTTTAGAAAACAGCCTTTACAAAAATGTATCGCAGTTGAAATCTGCAGACGCAAATAGATTAAGTGCTACAAAAGAACCACTTACAAGAGCATTTTAGGTATCGTCTTTACATTAGACTGAAAAAAAAAAACTTTATAAAAAGCCTCAAATCTCAAAACGAACAGGTGCATTTTCTTGTCTTGCTTTAAGGATAAGTGGGATTTCTTTTATAAAATGAGCCAGAGATGCACTGACACAGTCTAACGTGTGTGTGTGTGCATGTCTGTCTACATATTTCTCTCCATCAATGCCCTTGTGTATATTACTCAGGGCAGAAAACGGGCATAGTGTGCCAGCCTTGCCCTGCTGGGCCGCCAGAGCTCGTTATGTTTAATATCGAGCCATAATGGCTCATTAAGCTTGATTGAACTTTGGATCTTGAACTGATTTATGATAGTGTGCTGTAGTTCAGAGAAAAGAGAGAGAGGGGGTAGAGTGTCTGTAAAGGCATTGAAGTAAGGTGATAAAGTTATTCTCAATGTTGAAACTGAAGGCTATATAAATCCACTGTGCGATTATTTTCATCGAACGTTGAAGGAAAAAAGATGATAATGGGAGTGATTGAGCGACATTGTTGGCGATTTTTGGCATTGCAAGCTGCAAATTCTCATGACAAATGCTTTGATTAATAGCAAATGTGCCTCATTTTCTGTTTTTAATGTAGTTCCTAAGGTTTTTTTGAATATTCACTTCAAATTCCACATTGAAAAAAATCAACCAAATGCAGTGAGTAGCATGAAAATGCTACTATCAGTAAATTTCACTAACTTTCATGTCACACAGACTCAAATAATCAAGAAAATGCAACATACCACATGAAAACACTAGTTGCAGTGCAAGTTTTAACCAAAAATTTAATTTACTGTAAAATTAATATAAAAAGTCACTTGATTGACTTATTTCCATACATAAAGGTCATATTATGACCACAATACCAACTGCTCCCAGTTAAACAATGAAAGTGAAAGAGTGGACAGTATTTCCGCTTAAACGATCGCTACATCATTAACAAAAGCATCAGTTCTGCTTTTTCATCCCGGACGAGCCCTCCCGTTTGATTGTGACCGACCATAAGTTAGGAAACTCTCTTCAGCTTTTTGTGGGTGAAGAAATGGAGCACTTATTTATGGAAGAAGTATTTAAGGTCTGGTATAAAAGGCAGCAAATTTTACAAAACTCCATGTCACGTGGAATCAAATAATAAAAAACATGTAACTTACCACATAAAAACACTGGAAGCAGTGCAAGTTTTGACCAAAATTTGGGTTAAAAAAATAAAGAAAGTCACTTGATAGACTTATATGCATGTATAAAGATCATATCATGACCACAATACCAACTATTCATTCATTCATTTTCTTTTCGGCTTAGTCCTTTTATTAATCTGGGGTCGCCACAGCGGAATGAACCGCCAACTTATCCAGCATATGTTTTACGCAGCAGATGCCCTTCTAGCTGCAACCCATCCCATGCAACACATCCATACACAATCATTCACACTCATACACTATGGACAATTTAGTCCACCCAATTCACCTGTACCGGATGTCTTTGAACTGTGGGGGAAACCAGAACACCCGGAGGAAACCTACGCAAACGCAGGGAGAGCATGCAAACTCTACACAGATACGCCAACTGGCACAGTCAAGGCTCGAACCAGTGACCTTCTTGCTGTGACGCGACAGCATTACCTACTGCGCCACTCCGTCGCCCAATACCAACTATTCCCAGTTTAACAATAAAAGCTTCATTATTAATGAAAGCATCAGTTCTGTTTTTTTTATCCCGGACAAGACCACAGTTTGTTTGTGACCGACCGTAAGTTAGGAAGCTCTTTTTTCAGCTTTTCGTTGGTGAAGAAATGGAGCTCTTATTTATGCAAGGAGCATTTAAGGTCTGGTATAAAAGCAGTGCATTTTAAGCAAATTTCATGTTACATGGATACATATAATAACAAGAAAGTGCTGATAGCAGTGCAGGTCTTGACCAAAATTTGGTGGAAAAAATTATTATAATTTTTTTTATGAGATCACTTTGACTTGAGCATCTAATGAGTTAGTCCACACCCTAAAAAAAAATGAAAACCTATTAGAGCTTCAATCATCTTCAGGACACTAGGGATGTAACGGTATCAGAATTTCACGGTACGGTAATACCTCGGTATGAATGTCACGGTACGGTATTTATTGAATCATTTACAGGAAAAAAAAAACTTTTGAAAATACTCCCAAAAAAGTGCCAAAAGTGTCAATGACATACAAATTAGCCATCTATCTGTTAGCTTTGAAACAGGAACTTCAATTTTAATAACAAAAAATTATTAAACCATGTAAAAAAATAAAGTTTCAATTTAGTATTGTTAAAAACTCATCACATTTAACATTTAATCACTCACTTAGATAGAGATGGGTTTAAAGGAAAATGATCATATAACTATAATCTGGTAAAAGCTGGTATCTCTGGGTATTTACAATGTCCCCTGCAACAGAAAAAACCCCTCTCATTTGGGACTGAGGATTCTGGGACAAGAGAGATATGACTTGGCCCATGTTGACAGCAGTGGGGTAACGTTGTGCATTGTCTTTCCCCCACTTGAGAGGACAAACCATGAGTGAGATAGAGATCTCTTTGCGGTACAAGTCAATGTCTGCATCAATCTGAACAGTGTGCTGTGTTTCTGCAGTCCCCATGACTGTTATTAGTCGTATTCCCCAACTTGCAGGCACGTGCACACATAGGGCTCAACCTGTGCAGTGCACATGCCCTTTTTAGTCTTGGATAGAAAATGCCCTTCCAAAACGATCAAAAGTGCCCCCGCGACGCGACACAACCTCCGTCCAGTCCAGCCCTTCAGTAGGCGCGCGATAACACCTCTCTTGAGTATGCGCGCTCAACCCCCCCTCGGCGCTTTACAATACGCGCGCCACAACACAGCTGATCAGAACGCGCGCGACAGCACCGCTATTCAGCACGCGCGCGGCGACAACACCCGCTTTAGGTTCGATCATTTCCATCTTTTTTTCATCTCCGCTACTAGCAGCACACTCCATTTCCGCATTACTTGATCTGTAGCGACAACAGACCGCAAAGGATTATGGCCACGCCGGGGCTGATGGGAAATGAAGTTTCAGCTACCTCCCGTTCGCTTCATTCGCCTGAGCAAATTTTCTCAGAAGACCTATAGTTTTACCGAGTCATGCGACTTCGGTAATATCGAAAAAATTTAATATTGCGGTATGACGGTATTTACAATACCGTTACATCCCTACAGGACACAAATTAAGATATTTTCGGTAGAATCTGAGAGCTCCATCATCCTACATAGACGATCAGAATATTTTCAAGCTACTATACAAAAAACACCCTTGTTCAGGTTTCTTTTCCTCTTTGTCAGTATATTGCTCATTCCAGGCAATCCGTCAGAGCTGCATCTAAGCATAAAATATATACGTGCACCTTGTACTGACACTGGGGAGAATAAAATGTTGAACTAAATTGTTATTTTTGTTATGTTTTCACATAAAAGTATTATCTTAGCTTCGTGGTATTCCGATTGTATGACTAAAGACACAGTGTTGGTATTTTCCTGACACTGAACAAGTCGAAAACCTTGCTATCTATGACATCTTGAAAAAATGTTGCACCCTACTTTAAGTTTGCTGTAGTAAAATTGCTCTTGTAAAATAATGAAACAAATTTTGGTATCCCAATTTATTATTATGGCTTATCCCTAAAATCATTCTAAAACAGTTACCTGAGGATGCTAGTTTCCCTGGTGAGCACATCATCTAAAAAAAATTAAAAAAAATCCTGTGAAGTTGTCGAAATTGATCTTGGCTAGGCTAGTTTTAATTAGCGCTGATACTACGGCCCAGTCTGAGGCGAAATGTCTTTAATGTTCATCTCTAATGTTCATCAGCTTGCAGAATGTTACTCTTACTCTTAAAGCGCTAGGCGGGGGGCACCAGCAACCAAGAGCGAAAATGATTAAAAGCACTGGATTATCCACCAGCTGGGAAGAGCATTGTTTATGCCAAAACAGGGTTTTTTGTGATCAGGAGAGGGAGTGAAATGTTGTGATGTGTGTTTTGTGTGTGAAACTTCATCTTTTGGGAACTTTTCTTGTCATTTTTGGATTTTAGGGGAGAATGATGTGCGGTAATGTACTTTAGCTCACTGGTAATTAGCAATAATACACAAGTGTAGCACAGCGGATCAGATTCAGAAGCTAGATTTTACCTTTACAAAAAGGGTTTCAGTTGGCTTCAAACAGAACATTGCTGTAGTTTGATTTTAGCAAGTGAAAACTTGCTAAATTGGCAATGTGAGCTATCCTTACAGTCACCAGCTGATAACCACATATGTAGGGGTGATTTTTACCATTGAATTTTTACCTTTATTTGAGGAATCAAAGCCTTCCCATGCTTTTTTTTTTTTTTTTTTTTATAACTGAATGCTCTTACTGCAGTTGAAATAAAGCTAATGTGCTGGCAATGCTAGCTCATTCTTAGCAATTAAGGGTCTATATAGACAATGTCAGTATGCTTTTTGATTTTTACCAACAAAACAGCAAAGACTCTCCTTTAGCTGCTTCTCTCCATTCTGTATTTTCTAACATGAAGCACTTGTTCTCTGCAGTTCTATATGTGAGCAAATGCATGTGAATAACTGGCCAAAAGAGACCAGCTGTGGTTGACTGCTGTTTTCTCAGGTGGTTCACAGGACATCTGTCCCCAGTGCTCTCGCGGTCGACTGGATCGGCAAGAACTTGTATTGGTGTGACGGCGAGAGAAAGACCCTCGAGGTGGCGAAAGCTAATGGACTCTACCCCACTGTACTGCTGAGGACTGGATTGAGAAATCCAACTGCTCTGGCTCTCGACACTCTGACAGGGTAAATGAGGCTTAATGTTACTTATTGTCCACAATCCCAGAGCGCATTGCTCTTGAGCACACTTTTTAAAAGGCGTAAGAGGGCATTACTGACACATTTTTGGTTCTGAAAAGTGCCCCAGCCCACCCTTTTAAACTCCAACCACAAAGTCATGTTTAAGAGTATGTTTAACGTTTAAGGGTATGTTTTTTATGAAAAAAATGTAATAAATTAAAAAATACACATATCTGAAAAATTAATATTTTGCATGCTACACCAGTAGATGGCGATCCCTCGTTCTAAATATGCTTCTTCTTCTAAATAAGTTCTTCTTTAAGTTCTTGCTTTGGTTGTACCACATGATCTTTAGACAGAATGGCTGTTTCTCAATTCCAAGAACGCAGAGAACGGACTTGCGTTCTTGTGGAGAGCGGTCTTGCCAGGTGTCCTCGGAAGAACGAACTCAGGAGACCGCAAGGGCAGAGAATGCATCCTTTGAGAAATGTGATGCTGCGTTCTTTCTGATGGTCATGTGACCTTCACGCGTTTTAAATAGTAAATTATTTAAACATTACAGCATTCATACAACGATTTATTGTTTCCGCCCTCTTCAAAATATATACTTTGCATAAAAACAATATAAATATACTCTGCACAATATAAATAAAACAGATTTGAATACAAATTTCAGCAAACAAACAACCCTTAATGTGTTTATTCCTTTCTTAAGATATTCATGTTAATGAATTGTTAACTCCTGAGGTAAATAAGTGATATCTCTGAACTTTAATAATAAATCTAAATAAAATGCTTTGCTTCCCACCTCCAGTCGCAATGACTGCTGGGACTTGCAGAGCGAGTTCGCTGCTCAAGTCTGCATCAGTGCGTCCTCGATATCAAGAACACATCCGGGAAGTTTCACACGTCCTCCGTACTTGCGGTCTTGAGTATTGGAAATGAACTTAGGCAGCTGATGATGACGTTGCACGAGAACACGAGGACGCAAGACCGCTGAAGAACGCATATTGAGAAACAGCCAATGTCGTTAAAAGGACATAAGCTGACGTAATAGCCAATCAGAAGCATTTAAAGTGAGCTCAACAGTTTTGATTTAATCTTGCGGTCATCTCTTTTCTACTAGGTGCATCTGTAAATATTTTGTTGGAACGTAGAATTCTGTTTAGACTAGGTTCAGTGGTGCAAAACACACACGTACAAAATCAAGTTAACTAAGTGTGCAACTGGCCTCAGTCCACACATGGTCCTGTTGTTCACCAATGCTATCTTGTGCACTTTCAAAAAGCCGTTGTCATCTGAACACCAAGGCAAATATATGTAGTTTTTCTCCTCAATTTTGACTAAAGGTGAGTGTTTCAAAAATAAAGTTGAAATAATGCAGCTGAAGGCTTCAATAGAAGCACTTTACATTGATCACTGCAACAACCTCAGAGCTCACAGTAGGTGTGTGTTTAAAGATTGATCAGATATGGTGAAAAATCAACTCCCCTGTGGAGAAAATGAATGTAGTATGTGGGTTTACCTCCGGAACATGACTGTTGCACTCTATTGCATCGTTTAAAGCTACATCAAATCCCATTGGTGCCTTAGGTATGTGTTCTGGATCGACTGTTGTGAACAGCCCCAAATTGGACGGATCGGGATGGACGGCAGCAAGCCACGCGTCATAATTGATACAGAAATACGCTCTCCTTCAGCTTTGACCATTGACCACGTCAACAAAAGGATTTACTGGGCTGACGAGAACCATATCTTATTTGCAAATATAGACGGTACCAAAAGACACAAAGGTAAGTGCTTTCTTATCTCAAATCTAAGTCTTGATTAAAATTGACATTAACAAATTTTTGCTCCAACTTCCAGTCCCTATACAAGACATAGGTGGAGTAACGGGTCTCACATTGTTTGAGGACTTCATTTACTGGAGTGACCAGAAGTCCAAAACCCTCAGTCGCTCTCACAAGACGTCGGGCGGTAAACAAACCGAGCTCCTCAGCTCATGGCAAACCATTCGAGACATTCAAGTCTACCATCCGCTCCGACAGCCTGACGGTATTACAGCGGGAAGCTTCTTGGATAAGTCTACAGTTGACTGTTTGGGTTAGAGTCAAGACTCCCATGTTGATCCAGGATTGTTTTTGATTTGTTTGTTGTTTGTCCTCAGTGCCTAAACATCAGTGCCAGGTGACTAATGGAGGGTGCAGCCACCTCTGCCTGCTTTCGCCTGGAGGGGGATACAAGTGTGCTTGCCCTACGCACTTCTACCTGGCAAATGACAACAAAACCTGTCTGTCTAACTGCACCGCCAGCCAGGTGCGATTCTGTAATTGCTTCGGGAACCCGAATATGAGTTCCACAATAGCTGATCAACTCTTGGCACCACTTTTGACTACCAATTATATCCAGTGTGCTACTAAATAAGTAATTATTCTGAAGGTTATTTCTCTCTGTGTGTAGTTCCGCTGCGGTACGGATGAGTGCATTCCCTTCTGGTGGAAATGTGACACAGTGGACGACTGTGGAGATGGATCTGACGAGCCGGCAGACTGCCGTAAGTAACCAAACATGGTGGCAGTCAGCCAGTCTGGTTAATCCAGTGAACCATACATAACTGAGTGCCTTTCATGGTGTGTTCACACTTGTCAGGGTGAAGAGATTGTGTAGGGAGTTTAAGACTGTTTGGAAGTGGACCAAAACCTGTATCTTCAGGGGTGCCCAAACTCGATCCTGGAGGACTTGTTTCCTGCAGAGCTTAACCCCTTCAGACCCTGTGTCTGATTGATTACAATGGACATCACATGACATCCCATTTTTCTGAAATGTGGAACATAATTCAGGTCTGAAGGGGTTAACTACACCTTGCTCTGTCTGAAAGTTTCTAGTATGTCAATTAAGAGCTTGATTAGCTGGTTCAGGTGTGTCTAATTAGGGTTGCAGCTAAACTCTTCAGGACATCGGCCCTCCAAGACAGAGTTTGGCCATCCCTGCAGTTGTGGGTATAAGTCCACTTGCAAATGAACTCTGATGCACTTCGAATAAAATATTAATGCAACATGGAACAAAGATATCAACAAAAACCAAAAAAAAAAAAAAACAGATCATAAGGTCACTAGGATACTTTTCTCATTATGTTGCAACAAATCTCCTTGCAATATTTGTTTATCTGTAGATAAGGTCTTAAAGGCATAGGTCACTCATCACAGAAAGTTCTCTCATCATTTATTCAACCTTGGCTTGTTTTCTTTTTTTTTTTTTTTTTTTTTGGTCTGGTACAAACTACAAGTGTGAGCACAATCTTAATGTCTTTAATACCTAATACCCAGGGAGCCTTTATAGGTAACATAGGTATGGTTTGAATGGGAAACATTGATCAAAAGTGTACTCACCATAGACTTTACGAAATATTCTGGCAGTAAGCCAACCTGGTTAATCCAGTGAACAATAAATAACTGACTGCCTTTCATAGTGTATTCACACTTGCCAGGTTGAAGAGATTGTGTGGGGAGTTTGAGCTGGTTTGAGAGTGGACCAAGACCCACAACTACTGGGGTGTACAATTTCAATCTAGGAGGAGTGGTTTCCTCCAGAGTTTAGCTACAACTTGCCTCAACACACTTCTATGAAAGTTTCTGGAATGCCAATTAAGAGCTTAATTAGATGGTTCAGGTGTGTCTAATTAGGGTTGCAGCTGAACTCTGCAGGACATCGGCCCTCCAGGACGGAGTTGTGTGTCCCTGTAGTTGTGGATCTTGGTCCACTTCCAAACACACTCTGGTGCATTTTGAATAAAATATTAATGCAACATGGACTAAAGATATCAACACAAACCAAAAAACAGGTTACGATGTCACTAGCATACTTTTTTTCTATTCATGTTGCAATAAATCTCCTTGCATTGTTTGTTTATCTGTAGATAAGGTCTTAAAGGCACAGTTTACTCAAAACAGAAAACTCTCTCATCGTGTATTCACCTTTGACTTGTTTTCGTTTAGTTTTTTGTTGTGAGCACAACCTTAATGTCTTTAATACTTAATACCCAGGGAGCCTTTATAGGGAACATAGGTAGGGTTTGAATGGGAAAGATTGATCAAAAATGTACTCACCATAGACTTTTTCTTGTTGGGTTGTTTGGACAAATTCAAAGGAATCACTGCATGTATCCTTCTTCAAACAGCATTCTTGGGAAGCATTGCAAATCTTTAGCTTGTTAAAAGTATCCAGCATAGTAAACAAGGAAAACTTGAGAACAAAAGAGCAACTTTATTTTAGATGCAAATTGGTGGTATTTTTAGCTTACCAATATGCAAGCCTCAAATTGTTAAAATCCGTTCTAATTAGCAGAAAGAAAAGTTTATAATTTAAAATATTGGCTGTTCTACTTCAACTGCTACTGTATCAATGGTCTTAGTGCTGGAGCGCATGACATCAGGTCCTTTTTTTCACACAGAGTTTATTTTTAACTGCAGGTGCTTAGAGAGTGTCTTTCTTTTTCTTTTTTCCCCTTTCTTTTTCTTTTCTTTTCTTTTCTTTTCTTTTCTTTTCTTTTCTTTCTTTCTGTCTTTCTTTCTTATAACAATTGCTTTTTTATTAATTTGCTTTATTCATTTTTCTTTTTATTTAATTTTTCTTTTTATTTTCTGAATTTATTCACTTATTTTTTTCTTTATTTAGATGCATATTGGTGGTATTATTAGCTAAGCAATATGCTAGTATCAAACTGTCAAAAACAGTTCTGATCAACAGAATGATCTCATTCATTCATTCATTTTCTTGTCGGCTTAGTCCCTTTATTAATCCGGGGTTGCCACAGCGGAATGAACCGCCAACTTATCCAGCAAGTTTTTACGCAGCGGATGCCCTTCCAGCCTCAACCCATCTCTGGGAAACATCCATACACACATTCACACACACACACACACACACACACACATACACTACAGACAATTTAGCCTACCCAATTCACCTGTACTGCATGTCTTTGGACTGTGGGGGAAACCCACGCGAAGGCAGGGAGAACATGCAAACTCCACAAAGAAACACCAACTGAGCCGAGGTTCGAACCAGCGACCCAGAGACCTCCTTGCTGTGAGGCGACAGCACTACCTATTGCACCACTGCCTCGCCCAACAGAATGATCTATAATTTGATATTTGGTCTGTGCTGCTTTTTATTTTACCTGGTGGCTCATATTTTTTGAGACTTTAAAGTGAGTCCACAATCAACTACATTTCTTTAGCTGAAAGAGACAAGTCCTTCAGATACCCGAGCCATTTATCCTATGAGTTGAGGATGATCTTATTCCTGTATTTTTCCCTGTAATCCAATCATACTAAATGCACTTTTTAGTTCTTAAAACATAAGGCACACCACACTGCCTATTGTTGACTTCAGAAAAGTACAGTGCAGTGTTTTTTATGTTGTTAGTCTTATTTCTTTCTTTCTTTCTTTCTTTCTTCATTGCTAATAACAGTTTTTTATTTGATTTGTTTATTTGTATTTGTTTAAAGCATTTTTCTTTTCATTTCATTTTTCTTCTTTTTTTTCTTTATTTTAGATGCATGTTGATGGTATTATTGGCTAACCAATATGCAAGCATCAAACTGTCAAAATCAGTTCTGAGTAACAGAAAGATCTATAATTTGAAATTTTGGCTGTGCTTTTATTTTACTAAGTGACTCATAATTTTTAGACTTTAAAATGAGTCCACAATCAACTACATTTTCTTTTAAGTTGAGCTAAAAGTAAGAAGTCCTTCAGATACTTGAGCCATTCATTCCATAAGTTGAGGATGATCTTATTCCTTTAATTTTCATGTCCAGTTCATGGAGCGTTTATTTTTGAATAAAGGCTTGATTGTCATCAGGGTTATATTCAAGTATTTCTTCGATGAATGTTTCATTGTGGGTCATTAGTAATGTGGTAGCGCTTGTTTGATTGAGAGGTGAATGCTCTCATTTACTGCCAAAGGCTGCAAAAATGTATTCGTTTTTTTTTTTTTTGTGTGTGTTAAGCAGTTTATCACTCACTGAGATGCAATAGAGACAGAAAGGCTGACAACGAACAAAAGACATTGTGTTGTGGTCTAGGAGGAAAACAAATCTGTACAGTATGTCTGTCTGGTTTACTGGCTTTGTTTTGCTTACTTTATCTATATTTAGTCTTTATTTGGGTTGATTGTTCTCTATAGCTTAACAGTTGCTCATTTACTTGTCACTTTGCTTTTATTTTTTCCTTTCTCTGTTCTTTCTTTTTTGTTTGTTAATTTTTGTTTTCATTTTGCACTTTTTAGTTCTGAAAACATGAGGCATACCACACTGTCTATTTCTTTTATGTTGCTAGTCAACCACTGTATTAATAGTCTTAGTGCCGGAGCGCATGACATCAGGTGCTTTTTTCCACACATATTGTCTTTCTTTCTTTCTTTCTTTCTTTCTTTCTTTCTTTCTTTCTTTCTTTCTTTCTTTCTTTCTTTCTTTCTTTCTTTCTTTCTTTCTTTCTTTCTTTCTTTCTTTCTTTCTTTCTTTCTTTCTTTCTTTCATTTCATTCATTTTTCTTTTTCATTTTCATAAATTTTTTGGGTTTCTTTGTCTTTTCTGTTTCTATTCACTTGTTTTTTTTTCTGTAGTTTTTTTCCTCCTGTATAACCCTTGTGCTTTCATTCGTTCATTTATTTTAATAATTTCTCTGTTCTTCTGTTCCTCCAGCGGAGTTTAAATGTCAGCCCGGCAGGTTTCAATGCGGGACAGGTCTGTGTGCTCTTCCTCCCTTCATCTGCGATGGAGAGAACGACTGCGGAGACAACTCGGATGAAGCCAACTGTGGTAATTACAGATTGATGGATGCATAAATGGAGCCTGCATAATAACACGTGATATATAGTGCAGTGATGTCCTTGTTTGCATTTGCTTTCAGACTCATATATCTGCCTGTCGGGTCAGTTTAAGTGCACACACCGGCAGAAGTGCATCCCTATAAACCTGCGCTGTAATGGACAAGACGACTGCGGTGACGGGGAAGATGAAACCGACTGCCGTAAGATACTTTTTTTATGTGTTTTTAAGTCAATGGTAACGAATGGCAAAGTTTTTTGAATTCTGTATACAATGGATTCAAGGAAGCTGACAAGTTTAGAAAGAATGTTGAGAGTTGAAAAATAGATTAAATCTGGTTCTTTATCTCCTTATAATGTGTTTACTGGCTCATAAAACATTCAACAAAATGTGTGAGAAGGTTCAACCAGAATATAATAAAATCAACATTGACGGTTTTCTTTTTCCTTTCTTTTCTTTTAACTTGCTTCTTCACTTTTTGTTTAGTTGTTAATTCTGTTTTTCAACCTTTCTGTCGACCTTTCATTTTTTATTGTTCTTTCCTTTTTTATTTTGTTTGTTTTGTGCATTCTGGTTGTTCTTTTCATATTTTCAGTATTTGTTTATTTTCTTTTTTGTCTTTCTGTTATATAGTTGTTGTTTTTTATTTACTTATTCATTGAGTCATTATTCATTCATTCATTCATTCATTCATTCATTCATTCATTCATTCACTCATTCATTCATTCAATCATTCATTCGATTTTTTCCTTTCTTTCTATATTTTTTCCCTTCTTTGTTTCATTTGTCATTCTGTCAACTTACTTTCCCCGTTTCTTTCAGTTTGTTGTTTGCTTTTACTTTTTCCTGTATTTCTTTTTTATTTATTAATAAGTCTTTTATGTTTCCATTTAGATCTTTCTTTCTTTTTTATTATTTATTCTTTGCCCTATTTTTGTTTATTTTGATATTCTGTCGGTCAACATTTCTCACTATGTTTTATTTATTTACTTGCTCAATCCATTGTTCTTTGTTCCTTTTTTGTTCTGTTTTTCCTTCTTAAATTTATGTTCATTCATTAATAATATTGTGTCATTTTTGTTTTGTATTATTTCTTTCTTTCTTTCTTTCTTTCTTTCTTTCTTTCTTTCTTTCTTTCTTTCTTTCTATTTACTATTTTACATTTTTTAATTAGTACATGTTTCCAAACTGAATTTTAGTTCAGTTTTTCCCCAACTTTTCTGTCTTTCACTTGATTTATTGTTCTTTTTTATTTTTATTTTTGCTTGTTTTGTTTATTATCTTTGTCTTTAGCTTATTTTCTCAGTTTTCATTTCTTTTGTTTCTTCTTTTCAGTTTTGTTTTTCAGTTTGTCAACTTTGCCTTCTTCATTTCCCTTTGTTCGTTGTTTGCCTTCTGTTTGTATTCATTTGATTTGTTTTGTTTATTACTAGATCTTTTTTGTTTTTTCCTTTCTTTTTTTGCTCATTTTTTGTTTCCTTATTCTGTTAATCTGTCTTTTCTGTCAAAGTTTTATTTCTTTACTTGTTCAATCAGTTGTTCTTTGTTCAATAATTACTGTATGTTTGTCATCGTTTTTTCTGTCATCCCTTATTTATGCATTTGGTTGTTCACTTGTTCTTTCTTTCTTTCTTTCTTTCTTTCTTTCTTTCTTTCTTTCTTTCTTTTTCTTTGTTGTTCTTTATACGTTATTTATGTATCATTTTGTTGTTGCTCATCTCATCTGATCTTTTTTGTTGAATCATGCATTTGTTCGTTCATACATGCGTTCATTCGTTTGTACGTATGTAGGTTTGTTCTTTTTTTTCATTAGTCGGTTTATTCAGTTCCCTTCATTGCTCTCTTTTGTTTATTTGCTTTCGTCTTTCTGTCATAATATATTCATTGTGCATTTACTCACTCTTTGAATTGTTCTTTCTTAGTTTTTCTTTGTTTAATTTTTTTAAATATTTTTTTGTTCTGTTCTTGTTTGCTGGTTAATTCATTCATTCATTCATTCATTCATTCATTCATGCATACATGCATTCATTCATGCATTCATTCATTCATTTGTTTTGCCCTTTATTGTTTGCCTTTTTTTTTAAACTTCTTTTTATACTTTGCAAATTTGCTTTTGTCATTCAGTCCAGGTTTTGAATCCATATCCAAAATCCAAGCATCTTATTTATTCACTTGTTCACGTATCTGAATCCTCTATTTGTAGGCGCAGCAGGGGCCTAATTTCTTACTTCTCCCAAGAGTGGAGCATCTTTTTTTTCTTTCATTCTTCCTTCCTTCCTTCCTTCCTTCCTTCCTTCCTTCCTTCCTTTCTAGAAGAACAATCTTTATCTCTCTGGAATGAGTTTATTATTCCAAGAAGGTTAAACTCAAACAGATTCAACATTTTGAATGGCCTGATGAGAAAAGAGCCTGGTAAACAGCTCTGAAAGTTTGCTTTCTCTTTCCTCGCCAACACAGCGCTTTTCCACAGCAGCGCTCCTGGAGAATTTAGGACACCGACAGCGAGAAGAAAAGAGTGAAATGAGAAAAGAAAACGCTAAGTTAGACTTTAACCAGAAATGCTTTTGTCACCTTCAGAAATCAGGCTGAAATAATCACCACTGTCTGTGAATCCAAGTTCAAAAGCAAGTCTTATTTTAGCCCATCAGAAGTGAAGTCTCTTGTTCAGATCTGAATCCTTCATTCGTAGGCGCAGCGGGGGCCTAATTTTATCACTTTTCCCCAGAGTGGAGCTTCTGGCTGGGCTTTGATGAGACGCCCAGTTCTGGTTCACCCATATGTGCAACCTAAGAGAGTCTTTCTTTTTCTGGGAGAATCAAAAGGGTTAAATAAATAGATTTGTTTTACTTATTCATTTACTTTCTTTTTTTGTTGTTGTTTGTTAGATTTATTTATTTATTCAGATAGTTTTTTTTGTCTTTAAAGTTTTAGAAACTGTTTTTTTTTGTTCTTTCATGTGCTTAGTTATGTATTCACTTGTTATTTGTTTCTTTATTCATTCATTTGATTTGTTTTTGTCATTCAACTGTTTTTCCCCATGTATTTATTTGTTTTCAGCTGTTTATTATTCTGCCATGTTTTGCCAATATTTACATTCTTTCTATCTACTCTATTGCTCTTTTTTGCTTTTTTTGTTTATTCATTTTGTCTTAAAATATTTTACTTTTTTGTTCTTTTACTTATGCAATCATCTGTTGTTTCAATTTTTTGTTTTGTGTTTTCTTCACTCATTGACTCGATTGTTCTTTAATCGTTTGTTTCCTTTTCTGCTGCATGTTATTATTATTATAATTTTTTTTTTGTATTTAGAAGTTTAGCCTTTTTTATGTGTATATTTGTTTTTAGGTGTTTGTTCTGTCATGTTTGTATTATTTACTCATTTGTTGTTATTTACTTGTTGTTCTTTCGTTCTTGTTTTTAATCTTGACTTTTAATTGTTTTTATTTTGTTGTTGCTTATTTTCTGTGCTTTTCACATTTTTGTTCTATATTTTTTGTATGTTTGATTTATTCATTCATCACTTCATCATTCATATTCTTTTAAGCAATTTATTAGTTTTTATTGTTGCTCTCAAATGTTACCTTTTCAATCATTTTTTTTTTGTTCTGTGTTTTTGTTAAATCATCCATTAATTTGTTTGTTAATTTATTCTTCATTCTTATTTCATTAGTTTGTTTATTCGATTTTTGTCTTTCATTGCTCTCACTTGTTTTTTTTTGTCATAATATTTGTCATTATTCATTTGTTCATTATTTAAATCAATATTTGTTCTTTCTTTAAGTTATTTATTTAATACTTTGATTTTGCTCCCAAATGTTACCTTTTCGTTAAATCTTTATTGAATCGTTTGTTCATTTGTTCATTTTGTTGAATCATTCATTCACTCGTTTGTTGGTTGGTACGTTCATTCTTTTTTTAATTAGTTTGATTATTCAGTTTCTTTCATTGTTCTTTTTTATTTATTTACTTTTTTCTCTGTCATAATATTTTTTATTGTGCACTTACTCATTCTTTGCAATTTTCTTTTCTTTCTTTCTTTCTTTCTTTCTTTTCTTTTTTTCTTTGTTTGCTCGGTTGTTCATTTATTTGTTGGTTGGTTGGTTCATTCATTCTATTTTTCATAAGCTTGTTTATTCAATTTCTTTCATTGCTCTTTTATTAATTTGCTTTTGTCTTTGTCATACTAGTTTTCATTGTGCAATTACTTATTCCTTGAATCTTTCTTTATTTTTTTTTCTTGCGCATCTTATTTTGTTGTTTTCATTGTTCATTTATTTACTACTTAGATTTTGCTTTCAAATGTTACCTTTCCATTTTTTTTTTTTGCCGAATCGTTTTTTCATTTGTTCATTTTGTTGAATCGTTTGTTCATTTGTTCATTTTGTTGAATCGTTTGTTCGTTCGTTCATTAGTTGGTTCATTATTCTTTTTTTCATTAATTTGTTTACTCAATTTCTTTAATTGTTCTCTTTTATTTATTTGCTTTTGTCTTTGTCACAATATTTTTCATTGTACATTAACTTATTCCTTTCCTATCTTTCCTAACCTATTCCTTCCCTATTCATATCCTTCTTTCTTTCTTTCGTTCTTTCTTTTTTTCTTTCTTTCTTTCTTTCTTTCTTTCTTTCTTTCTTTCTTTCTTTCTTTCTTTCATTAGTTTTTGTTTGTCTTCAACATTTTAAAATATTTTTCTTTGTTCTGTTCTTATTTGCTGGTTCATTCGTTTATTCATTTGTTCATTCGTTTTTTCATTCATTCATTCATTAATTCATTCATTCATTCATTTGCCCTTTTTCATTTGCTCTTTTTTCATCTTCTATCTTTGCATATTTGATTTTGTCATTCAGTCCAGGTTTGAATCCGAGTCCAAACCCCAAGCGTCTTATTTATTCACTCGTTCATCAGATGGGGATTCTCCTGTTCAGATCTGAATCCTCCATTTGTAGGCACAGCAGGGGCCTAATTTCTCACTTCTCCCCAGAGTGGAGCTTCTGGCTGGGCTTTGAAGAGACGCCCGGCTCTGGATCACCCATAAAAAATATTCAGAAGTCAAAAAGGAGGAAAATCATTAACAGCATTGCACAGAGGCTTTTGAGGGTCTGTGAGGGCGTCTGGAATCCCAGCGAGCTGAGCTTTGCCCTGGGCACTGATTAGCCAGACAGAGGGAGGGTTTAACAGGGATAATGGCAAACGGAGCGAGGCATTAGAGACCGGCTTTAGACCTGCGCCTCTGGAGAGGGAGAGAAACAGCGCTGTGGGTCAGGATTGGTGCTCGACTGAAGGGAGTATGCCGGGTTTGGGTTTAGTTTAGCCTAGCGAAGGTCTGAAAACAGAGATGTAAAGAGAGAAAGTGAGTGCGGTTATTCGGACCACCTGTGTACAGAGTGCTTGTGCTTGTAGGGTCATGAATTAATCATGTTTTGCGGTGTTTAGAAAAGAAAAGATTGCTGAAACTTTGACAGGAATGTGGTTTAGATATCTTGAAGTGGATTGAAAAGAACTGAAAGCAAGCTGTATAAAGATTTTAATAGATAGATAGATAGATAGATAGATAGATAGATAGATAGATAGATAGATAGATAGATAGATAGATAGATAGATAGATAGATAGATAGATAGATAGATAGATAGATAGATAGATAGATAGATAGATAGATAGATAGATAAATCTGTTAATTCATCTCATTTAAAGCAGCATCATTACAGCCATCAAAGAGCACTAGTGTGCAATCCAGCATCTTCTAAACAGTCATATGCATGATTTTCTCTGAGGGACTTCAGATGTCCTGCTGTGAGCTGTGCTGCTGTTATTATGCACAATTCATGGCTTGATTTTTCGAGGTGTTGTACTGAGATTAAAGGACAGTTTTCTGCAGTCTGTCATCATTCTGTTCCCTCCTGGTGTCTGAAGCAGAATAAACACTCACCAAACTGCTGGATGCCATGAAGTAGCTCCATTTCTGATCTAAAACACACACTTGCAAACAAGAAGAAAACTTGAAGAAATAAAAATAAATAAATAAAAACATTTGTTTGTTTTTTAACATTTGGAAGTACATTTTGACATGTTATGCCTTAAAGCAGAACAGATACTCAAAAAAAAAAAAAAATGTAACAACACACATTTGAGTTTGAAGAAAGCTTGTGATTGTTCTGCAGTTTGTCAAATAAATTGTGAAGTGATTTTTTTGTTGTTGTTTTTATAACACTTTTTGGCATTTTATAACTTAACAAAAAACTCCAGAGTTTGTAAGTAGTTTAATTCTAATCTGAAGTATATACATTTTCAAATACAGAAGATTTCATGGTTATTCAGTGTTTTATCAAAATAACAATTTGAAAGTTGCTTCTCAAAATTGTATCTTGGACTAAGTAGCTAGAATTTTGATTTAACATATACATACTTTTCAATATGAAGGAAATGAATATAAATTATTATTCTTTAAAATTTAAAAAAAAAAGGTTTGAAAGTTATATTTTGCAATTTTTTTGGTGCAAACAGAAGCTCGAAATTTGATAAATACATTAAACTATCATATATATATATATATATATATATATATATATATATATATATATAGTTAAAGTCAGAATTATTAGCCCCCTAAATTATTTGCCTCCCAGTTTAATTTTTTTCCGAATTTCTGTTTAATTGAGATATTTTTACGGCACACGTAATAGTTTAATAAGACACTTCTAATAACTGTCGTAATGACAGTAAATATTTGAGTAGATATTTTTCAAGACACTTCAATACAGCTTACAGTGACATTTAAAGGCTTAACTAGGTTAATTGGGTTAACTAGGCAGGTAAGGGTAATTAGGCAAGTTATTGTAAAACAATGGTTTGTTCTGTAGACTATCGAAAAATATATAGCTTAAAGGGGCTAATAATTTTGACCTTAAAATGGTTTTTAAAAAATTAAAAACTAAATATAATAAATATTTATTAAATAAAAAATAAGACTTTCTCCAGAAGAAAAAAAATATTATCTGAAAATTTGTTTGCTCTTTTAAACATCATTTGAGAAATATTTAATAAAGAAAAAAAAAAGAAATAAATAAAGGCGAGCTAATTATTCTGACTTTAACTGTGTGTGTGTGTGTGTGTGTGTGTGTGTGTGTGTGTGTGTGTGTGTGTGTGTGTGTGTGTGTGTGTGTGTGTGTGTGTGTGTTTGTGTGTGTGTGTGTGTACACAAAACACAAAAAATAAATACAACTGATTATTTTCTGGTTTGTCAAATGTTTTGTAAAGTATATGCTTCTCAAAATGTATTCTACCATTTTAAGCCTTAAACTGTTGGATTCTCCATAGAGTAGAACAAATTACGATCTAAAAAAGTCTTATCTGTTGAAAAACACGAAGACTCTTGATTATTTTGTGGTTTTGTCAAAATAAGCCTTTCAAACATAATGCAAATTCAATGTCATTTGTGCGCCATGTGGAAATGTGCCAATATTGTCATGTTTACATTGACTTTGTATGTAATCTGTTTGTGAGAATACTTTATTTCACATTTATATTTCTAAGTTAATTTTCTAAGGTAATTAATTCCTAAGATACTTATCCCTATACAGATTTTGATAGCATTAGAGTTACATATTACTACATAGATTATGATAGCATTAGCGTTTCCATGTCATTAGACAGATTTTGTCAACGCTAGCGTTCCATATCACTAGACAGATTTTGTCAGCGCTAGCGTTCTACAGCACTATACAGGTTTTGACAGCATTAAAGTTACTTATCATTACATAAATTTTGATAGCATTAGCGTTCCATATCATTAGACAGATTTTACCAACGCTAGAGTTCCAAATCACTAGGCAGATTTTGTCAACACTAGCATTCCATAGCACTAGACAGATTTTGTCAACGCTAGCGTACCATAGCACTACACAGGTTTTGACAGCATTAAAGGTACATATCACTACATAGATTTTGATAGCATTAGCGTTCCATGTCATTAGACAGATTTTGTCAACATTAGCATTATCACTGGATGGATTTAGATAGCATTAATGTTCAATATCAGATTTTGTCAACGTTAGCATTTTAAATCACTAGACAGATTTTGACAGCATTAGAGTTCCATATCACTATACTTTTAATATCAATCAACAGATTTTGTCAACATTAGTGTTCCTTAGCACTAGACATATTTTGTAATTGCTAGCGTTCTATAGCACTAGACAGATTTTGTCAATGCTAGCGTTCCATAGCACTAGACAATTTTTGTCAAAGCTAGCGTAATACCTGACAACACTCCTGTTTTTCCCGGGAGTCTCCCGTATTTCAAACCGATCTCCCGCCACCCTCCTCTTTTGTTATTTCTCTCAGAAAACTCCCGTAATTCCCTCCGCACATAACAGTGTTAGCATTCCATATCACTATGTCGAATGAAGTCAGTTATTTCAAAAACTACAACAGAAAATCTAATGCAATCCAAAACTAAAGGCTTTGTATGAGATGTGTTAGGGTCAGTGTTAAGTGTTTGGGTTAAGAGTTAAATTGACGAATGTTGTAAACATAGAATTAGCGGAAATAACTGACACCCATCCGTTGAATTATTCGAAAATAATGCACTCCTTGTCTGTCATTTTTCTAATTATTCAATATCCTACCTTCAATAATTCCTTTCCACTAAAATGTTTGATCGTATGTTTCTCTCTCCACATTTCCAGCTGAAAACACCTGCTCTCCATCCCAGTTCCAGTGCAAGTCTACAATGCACTGCATCTCCAAGCTGTGGGTTTGCGATGAAGATCCCGACTGCGCCGACGGCTCCGACGAGGCCAACTGCGGTGAGTCCATCAGCAAAAATCACCCCGCGCTCATCTAAAACATCTATAAACATCCCAGTTAAAATCAGAGCTACCAAGTCATAACTTTTGTAACACATCGTTTGCTTTAGTTTTGCATTCGCTTTTCACCCAGAGGGCTGAATAAAGATGGCTTTCGCTTCAAGTTCTCTGAGTTCTTGCTGTGATCTTGAGGTTTTGCGGATGTTTCGGCGGGAAGCTAAAGTTCATCCTAGCGTGAATGTTTTCTCGGGGCGAATGTTGTCAGGTTGTGTTGTGTTTGCTTTATGAGCTGCTCAGCGATTAACCTTCTCCATTGGGCCCTGAATGGATAATTTAGTGTAGAGTAATCATGCAGGTTTGTGTGGTTTTACTTCATTTTAGCAGAGAAGTGTTGGTTCATGATGAGAAGTGGGTTTAATGGGTGAAGTAAAAGCAATTACTTTGGATTTGAGATTAAGTGAAGTTTTATTTTTTGAGCGTTTTGAAGTAACGTTTGTTGGCTGATCATTAGGCCTGTCACAATAATCAATTTATTGACTTATCGCTCAACACATGGACATGTCCTTGGTAATATATTTTTGGTCATGCAGTATATATCGGACATACATAAAAATAAATTCTTACCACATTTTAGCTAATTGCACAGCCTTTCTATATCTATTGGAGTTGTAAGTATGGTTATAAAACACTGTTGTACTTTACTATACTTTACTTTTACTGTTGTAAATTACTATAGTATATTTTAATGTAGGTGCCTGTGGACTGAAAATAGATGTTACTTTTTTTTTTTTTTTTCCTTGGACATTTTTGTTAACATTTATTATTTATTTATTTAGGATATTCAAATTCACATTCTGATTCCAATGCCTGATTATTAACGCCTAATTAATCATCAGCAGTTACAGTAGCTCTCTGCAACTCTCACATGGTCGCCCACTAAAGCTGAGCAGGGCTGCGCCTGGTCTGTACCTGGATGGGAGACCACATGGGAATGCTAGGTTGCTGCCAGAAGTGTTGTTAGTGAGGCCAGCAGGGGGCGCTTAACCTGATGTCTGTGTGGGTCCAAACCATCGACTGTAAAATATATGGACGTAGTGTCCGTGACGTCACCCATAGGTTTCTAAAGAGCGCAAAAGAAGCCACAAGTAGGTGCGGCCAACCGTCGCCATTTTGTTCGCGCGTCATCACACCCACGGCGGGATACCAAACAAGGGCAAAGAGGCGGAGAGTGAGTGGAGCTACAGACACCTGCTGACAGTTTGCATGGACCTGGTTCAGACACACTTTACTTTGGGAAAACGCTTAATACTTTATCATCTGTGACTCGTTTGTATTCTGACCACTCGTGCTTGGTTGTACACTATATCAATAAAGTGTTTAGACTTTTAAAAACACTGCTGTAATACATTAAGCCACTAAACATTGTTCTTATGACGTTTTTCAACAAGAGGAAAACGCGAATTACTTCCAAACACTTCAGATATAGTCTGTGTTAGTTAATGTAAGTCTATTGATGAAATCCAGCATAACACTGTATGACAACACTTCAAATGACTGTTCTAGAGCCTACAGCTAATCAATCTGTCAGATTCTGGAGTGCATTACAGCTCTAAATATAAATAAAAACGATAAATGATCTTAAATAAAACGAATACATGTATAGAGATGGTATATAAGTATGTAACGTTAACTTTACTCACATGGGAAACGGAGGCCACGTGAATGGTTTGTGAGCACAATTAAGTGCACTCAGCATGCCATGCCATCAAATAAGTGTAGGAAACAAGTCCAAAAGGCAGTTGACTGTGTAAAACCACATAAAACAACACAGAAATACGATAAATACACCGAGTTCAGTGGCTAATCAGCAGGATTCAGCTGAGGTGACGTGACGGCGACCAACGAGACCTAGCTGTCACTAAAGTGGCCACGCCCTTAATTATGCAAACTTAATATAACTTAATATAAAGGAAACGGATGAGATCTAAATAAATTCACCCCCTCACAGTTGTCATGAAGGGTAATATTAGCTGTATTAGCCAAAATCTTTTTTTTGTACCAGGCTGTAAACACCTTTTTTTCTAACAGTGGGCTCAATTAAAATTTGCTCTGTTTTGGAGCCAGGAGAGGCCAGGACTAGCGGAATTTCGGATGAATTGCAGTTTTAGTTACTTCCGTATTGGCTTCCCGAGAGAGAGCGGGAGGTTGCCGCTTGGTCCAAACGCCTCAGTATAGTGAAGGGGACTCTATATTGATCAGTGAGCGCCGTCTTTCGGATGAGATGTTTAACCTGTGGTTGTTAAAAATCCCAGGATGTCCTTTGAAAAAGCCCGGCATCCTGGCCAAATTTGCCATCATGGCCTCATAACCATCCCCATATTGTAATTAACTTCATATAATTGTCTTTTCTCCACTTATCAGCTGGTGTGTGATGTGCGGTCTAGCGCTATATGGCTGCTTTGAGTGCTTTTGAGTCATTTGAGTGTCTAGAAAAGTAATAAATGTGAGGAGTTATTATTATTATTTAATGTTTAAAATGGAAATATTCTTAATAATAAAATATTGTGTGTTTTTTTAAAGAGTGTACTTGCATTATGATGCTATCATAGGGTTAAAATGGTCTTAAAATAAGAATAATATTGTTTAACGCAATGAATTTTGGTGCTATATATCATGGCACAAAAAAAAAGATATGGCGATAGGCCTACTGATTGTTGATATTTTGATAGTTATTTAAGTTTCAGCCACTTTTACAAAAAATGCTGGGTTCTGGGTAAAGTTGTACTTTTAAAAAAAGATCATATTAAAAGGTTAATCTTTTGCCCGACCTCAGAAAATGTGTGATTATTCTGCAGTTATGTCACTTAATTTGTAAAGTATGCTTTGCTTTTTAAAACTTTTAAAACCATTAAGTAGTCTATCATTAATCTGAATATATAAACGTTTGAATACAGAAAATCTCATGTTTTTTCAATGTTTTGTCAAAATAACTGTTTGAAAGTTGCTTTTCAAATTTATATTTTACCGTGAAGTAGCTAAAATTATGATTTAACATACTTTTGAATATGAAGGTAATGTGTGAATTGTTTGAAAGCTATATTTAGTCATTTTATACTCTATAAAGTAGCTTAAAATTAGATAAATAATAAATAAATTTTAAACACTAAGAGTTAAACTATGGTTTAAAATGGCATAATGCATTTTGTGAAGCATATACTTTTAAAAATATTTGACAAACTGAAATGTTCAATTGATTTTTTCTGTTTATTTTTTAATTAATATCTGTATATGTGTATTATGAACAAATAAACAGATAAATTCAACTGCTCATTTTAGGATTTGTCAAATATTATGGAAAGTATATGCCTCTCAAAATGTATCATGCCATTTTAATCTTAACCTTAACTGTTGGAATCCGTAAAGAAGGAACTGTGATCTAAAAAAGTTTAAACTGTTGAAAACCAAGAAGACACATAATTTTATGGTTTTGACAAAATAAACTATAACTAACTTGAGTAAAGTGATTAAACCTGCCTTAAATGCGAAGAGTTGACTTTGCTTACAAAAAATGAGTAAACCTGATACAGCTTAAAACTATTGAGTTGACTTAACCGAATTTTTATAATTATGAACAGTTCATTTACTTCATACATTAAAAGCAATGTGTTTACTCAGTTTTTAAAGTTGTCAACTAATCGCTTTGAAACCAATGGATTTACTTTATTTTAAAGTAAAGTCAGCTTATTCATCACTCAGAACATGTTTTCTTCTATACTTATATGTGTTTCCTCTTTTGTGTTAGAATTATGTTTAGTATTGATAATATTATGTTTCTGCACAAAATGTTGTATAAGCCATGCACTCCTGTCCTTCACATCCTTGAAAGGATCACAATGGCGTATTTACATTTATGAGCATAATACTGTATTGATTTTAAAACATGAGGACGTTCTTAAAGTGTCCATCAGCGGACGAGAGATTCATCTGCACAAATCAATATCTTGCGTAACGTTACGTCTCTTTGAAAATGAGGCATTTCTAAACAGGATTGTAAGAAATAACACATCCACTGTTGGGCTAATAATAATTCTGAGAATGGATGTGCTTATTGATATTTATCCTTTATATTTCTAAAACAGGAACTTAATGTGAATATGTACAATTGAAATGGTCTTCTTAGAGTGTGGTAGACTGGATTAGGGCACTTTTTTAAAGAACTATTTGTGGAACTTGCTTTTTAAATAAGAGACTGAAAAACCTCATGATGTGGCATTATTAATTATGTTAAGATATTACAGCAAAATGGTGTACTTATGTAAATAATAGTGTAGTTATTAAAGTCAATTAATTCAGGTTATTGACCGAAACGTTCAGATTTTGAAATAGTTCTTAAACTTTAATTATACAGTATATAAATACAATTATACATTTCATAATTTTTTATTTTATCTATTTTTAATTTCCTAAACTAATTATTTGGGGATTATACAATTGTCAAATAGCATGCATAATAATAATAATAATAATAATAATAATAATAATAATAATAATAATAAAATAGTCTAGATTTTAACTGAATAATTATTTCATTTTTGTAAGTAATTTCTCACTCTTTTCTGGGACATTAGTTTGTTGTAACTGACTAGTTTATCTAAAATAATTAATAATTTGTATGTCAATTGCATATGTTTATAATTTGTATTTTTATCTTATAATAAAAAAATGTAATGTTATGTTTAGTATTTTAAAAACATCTAATAATTCAATATAAATTGTTTAGAAATGTAAAGAAACAATATAAATAAATAAATAAATAAATAAATAAATAAATAAATAAATAGTAGTAAAATTATTTGTTGATAATACAATTATGTTTTTATATTATTAATTTCCACACCAGTGTTTGGAAGACGCCATCAGCATTTTTAATTTTCCAACTAAATGTAATGGTCCTCAATATAAGAATGTATTTAATATGTTTATATATAAATACATTTGTAAGTTTTATCATCACTTGAATACAGATAAATATAATCAGAAACACTAAATACTTGATTGAGAAACAGGTCAATTTAGTGCATTTTCAAGCAATTTTGTTTTTAATTTAATTTATTTTTTTATTTTTTTTTAGCATTTTAAGAGTAATTAGTAAATTAAAACCACAAAAATCTAAATCAAAAATAAATATTTATCTTTTTTTATATATAAAGTATTTTAACATATTATTGTCTAATGGCATCATTAATAAAAAAAATCAATTTGTGTTGACGTATTAAGTTTTTAGTTATTGGTTTTTTTATATATTTTTTTATTTTACCTTGAGTGATATGAATGTTTTATTTTTTTTAATCATATTATTGCAAGCTGTCTACATGGCTAATCGGTGTCCTGAATAGCTCACTGCTGTTTTTGAGCCACAAATAACCATCCACATCAGTGTTGTTTGAGAAGAATGGATGATTGCGTTCAGCTCTCGAGAAACATTCAGCATGGCGTCCTGCTCTTCATTTGTTGAATGTAGAGCTCTCGCATCCCAGCATGACCCTATTTATTTATTTTGAATTGCTCACATGATCTGCCTCGCAAGCTAATTAGCCAAAACACTAGCCATAGCACACCAAAATCAACAAATACGTATTCTTTCAGTATACCTGCTGCGTTTTTTTGTTAGTCTTTACAAAAGAATCAGATTTTATTGTAATATAAAAGCTATGTTATGTTGTTTCTGGAAATGGTAGATAGTCAATAAACTAGCACAATTGCACTGATTTCTTCTTAAAAACATATAATAGTGCGTATGAAAACATATATTGGTGTTAGTATCATTCTCTATGCAAACTCGAAGGTTAAAATTCTCACTGTTTTCCAACCTGAAGGTGATTTGAGCCCTGAAGTTATTTTGGAGCACGCTGAGGAAATATCTTAATATTCCGGCCCTTGCTCTTTTCTAAATTAGAATTCTCTTAATGTCATTTTAAGTCGGGGAATTAGCACTCAAACACAGCGTTGTGATTGTCAATTAATCATGCATTATGTTCTCATCGTCTCTCTAGATAGCTGGATTAGTCGCCGGCGACATTCAGATGAGGAGAAATTGCATTTCTGATTTCCTGTTCTCAAATGAGCTCGGATTAGCATGTTGATTATTTTCATGGAAAAAAAGGAAGATGTGATTTACACCATTGTGCCTTCAAGTCAGGCTTGAGAGATGTTGCTGTAAAAAAAAAATAATAATAATAATAATTTAATAAATAAAACGTTACAATTGACAGAAACATCTAAGGTTGTTAATCAATGGAATTTGTGTCAAATTTGTGTCAGCAATTTGTGTCAAAACTACTATTAGCTCCACCCACTTGGAAACTAGCATAGATGCTTAAACATAAAAACCATCATTATCCTTATTACGACAATTATGACTGTTGTGTTTAGAAACTACATTACGCATAATGTAGGAGTCCATAATGTGGGAGGGTTCCCACAATCAGAGAATGGCAGCAAGCATATCAAAAAAGCTTTTGAAATCTTCCTTTCTAAATTGCCAAAATATGTTGAAATAATAAATGGTCATAATCACAGTGTTATTGAAAAACTACATTACCCATGAGGCTGAGGGAAAATTCAGAAAGTTGGAGTGAGCAAATGGCGCAAACACGTCATTGTCACAAGTTTATTAAAAAAACATTATCCATGATAATGCGACAACTCAACCAATGAAAAAATATTGTTCAAATCCAACACTGTTAGCCCCACCCACTTGAAAACTACAAAACATGCTGAAATATGAGAATCCTCATTTTCATTGGTTTATTGAAGAACTGCGTTACCCACAATGCTGTACAACAATTAAACCAGTCAATCATGACAAGCTAATTTTGCCAGAGGAGGTTTTAGCTCCGCCCACTCCTAAACTACAAAAATATTTTGAAATATAAAAACTACATTACCCATGATGCTGTGTGGAAATTCAGCCAATCAAAGAGTTGCAGTGAGCAAATTTCTGCAAAACTTAAATTTCCACTTGGAAACTTCAAAATATGCTGAAATATGAAAAATGTCATTGTCACAAGTTTATTGAAAAACATTATCCATGATTATGTATGACAATTCAACCACTGAAGAAAAATTGTATGAATACCAAATTGCATCGAAATTGTGCAAACACTTTTAAGCCCCACCCACTTGTAAACTACAAAACATTTTGAAGTATGAGAATCCTCAATATCACAGAATTATTATTAAACTGCATTACCCATGATTCTGTACAATTATATTAAGATCCGGTCATGATCAGAGAGCATGTAAAAAAACTACTTTACCCATGATGCTGTGGAGAAATCCAACCAATTAGGGAATTGCAGTAAGCAAATAATTTCAAACAAGCTTTTAACTCTGGCCATACATAAATTACATAAATATTCACATTTTCACAGCATTGTTGAACATCTGCAATTCACATGATGTTGTATAAATATGTTGTACATCACAGAGTCATGCAAATCACACAAAAATACATTTTTGCCCGCCCACTTTTTTGAAAGTTTACGATCTAAGAGGAATTAAGGATTCGTAAATGCAGATATTACAATACAAAACTACAATCCTATTTATTCATTCATTGATGGTCTGTTTGCTTGTTTGTGTTCACAGATGAAAAGACATGCGGACCCCATGAATTCCGCTGCAAGGACAACAACTGCATCCCGGACCACTGGAGGTGTGATGGACAGAGCGACTGCAGCGACAATTCAGATGAGGAGAACTGCAGTACGTATTTCAGCATTTAACTCAACTTTTGCTTTTAACTTTATGTTTTGTTCTACTACTAAACCCAGGTTAGAACTGCGGAGAGGATGATGTCTGTGACGTCAAACATATTCATTAAAAAAGTGGAACAGCACTTCGTTATTTGACTGAGTTTATAGTTAAGCTTTTGTTATGTTTTGTTTAGTTTTGACGATTTTATTTTCTTTTGTTTCATAATGCTGTACAGTTTAGTTTAGTTTAGTTTAGTTTAGTTTAGTTTAGTTTAGTTTAGTTTAGTTTAGTTTAGTTTAGTTTAGTTTAGTTTAGTTTAGTTTAGTTCAGTTCAGTTCAGTCTTGTCTAGTCTAGTATAGTTTAGTTTAGTTTAGTTTAGTTTAGTTTAGTTTAGTTTATTTTTATTGCATTTAGTTTAGTTTAATTTTGTTGTGCAGAGGGAGTTTTATTTTAGATTCATTTTTTAGTTTAGTTTAGTTTAGCTAAATTTAGTTTAGTTTAGTTTTATTGTGCTGTTAAGATTAGTTTTATTGTGGCAAGTGTAGTTTCATTGTAGTTTTCTCGTGCTGTTTAGTTTATTCTGGTATATTCTAGTCCAGTTTTGTTTAGTTTTGTTGTTTAGTTTTGTTTTATTGTTGCAAGTGTAGTTTTATTTTAGTATTATTGTGCTGTTTAGTTTAGTTTAGTTAAATTTAGTTTAGTTTTATTGTGGCAAGTATAGTTTCATTGTAGTTTTCTCGTGCTGTTAAGTTTAGTCTGGTATAGTCTAGTTTAGTTTTGTTTAGTTTTGTTGTGTTTAGTTTAGTTTTATTGTGGCAAGTGTAGTTTTATTTTAGTTTTATTGTCCTGTACAGATTTGTTTAGTCTAGTCTAGTTTAATTTTGTTTCATTTAATTTATTGTTTAATTATTTGTTTAATTTCATTGTAGTTTCCACATGCTGTTTAGTTTAGTTTAGTTTAGTTTAGTTTAGTTTAGTTTAGTTTAGTTTAGTTTAGTTTAGTTTAGTTTTATTGTGGCAAGTGTAGTTTCATTGTAGTTTTCTCGTGCTGTTTAGTTTATTCTGGTATATTCTAGTCCAGTTTTGTTTAGTTTTGTTGTTTAGTTTTGTTTTATTGTTGCAAGTGTAGTTTTATTTTAGTATTATTGTGCTGTTTAGTTTAGTTTAGTTAAATTTAGTTTAGTTTTATTGTGGCAAGTATAGTTTCATTGTAGTTTTCTCGTGCTGTTAAGTTTAGTCTGGTATAGTCTAGTTTAGTTTTGTTTAGTTTTGTTGTGTTTAGTTTAGTTTTATTGTGGCAAGTGTAGTTTTATTTTAGTTTTATTGTCCTGTACAGATTTGTTTAGTCTAGTCTAGTTTAATTTTGTTTCATTTAATTTATTGTTTAATTATTTGTTTAATTTCATTGTAGTTTCCACATGCTGTTTAGTTTAGTTTAGTTTAGTTTAGTTTAGTTTAGTTTAGTTTAGTTTAGTTTAGTTTAGTTTAGTTTTATTGTGGCAAGTGTAGTTTCATTGTAGTTTCTCGTGTTGTTTAGCTGTTTGTCTTATTATGCCAAGTTTATTTTAGTTAGTTTTATTGTCGTAAGTCTATGTTTAGTTTTAATTCATTGTGCTCTACATTGTAGTTTTATGTAGCGATGTACTGTGATGTAGATTGCGCTGTAGTTTAGTTTCATTGTGCCGTTTAGTTTTAGTTAGGTTCCGTTGTTTTGTGCATGGTAGATTTGTTTAGTTTCATTTCCATAGGTTTTAGCTCTGTATCATTGTGCTTTGTGTTGTTTAGTTTCATTTTGCTTCGCAATAATGTTTACTTTCATTATTCAGGTTTTTTTTTGTTAATTTTATTTGTGCTGTTTTAAGTTTTATCGTGCAGGGTTTGTTTAGCGAACTTCCATTCTGCTACATTTTGTTGTTTACCCTAGTTTACTTTAATGTTGTAATCATGCTATAATCTGCTAGTCTTTGTCATCGGAGTGCTTTGACATTTAAGCACACGCTGCTTTCACATGTATCTCTTGAGTCTTAACACATCTAGACACGCAGACCCAGCAGGGCTTCTTAAAATGATAATAATAAAACATGGATTTATAGAATACTTCACAGTGTGTGGCACGTCAGAGCCTCAGAAAGGGATTTGCAAGCAAACGCTGATGCATCTTTCTATTTATTCCCATTTTTTTACCCTGGTGTCTGGGTCATTATGTAGGCACAGAACAAGTTCTCCGCTAGTCAAAGAACTGGTAAAGCCCAGTGGATCTCATCACACTTCAGCCTCTGGCTTTACAAGCTCAAACGCAGCATGCGCAGTGAGATTGAGCTTGTCTGCTGATTGCTGTGGAAGTTTATGTGTTGCTCAGGTAGTGATTATACCAATTTTCCTGAAAAGCGGACAGGTATTTTTCTTGTCCTCTCAGTGTTCTGCCTAACTATCGTCCCTCTGGAGTGCAGCTGTATATTTTTGTCAGCTCTGTGACTTTGATTGACAGTTAGCAGTGAAAGTGTCCCAGCAGATGACAGAATCGATCTCTCACCCTGATCTGCAATTTGGTTTTAGTGGCTGTGGTCCTGTTGCTCTCAGCATTGACTCTCGCTGCGTAAATGCCCATGTTTGTTTGTTTTTTATTTTTCTGTGCATTCTGGTTTGAGCTCTTTAATTTACTGACTTGCTACCACTATTTATTCAAAATGTGATAATGATAGACAAAGATATGAGGAAATGTTTAAAATGATACGATCTTGCATTTGGCTATTGTCGATACTGGAAAAAAAAAATGTTCATCACAAAAATGTTAATGTATTATTTAGTAATAACTAACAGTAGATATGTTAAGGCATTTATTGTCATGGAACAGAATGCAGAGCAAAAGTAGTGCGGTTCAACAGAATTTATTAATGGAAAAGTCAAAACAAGGCAGTCTGTCGTTTAACCAGGCACACAGAGCTGGATCTTCAAAAAGGAAACTCAAAAGGCCACCCACTCGGCCGAGAGAGAGGAGAGAGCAGGCTGGTTCCGTGAGCCCACCACTGCGATGCGGAGAACGTTTGACCCCCAGGTGCTGATGGTCAGAGCACAGTTATAGATGAGAGCACACTTTAACAGGGTTCAGCCAACTTGTACATACAACGAAGATCAAGGCACGACAGGACAGGACAAAGCTGGGTAGAAAGATGCAGGTTATTAAAGCTCTAAAGAAACTTAAGGCCCGTGCACAACGAGTCGTATTTTGCTCGCGTTTTCCATCGACGTTTAACGCCTCATGACTAAATAAAGAGCGTCAATGTGATTGTGCACACCAGATGCAAAAGCGTTTGTTTTGAGAAGTCGCGTCAAAACCTTCTCCACCAATCAGATCGACACTTTTGTTCACGTGCACGGAGCTGCTGAAGTTACAGTAAACAGCACTTGAAGGCGCTCAAGCGCAAAACTGTCAATGCGAGCGCACATTGAAGAAGATGCTCAAAGGCGATATGAACGTGGAGCTGCTTATTGGTCTTGTGAACACTAATCATTTCTTCATCGCTAGAGCTAGCGCTGCTGCTTGAACCATCCATGCTTGTTCGAGTCACCTGTAACTTTAACAACAAGCGTGTGAACTTCCTCTCCTCCTCTTCTTCTAAGTTATAAGCGGGTGTCAGAAGCTTAAAGTTGTGCAGCGCCATCTAACGTCAGATGATCAGCGCTCGTGCTGATTATAAGAGCTAATAGCTGAGAGCAACACACAGAGGGGAAGAGGTTAACAATGATCAAACCAACTTCATGACATTTATATTAGTTAATAAAAATACAAATGTCTATGTTAGCTGTGGTCCATCAAATAATTTTAACGAAGACTAATATTTAGATGACACGTTTAATCAATTAGATGATTTATTAATATTTTTTTATTTAACTGCTGGCATTCCTAGTATAATATTTAATTTCACTTGAAAATACAAAAGATTTTATAGTTTTGTTGTTGTTGTTGTTGTTGTTTGACTTTTTTTTTTTTTTAAGGTTTTTTGAATGATACAATCACACATTTTTGTTTGGAGTAAAAATGTATTTTTTCTAAAAATATTTTACTCATGGTATACAACATTGTATGGAATATCAGTATTTTTCAAGGTATCGTGTTGAAGTTAGAAATTCCAGAATTGTGACAACAATTAAATGTTGTGGATCTTTTTTCTTACAGTATTGAACTTGGTATTAAATGTACTGTAGATAATTTTTAAGATGTCGTATCAAAGTTAGAAATTGCAGTATCATGACAACACTAAAATGGACGTATGTCAATATTTTTCATGGTATTTTATTGAAGTCAGACATTCCAGTATCATGAAAACACTATAATGTTGTGGAATTGTTTACCTTGCGTTATCAAACATGGTTTCGAAGATCGATATTTTTCAGGTATCATATTGAAGTTTAAAAATCAAACATCATGACAACACTATAATGTGGGATCCTTTTTCTTTCACATCTTTCTTTTGCATCTTTTTTTGCATCATTCTTTCTTTTGTATCTTTTTTCTATTTTGTTTGCTTTCTTTCTTTCTTTCTTTCTTTCTTTTGCATCTTTCCTTTTACATCTTTTTGCATCTTTCTTTCTTTTGCATCTTTCTTTCTGCCATGTATTCTCTTCTGTTTTTCCTTTACTTCCTTTTATGTTTCATTACATTTCATTACCTTCATCTTTAATTCTAATAGATCTGCATATCTACATCTTCCCTTTACCTTCACGTTCCCCTTCATGATCATTCCCTTCATCTTTCAGCATCCTCCTATGCTTCTTTCATTTCCCCTTTCCATTTGCTTTTTCTTTTATACTTCCATTTCTCTTAGTTGTGCTAAAACCTATTTGCTGTTTGTTTAAAAGGTTCAAGGGTACTCGGCACACTCAAAACAAATCACTGCCAGTTTAAAGCAGATGTTGTCTCAGCATTATCTCCTAAATATCAACAAAGTCTTGAAGGTTTCCCAGCTGTCACGTAGTGTTTTATGAGCTGTGTGCTCGTGCCAAGCTCAATTGCACATTCAGTTCATGCACTTCTCAGTCTTTGTATTTCCATTTTTTTTCCTCTCGTTCTCATTTATTCAGTCTCTTACATCTCTTTCAATTAAGGTGAGGCGATGTAGACAAAAACACTGGCTTTTCATACGCCTGTCAATTTTAGATTTAACTTTTTGGCTTTCATGCCAAGTTTTGTAAGTTTTATTTTTATTTCATTTTTAAGTATTCCTTTTGTTTTTGACCCGTATGTCCATATTTTAAAAAATTCAGGTAAATTTAATTTTTTGTTTTTTTTCAATATTTTTATAGATTTTTACAGAGGGATTTGTAATGTACAGTAATGATGAGTAACAAAATAATTTAAAGCAATTAATTTTCCTTCTGCCTAGTCCTTCATTTATCAGAGGTCACTACAGCAGAATTAACCGCCAACTACCACCGAATAAAATTGTAATAATGTAATAGTAATGAATTACTCAAAGTAACTACTGTATACACAAAACGGATTTACATAATTTTCCTGATTAAATACAATATTTATTATGAAATATTATATATTATACATTAGTTATATGAAATAGTATATATTATACAATTAGATTTTGAATTATAATCAAAATCTTAATAAATAAATAAATAAATAAATATATATATATATATATATATATATATATATATATATATATATATATATATATATATATATATATATATATATAAATAAATATAGTCAATTAAATTCAATTAAATTAAGCTTTATTTGTATAGCGCTATTACAATGTCGATTGTGTCAAAGCAGCTTCACATAAATGGTCATAGTAACTGAATCAGGGTAGTTCAGTTTTTAGCGTTTAAGTTCAGTTCAGTTTGGCTCAGTTCAGTGTGGTTTAAATCATTACTGAGAGTCCAAACACTGAAGAGCAAATTCATCGATGCGTAGCTCTACCGATCCTGAACCATGCAAGACAGCGCTACCACCTGTGCTGCGCTGTCACATCAAAGCAAGAAGGTCGCCGGTTTGAGCGTTGGCTGGGTAACTGGGCATTTCTATGTGAAGTTTGCATGTTCTCCCTGCGTTTGCCTGGGTTTTCTCTGGGTGTTCCGGTTTCCCCCACAGTCCAAAGATGTGCTATAAGTGAATTGGAGGGTATATTGTCTGTAGTGTATGTGTGTGTGTGTGAATAAGTGTGTATGGGTGTTTCCCAGTGATGGGTTGCAGCTGGAAGGGCATCCGCTGCGTAAAGAATATGTTGGATAACTTGATGGTTCATTCTGCTGTGGCGACCCCTGATTAATAAAGGGATTAAGCCAAAAAGAAAATGAATGAATGATAAACAAACAACCAAACAAACAAACAAATAAAATCATTTTGAACCTGACGTCATCAAATAGTTTTATGCTATAAATGTATGCAAATTGTTGCATAATAATTAAACAGTGCCTGATTTGCACATTCAAACTTAACTTTTCAGAAGACTGTTATTAATGTATTTAGTCAGCTGGGGAAACATGATCATAGCTTAATTAATTTTTACTTTAAAAGCAAACTCACTAAGTAATATGCAATTATTTTAGTTTACTCAATAAACTACTGTACTAATTAGCTGCTTATTAATGGTAAGGTAATAGTCGAGTTTAGCAATCGAGCAGGATTAGGAATGTAGAATAAGATCATACTTCATAAGTGCTAATAAACAGTTAATATCCTAATAATTAATAATAATAACTAACTTAAGTGCTACCAAAACATCACATAGTAACAGTGTTTACCTGGAGGCTCTTTTTGAACAAACACAGACTACTTTCTTCAGCATCTCCAGGAGTCCAGCAGATTTATTTTTGCATGATTTCTCTTGGATAAGGGAGAATATATGGCTCATATGGTCAGCTATTAATCTGGAGATGAAGCTGTAATATCCTTCTGTATTTGCGGAGTGGGAGTGCAGACAGTTTTGTTTTTTTTTTTTTTTCCTGTGTTGGATTCACCTTGAGAGTCTTGCACTGAAACATCAGTGTGAGTGAATAAAGGCTGTGATTGGGTCGTGCGGTGGTGATGTCAGAGCTGATAATCTGCAGAGAGCTGGAGCTGATGCTGACAGACTGATAATAGACTTAGAGAAAACACACACCAGAGATCTGATCTAGAGGGAGATCTGTTCTTTCTTTCTTTCTTTCTTTTACATTTTTTGTTTCTTTTTTCTTTTTTTCACATCTTTTTTCTTTCTTTCTTTCAAACCTTTCTTTTGCATCTTTCTTTGTCATTTTTCACATATTTTATGTCTTTATTTTGCAATTTTCTTTCGCATCTGTTTTTATCTTTTGTCTTTCTGTCACATCTATGTCTTCTGCATCTTTTTTCACATCTTTTGCATGTTTCTTTTGCATCTTTTTTCAATTCTTTCTTTCTTTCTTTCTTTTTCATCTTACTTTTTCTGTCTGTTAAAGAATCTCATGTTTCAGTCATTTGTTCATTTGCATAGTTTTCATGCATACATATATATATACACACACACACACACATTTATATATACATATACACACACACACAAACACACACACACACATACACACACACACACACATATATATATATATATATATATATATATATATATATATATATATATATATATATGTATGTGTGTGTGTGTGTGTGTGTGTGTGTGTGTGTGTGTGTGTGTGTGTGTGTGTGTGTGTATATGTATATATATATATATATATTGTGTGTGTGTGTGTGTGTGTGTGTGTGTGTGTGTGTGTGTGTGTGTGTGTATGTATGTATGTATGTGTCATATATATATCATATATATATATATGATAGCGTCACACAGTTGCTGCAGAATTGTCAGCTGCACATCCATAATGGGAATCTCCCATTTCAAAACATCCCAAAGGGCTGCCCGTCTGCTGATGGTGTGGAGAGAAACCCCCCCATCATGACACATTACATTACAACGGTGCTCTATTGGATTGAGTCTGGTGACTGTGGATGCCATTTGAGTACAGTGAACTTATTATCATGTTCAAGAGTTTGAGATGATTCGCGCTTTAACATGTTGCTTTATCCTGCTGGAAGTAGCCATCAGAAGATAATAAAGGAATGGACATGGTCAGAATCAATACTCAGGTAGGCTGTGGCATTGACACAATGCTCAATTGGTACTAATGGGCCCAAAGTGTGCCCAGGAAATATTCCCCACACCATTACACCACCACCTTCAGCCTGAACCGTTGATACAAGGATGGATCCATTCTTTCATGTTGTTGACGCCAAATTCTGACCCTACCATCCAAATGTCGCAGCAGAAACCGAGATTCATCAGACCAGGTTTTTCCAATCTTCTACTGTTCAATTTTAGTGAGCCTGTACCAATTGTAGCCTCAATTTCCTGTTCTTAGCTGACAGGACTGGCACCCGGTGTGTTCGTCTGCTGCTACTGTAGCCCATTCACCCCAAAGTTGGATGTGTTTTGCATACAGAGATGCTCTTCTGCATACCTCAGTTGTAACAAGTGTATATTTGAGTTACTGTTGCCTTTCTATCAGCTTGAATCACTCTGGCCATTTTCCTCTGACCTCTGGCATCAACAAGGTATTAGTGCCCACAAAACTGATGCATAACTGACACAGATTTTCTCTATTTTGGACCATTCTCTGTAAACCCTCGAGATGGTTGTGCATGAAAATCCCAGTAGATCAGCAGTTTCTGAAATACTCAGACCAACCTGTCTGACACCAACAACCATGCCACATCTAAAGTCACTTAAATCATCTTTTTTACCCATTCTGATGCTCAGTTTTGACAGCAGCAGATCATCTTGATTATGTCTACATGCCTAAATGCATTAAGTTGCTATCATGTGATTGGCTACTAAGAAATTATAATTAACAGGCAGTTGGACAGGTGTACCTAATAAAGTGGCCGGTAAGTGTATACTGTATATATTGTACATGTCTGTGTCTAAAAACAAGAGCTTAAGCACTCATGAGTAAAAGATTTTATTAAAAAACTGCAATCAGCACACATCACCCTGTTAACATCAAATTTGCCTAGCCAAGTCGCCACTGTAAACACTTGCTCCAGTTTTTCTGATTGGTCCACTGCTTTAGAACTGACATTGATGTGTGGTGCTGCATGTACAATCTGCATTTGTTTTATTTGTTTTTAAAGATGTGAGATGCGTATGTAAAATGTAGAAATGCTTTTGCATAGAAAAACAGTGTAACGCACTGGAATGGAAAAATGCATTTATCCTGATGCTTAGTTTGTAAATTTTAATGTTTAAATGTTTAAATCTTTTTTCCTTTCTTCATTCATTTCTTCAGTTCCTAATTATTGTCTACATATCTTCACATCTGACTTATTCACTTGACTTTCTTTTTCTTTTAGTCTCTATTCTGTTTTCAGTTTGTGGTTTGTTCGCAAACCTGTCTGTCATTCTCTGATTTGGTTTCTTAGCTGTCGCCATCCTTCTTTTACATTCTCTCGTTTTCACCGTTTTTTTATTATTATTATTATTATTTTTTTTTTTTACCCATGGCACTTCTTAGGCTTTTCTGGCTTAGAAAGTTTGAATGTATCTTCCTGCTGCTCAAAACAATCCAAAAAGAGATTTGTTTGTTTGTTTCACTCCTGACAAAAGCAGATTCATCTGTCACAGCTTGTACCCTTCGTCACCGGTAGTCAAAGAGGTCCAAAATCTGAATCCATCCCTCTTTTCTCTCTCTCTCTCTCTCTTCTCCGTCTAGAGCCAGTTACATGCAACTCTAAAAACTTCATCTGCGCCAATGGAGAATGTATTTCCTCACGTTTCCGGTGCGACGGCGACTTCGACTGCACTGATAACTCAGACGAGGTTTCACATATCACATTCCTCACTATTAACAAACATTCCTTTTTAAAGTGTTGATATCTACTCTGTAAAACAAAAAGCCAAGCCAACAAGTATGTTATGTTGATTTAACTCATTTAAATATGCTAATCTCGTTTCATCTAAATCTAAGTCTTTTACTCACTGTTTTTAGTCAGTTTGATTGATGTAACTTGAGATGACTAGAAAATATACTTTGATTTAACTAAAAACTGAAATGAAACAACACAATTCTTGAGATTTTTTTAGGGACAACTTAGTTTTATGTTCAGTCCTTTTCAATTTGTTAACTTAATTGATTTGTATTGGTACTATGTGAACGAATTGTGTGGAACAAATTGTGCATTTTTCAGAGGGGCTGTGAAAGCCACTGCTCCGAGGATCAGTTCCAGTGTCTGAATCATCTCTGCATATCGGTCAAATGGCTTTGCGATGGACAGGAAGACTGTAAAACCGGGGAAGATGAGGCCAACTGCAGCCCTGCCAACACCGCCATGACAGGTTAGCGGCTCTTTAAATAATGCAGACCCATCCAGAAGCGATCAAAGCTGGTTTCAGACAGTGAGCTTGAGTCTTCTGTAATCACACATCACCAAGCGGACAACTTTTATCCAAAGGCAAATCAATGGCGACTGGAGATTTTCTGTACGAGCTCAAAGACTTTCATTTATAATGGCTAAGCCACTACTGGTTCACGTAACTACTGGGTCATGTTGGGCTTCACTGTAAGTTTATTTTAGCGTATAATTTTGCTGTTACAAAGTGCGTAATCACTTAACATGGAGGTATTGTTCATATCAGCAAGCTCTCTCAAACAGCTTGAGTTGGAGTCCTGAATTTGCTTTTAGAAATTCACACAGTTAGCTGTGAATTGAAGAAGAGATAATCCAGAAGAAATTTCAGGTATCGTCAAAGCTGAATGCTTTAATGAGAACTCACTGTTGCTGTGTCGTTCATCAGGAAAACTTTCAACTACTGCTGCATGCACTCAACTCAAAATACATAGGCTCATTCTGAAAACGTATGTTTCTGGAGATCGCGAATTACGTAGCCAGAGGTACATATGGCTGCATTTCATTTTTTAAACAAACGCTACAGGGCAGTATGATGCCATACCTTGCCGTGCTTTCCAGCTGACTGCTTACCTCCGTTTGGACAGCTTTCCCGCTGCAACAAGTTTGTTCTGTTAGCTCGCCATGTACGTTGGCAGACTTGAGACGCAGAGAGGAGTTGATCCCAACCACGGGGTTTAAGTCCAGTAAAGAATGGGTCCAGAAAGGAAAAATAAAAACAGAATCAAAAGATAAAATTAACAAGTAAATAACTGGTTGAGAATGTGGTAAAATCTGAAAACGTGATGCATATTAGACGAGGGCTTTTCTTTTTCTGGATTGCCTTTGAAATTTGTTGGTTTGGTTTTGGGAAGTGGGTGGGCGGGTCAATCAATAATTGGTTGGTCATTCAGTCAGTCAAACAGTCAGTCAACAGCGGCCTCTGGTTTGTTTTACGCGAGAACAGCAGGCTCGAATAGTATTTGAGATCTCAAAAAGCGCACACAGCAACCTCTTGTGGATTCGCGAAAGCAAAAACTGCAAAAAAGTACCCCCTGGGACATATTTTGCGGTCTCCAGAAATGTATACAGATGCACATTTTCAGAATGAGCCTGGGTTGCAAAATACACTATTTAGGGGGCCGTGCTTTTTGGTAGAAACAGAAACTGTCATGACAGTTTTTTTTTTTTTTAAATCTTGTTTCCGGGTCCTGCTAATCGTGTTTCTAGGTCTTGCCTAAAAGTATCACCTGGCCATTTGTTAGACGAAAAACAAAGCCATGCCTGGTACTTACAATGGGCAAACATCTTCCACTTATGGATAATAGAGGACGCTGTGCTCATTAGAACTTTTCAGAGCAGCAGAACTTTTTTTGTAACCTTCCCCAGCCTAGTGCCTCGAGACAACCCTGTCTCCGAGGTCTACAGACAAGTCCTTTGTCTTCATGCTTGATTTGTGCTTTAACATGCACTGTCAACCCTGGGACCTTATATGGACAGGTGTATGCCTTTTCAAATCATGTCCGATCAACTGAATTTACCACAGGTGAATTCCAATTAAGCTGCTGAAACATCTCGAGGATGATCAGGGGAAACAGAATGTACCTGAGCTCAATTTAGAGCTTCACGCCAAAGGCTGTGAATACTTATGTACATGTGATTTTTCAGGTTTTTTATTTTAAATAAATTTGCAACAAATAAAAAAAAACGCTTTTTTTCACATTGTCATTATGGGGTATTATGTGTAGAATTTTGAGGAAATAAATTAATTTAATACATTTTGGAATAAGCCTGTAACATTAAAATGTGGAAAAAGTGAAGCGCTATGAATAATTTTCGGATTCACTGTATTTTCTAAAAATATAGTTTCTTGATCTTATTCGAAGTTGCGTCTCTAGTGCCATCAAGCTTTTTTAGCTTTTTTTTTTTTAAATACTTGCTTGGGATAATTTTTGATCAGTATTTTATTGGAAAGTATAATTGGTTTAATATTCAGCAGCCAAAAACTTGTTGATTCAGATATTTTGTATGAAAATACACTCAAGGAAACTTCATAGAGTTGACATAAATAATCTAGTAATTGTCTATCCTAAACATTTTCTACAAATGAATGAGAGAAGAATAAAGTAAATGGCATGTCTCAGAATACACTTTAAATTTTTTTTTCTATCAGTGCTATTCCTTTTTATAACAGATGTAACAGAGTTGGCCAGAGTGCAGGAACAGAGCAAAAAATAGTAAAATAATAAGAATTTAAATTACAAATCATACAAAGAAAAAGTTTTGTGCTCATGTTTATTTAACTTTGTAGATAAAACACACAAACACGCAGAAAAGATGACATTTAGACGTAATTATTTCAGCATAATTGAAGCTGTGTGTACGATTTAGGAGGTAGAAATGAGTTACTGTACAAGAATAGGTACAGTGGGAGTCTTTAAGTGAATATTTTCAAGACGATATACCCCTAAATGCTCATACAGTTTTTGTTTTTGCAAAATATTCCACCTAGGAGACAACCGAATATTTTTACAAAGCATAATATGAGCACTTAAAAACAAACATCTAAATGGGCCTCGGCTTTTCATCTGCTGTTCCCAAAATCTTTTTTTTTTTAAATGTCACCCAAAGAGGGAACGGCTTGTTCCTGCTTAAAAGTCGCTCCTTTAAGTCAAAAAGCTGCAGCTTAAGTACACTCAGTATAAGTACAGTACACCTGCTAGCACTCCGCCACCATTTATGCTGCAAAAGAGGTTGCATTTTTTTTTTACCTGTTCTGCTTTTACTGCAGAAAATACAAGAAGGCAAAATATCACGCTCTTATCTGATCTCGCTTTTCATGCCTTCTTGAGGAACAGATGGCAAATCCACTTACTCTCCTCCAGATGGATTTCTCATATTCTGAATTTTTATAGTATCAGAGCTGCAGTATATGCATCTTCCCCCTGGAAATCTCAGTGCAGAATTCTAGTGCTATAGGTTGCGCTATAAGTGAATTTGAAGTGGCCATAGTGTATGTGTGTAAATGAGCGTGTATGTATGTTTCCCAGTACTAAGTTGCAGCTGAAAGGGCATCAGAAAACAACCCTGGTATACTAATTTAACATGCATATAATAATATTTGTTTTAATTTTTTATTCATTATTAAAGAAAATGTAAATATTAATCGAAAGTTATTTTCTTCCTCTGAGATTTTAAGTCAAATTTATAGTTAGTTTTAATATGCATTAACTTATTTTTAATGATGATATTTAGTAATGAAAAGTAATTTTAGTGGTAATATCATTCTAACTTAATTATTTTAGTGAATCAAAATAACTCATTCAATTTCTTGTATTTTTTAATGTTTTGTATTTTAGATTGGTTATTTATGTCTTCATTGTTTTTTAGTAATTTTAGTCTAATTTAGTTAATCCTATTTTACTTCAAACCTCAAAACAAAAACAACTACTAATTTAAAAATGCATTTAATTATATTAATTTTTTTACATTTATTATAAAAATAAATACATAAATACATAAATTAACAGATAGTTATGCTTCTTGCCCCAGAGATTTAAGTCAAAATTAAATTATATCCACAGCGGAATGAACCGCCAACTTATCCAGTACGTTTTTACACAGCGGATGCCACTCATTCACACTCATACACTATGGGTAATTTAGCCTACCCAATTCACCTGTACCGCATGTCTTTGGACTGTGGGGGAAACGGAGCACCCGGTGGAAACCCACGTGAACGCAGGGAGAACATGCAAACTCTACACAGAAACGCCAACTGACCCAGCTGAGGCTCTAAAGTGACCTTCTTGCTGTGAGGTGACAGCACTACCTACTACCTACCTACTTATATTATATTATATTATATTATATTATATTATATTATATTATATTATATTATATTATATTATATTATATTATATTATATTATATTATATTATATTATATTATATTATATATTCATTCATTCATTTTCTTGTTGGCCTAGTCCCTTTATTATTCTGGGGTCGCCACAGTGGAATGAACCGCAAACTCATCCAGAATATGCTCTATGCAGCGCATGCCCTTTTAGCCGCAACCCTGGAAACATTCATATACACTCACTCACACACATACACTACGGACAATTTAGCTTACCCAATTCACCTGTACCACATGTCTTTGGACTGTGAGAGAAACCGGAGCACCCGGAGGAAACCCACACCAACACAGGGAAAACATGCATACTCAACACAATGCCAATAGCCGAGGCTAGAACCAGCAACCTTCTTGCTGTGAGGCGATTGTGCTACCCACTGCGCCACTATGTGCTGCCCATTTTTAGTTTCATCTTAGAATATTTTCTTGCATTCTAGATCAGTTTATTATGTTTCATTGTTAATCTTTAGTTTACCTCAGTTTATTCTTATTTTACTTCAAGACTCAAAAAACGATGCTGATATATACTTATGTAACATGCATATAAATGTATTTTTTATTTATTTATTTTTTATTTATGATTAAATTCCCAAGGCAAAAAGAATATTCCAGAGCTACGAATAATGCATTTTGTGAACCTCCACTTCATCTGTATTTTTTAACCCCAAGAGACTTAAAAGTGTCTCCCTCTCTTTCTCTATTCTTTTTCTTCTTTTTTTTTTAAGTGAAGGTCTCTCTCCTGTCTTTTTTCAGTCTGGCTCTTGAATTTTTCATCTTGGTTTGCTGTGGCCAGATTACCCGAGTATATCCACGGCTGCGACCGCTGACTGAAATATTCTGACCGTAAGAAGCGCTGCAGATGCATTCAGAAAGCTCACACTTTTTTTTCCCCCTGTCGACTCGAGGAAAGTCAGGGGAATTTTACCCTGTGATTAATATTAATGCGTCTGAAAACACTTGAGAAAGTGCAGGCCAGGTCTCTCAGACTCTACAGCAGAGAAGAGTCACGCGGAGCTTTCCAGGAACACACGCATCTTTTATTGTTGATGAATGTTTCAAAGGAGTGTGAGTTTGATGTTGTGTTGATGTTGTGTTTGTGCAGCTCGGCCGACGGCTTGCGGTCTGAACGAGTATGTGTGTGTTGGAGGAGGCTGTGTTTTGGCTGCTCAGCGCTGCGATGGACAGAACGACTGCGCAGATGGGTCAGATGAGGTCAGTTTAGTTCATACACACTGAATAATACATTATTATGTGTTTTTTGTTTCTGTGTGTGTGAGAAAGAGAGTTATGGATCATATTGTTATTGTTGTTACAAGTCATTTTGGTCATTTATTTCTAAATGTAATTATTTAGTGATTACATACTGCAGTCTGCAGTATTACCAGTGTAGATTATTATTATTATTATTATTATTATTATTATTATTATTACTAATATTATTATTATTATTAATAATAATAACAATAATAATAATAATAATAATAATAATAATAATAATAATAATTAACATAATTGGCAATGTATTTTGTTAATAATAATAGTTCACTCACATAATTAATTTAATATATTTTCAAAATAAACAATAGTAATGGATGTTCAAATGTTTTCGAGCACAAAACTTCAGAACACTTTTCATAAATTATTAAATATAATTCATAAAACAAAATAATATTGTACACAATTGTCTTATTTTAATTGATTCAAAAGTCCATAATTATTGTTGTTAAGTTGGTGTTTGTTTTTTGTGCACACACACCATTAAATATTTTTAATAAATCTTATAACTTATACAGTTAAATGCAAATATAATGAGACAACAATAAAAACGTATTGTATAATAATAATAATAATAATAATATACAATTATAATACAATTCTATAATTAAAAATCTAATTAAAAATACGTTAAAATACATTAATTACAATTAAAGTAAATTACCCCTCTCCCATACCATCATAAGGCTTTCTTTTACCAACAAATAAATACTTTAAATATATAGTTTGGTCACACTTTACAATAAGGTTCATTAGATAATGTTAAATAATGCATTTACTAACATGAACAAACAATGAACAATACATTTACTACAGTAGTTATCCACGTTAATAAACGTTAGTTAATGAAAATACAATAGTTCATTGTTAGTTCATGTTAACTCATGGTGCATTAACTAATGTTAACAAGCATGGACTTGGATGTTAATAATGCATTAGTAAATGTTCAATTATGATTAATAAATGCTGTACATGTGTTGGTTATGATTTGTTCATGTTAGTAAATGCATTAACTAATGAACCTTATTTTAAAGTGTTACCTATATTTTTATAGTGAATAAATAGTTTTAAATAATTATTTTGAAATTTGTTTCTGCAGTTTTCATCAGTGCAGTAAAAGTGGAGGGGCCTATAATGTTTAATGTCATACCAAGCCCTAAAAGTAGCTCAAAATCACTTAAAAAGATGTCATAATGCAGACTTAGGTGAACACTCTCTTTTATATGTAAGTATAACACACCATTGCGCAGTATTTCAGCATTGTGTCTTGGTGTTTCCTCCAGACGCTGGTCTTCTTTCTCCAGAGACTTTGCTTTAATTACACCCTCACTCATAATGCAGTGTCAACAGTTCACGCCAGTTTGCCTGTCCTAATAAACACCATTAAAACAGACCTATTTTTCAAAGGCCCCACTAGAGACATATATACAATACATATATAGAAAAAAAAAACAATTCCAGCTGTAGAAGGTCAACAGTCTTCACTAAAGAGGACACATTTCTTAAAGGAGACCCTGGGTATTAAAACTTGGATTATTACAACATAAATGAGGTCTCTTATTAAACAATGTGGGAAAATGTAATAGAAAAACCTGTAAAAAATGTACTATTATCCAAATTAATTTTAGTCTTTTTACGTCTGTGAGATTATTTTAGGTGCACATTATAATACTGGAGCTTCCTGTTGCAGCTGATACCACAAAATAAAATACTTATTCGATATGATATGATACGATACAGATATACTGAGATACTGACAATATAATACAACAGGGTTATTTAATTTCAAAAAACAATTTAACTTCAAAAACGTTTGAATACTTAATCGTAAAGGCTTCTCAACGCCGCATTTCTGTTGCACGGAACAAAACTGCTGCAACTAAACAAAGTTATGCCACCTGTGCGCTAGTTTAAAGTTCCGAGCTTATACTCCGAGGCTAATATGCAGGCACATTGGATTTCCTATAGCATCGGGCCATTCACATATCGCGCCTTTTTCACACGCAAGTTCGTTTTGTTCCAATGTAAGAATATATGGCACTATGCGCGCTCAAAGTGACGCACTCGCACCTTCCAGGCACACCCAGTTGTAAACATCTCACAATATAGCGGTGACAGTTGTGCGTGGCTTTCAGTGCAATGTAAACAAAAGATATGTTAGACGAATTATTACAAATTATTAAATCAAATCAAATCACTTTTATTGTCACATCATCAGCAGCACGTGTGCTATGATTAATGAAAAGCTTAGGTGCTTGCTCCAGACAGTGCAAATTCAACAACAGTGCAAAATACAACATCACACTCCTCAAAAAAAAAAAAAAAAAAAAAAAAAAAGAGTAATGTAAAATTGACAGCGATATGTACAATGAATAGGTGTCCACATAGTTGTAGGCTGTATTGTTTCAAGTATGGATTGGTTAAAGGATTAAATGATTATGTATGAACGCAGATGATAACAGTTCATTTAAATACTTACCTAAAGCTTAAATTTACATTAGACGTGATAACCGTGAAACCATGATTATTCTTTAGACTACATAATTGTACAACCAAAATCTATAATTGTTACATTCATAATTGTTATGCAGTTCAAAACATAACATATTAATGTGTCTGAATGTAGATTAGATTAGATTAGATTAGATTAGATTAGATTAGATTAGATTAGATTAGATTAGATTAGATTAGATTAGATTCAACTTTATTGTCATTACACATGTACAAGTACTGTACAATGCAACGAAATGCAGTTTAGGTCTAACCAGCAGTGCAATAGCAGCAAGTGCAGGATACAGGAATAAGTTATAAAGTGCAGTTATAGAAAAACTATGGTGATATTTACAGATGGATGTACTATGAACATTATATACAGGTTGGATAAGCTATGAGCAGATTTACAATATATGAATATATGTGCAGGTTGCTATTAATAATCAGTAGTGTGCAGATAGATAAACATGATTACAAGTGTATATGTTACAATATATGAATATATGTACAGGGATAGATAAACATGATTACAAGTGTATATGTAACATATATGAATATATGTACAGGTTGCTATTAATAATCAGTAGTAGATTACAAGTGTATATTTATAGTGGGTGTCTACATAATTACAAATGTCCATATGCAGTGGGTATGTACAGTTCAATAAGTAAACAGTTTAATGTGGTGCAGTGAATGTGCAAATTTTTAAATGTGCAAATGTTAAACAGTGCAGTTATTGCGAGGAGTTTAAGTTAGAGGAGAGTGGGGGGTGTATTGGGGGGCAAAAGAGTCAGTGGGGGGCAGAGTTCAGGAGGGAGACAGCTCTGGGGAAAAAGCTGTTCCTCAGTCTGCTGGTTTTTGTCCGGGGGAGCCTGAAGCGCCTGCCGGAGAGAAAGTAGAAGAAGACTTAAGTCACTGCTTTTGTTGTGCTTTGAAATACAACATTGGAATGTTTGTAAAAAAAAAAAAGTCTATTGTACAATGCTAACGTGGGTGTCTTAAGGAGCAAAATACAGCATATGGGCTCTCACATTGCTGTTGTTTCATCACTCATATTGCAAGTCATATCTCTCCGGCCCTTCATTTGAGATGCTTTTCATGAACTGGCCCCCATGTTTACCTTGACTTGGTTTTTATTTCTACTGCAGTTTAGAATCGCATAGTACTAATTATCGCTACAGTTGCACTGCCTCTACTGCCGTTACACCATCATAATTGTGACAATGTGATTTAATTATAGTCATATTTTAGTCATCTGTATCATTTTAGATTTAGTCGAATTTCAGTTGACAAGTGGTTAATTTGCACAACAAAAATGTAGCCAAAATGGAAAAGGATCCATTTTTATCTGCAAAAATGCCTTTAATCTAAAACACATTTTAACACCTTAAACTTATACTATGCACAGATATGAAGTCATCATTTTCAGGTGTTTACACAGACACAAAAATACTTTTTAAATATATACAGTTGAGGTCAGAATTATTAGCCACCCTTTGAATTTGTTCTTCTTTTTTTATATATTTCCCAAATGATGTTTATTAGAGCAAGGAAATTACAGTACAAGGAAAATGCAAGGAAATCACAGTATGTCTGATAATATTTTTTTTTTCTTCTGGAGAAAGTCTTATTTCATTTTGGCTAGAATAAAAGCAGTTTTAAAGTTTTTAAACACCATTTTAAGGTCAAATTTGTTAAACCTTTTGTTAAACCATCATTATACAATAAATTGCCCAATTACCCTATCCTGCCTAGTTAACCTAATTAAGCCTTTAAATGTCACTTCAAAATGTATAGAAGTGTCTTGAAAAAGATCTAGTTACATATTATTTACTGTCATCATGGCAAAGATAAAATAAATCAGGTTTTAGAAATTAGCTATTAAAACTGCTATGTTTTGAAAAAATCTTCCCTTTGTTAAACAAAAATTGGGGAAAAAAATAAACAGGGAGGCTAATAATTCAGGGGGGCTAATAATTCTGACTTCAACTGTATGTGCATTCAGTCTCAAAAATAACGTCACGTTCCAAAACCTTTTCATTCAATGTTCCACGCTGATGGAATGATCTTCCCATTCCCACAAGAACTGCTGATTCAATAATACCGTTCAAACAACAACAAAGATGGCCTAGTCCCCTGTGAACAAAATCAGCACCCCTCTTTTCTCACTCCCCTTCCCACCACACAACAACCTCAAAATAATATGCAATTGTGAGTGTGCCTCACACAGGTGAGTGGGCTTGATAAACCACATTCATCTCATTTATCTCTCTGACACTGTTACCGACACTTGCACCAGTTTTGCACATTTGCTCCAGACACTTTCTTAGAAATCACTTCATATCTCAAAAAAAATTCATAAACACAGGTGAGTAGGCTGGACAAACCACCTTTAGAAAACACACTCATTCATCTCTCTGACATTGTAACCAACACTTGCACCAGTTTTGCACATTTGCACCAGACACTTTCTTAGAATCACTCCATATCTTTAAAACCAACACTGCATTTATAAAGTGTGCTTTTACATCGGTAAGTGGGCTTGATAAACCACCTGTAGAAACACCTTCTCTCTATTTAAAAAAAAAAAAAAACACTCTCCCCTGCTTACTCTACTTAATTCTTAGTACCTTTGTATAACTAGTGCTTCTTGTGTGTATTGCCTCTTCTTGTTGTATCTCTGAAAGTCTCAGTTGGACAAAACATGGACAAAAGCGTTTACTAAATGTAAACTTTCTTGTGTAAATAAATGCGAAAAACTTTTCCGTTTTTAACTGAAATCATTGTCATTGAAACCGCCCCCAAGTTACAAAATCTACCTGAGGTTTAAGAGCAATTAAGGGCAAAAGATATAATTCTAGAAATCATTCTGAATGTAAAACACCAGCACAGATCAGAACACAACTTTAACAATAATACATAGCAGAAAGAAACAATATTGTAAACACTTTCCATAAGACTATGAAACTGCAGTATGTGGCTTTAAAAAAAGATATTTATTGTCCAAATTTCTGTCAAATTATTCTTATATTTCTATTTGTCATTATGGTGTTGGTGTTAATGGACCTTTAGTAGATTAAAATCAAACAGGATTTGTTAAAGATGTACTCCATGCAATTTTTAACAAACATTTATAACCAGAGTGTCAAACCAATACCCAAAACACACTTTCAGCCAGTTCAGAATTTAGGGGCATGGCTAATAAATACAGTGGAGATCTGAAAAGAGTCGTGTCACCTAAATTGAGCTCCCCATGGGTCGAATGTAAAAATAAGGGCAGAAAATACAGTCTGTACAGGATAAAAATCCTTAAGTGTGTGTGTGTTTGTGTGTTTGTGTTTGTGTGTGTGCGTGTGCGTGTGTGTGCAGGTGGACTGTCTCAGCGAGTGTAAAGAGGACGAGTTTCTATGTCGTAATCGAGCTCACTGTATTCCTGCACGCTGGAGGTGTGACAGAGTCTTCGATTGCCTCGATCAGAGCGATGAGGATAACTGTGACCACGGTAAAACATCCACATCCCTCACTGACCCCTGCGTTATTTTGCAGATTTAACTTTTTAGGTAAAGGGAAAGAGTTTTAGTGTAAATGTTCTAAAAGTTAAACTTAGGACTGTATAGTATTAGGACTGTATACTATGTGCTTATACAAAACGTATGTTTTCATTGTCTTCTCAACAGTGATGTAGCGCAGGGGGCCTTTTGGGGGCTTAAGCCCCTGATGTATTGTCAAAAGCCCCTGATCTTTTGAAATATTTTGCAAAAATAGGTTGCACAACATTTGTTTTGTTATCCAAGTACTTAAAATTACCACATACATCCTGCACATTTCACTTAACACAGCTTTTGTGTCAGGTATTTAAATAAGCAGCTGTTTAGCAGTACCTGTTTCTTATTTGGGCTCATTTTGGCTCCTTTCGACCCTAGCTACGCCCCTGGTCAACCCACTACTTAATATTATAAGGTTATTTTGGTCTTTAATTACTGGAGCCTGAAAGGCCATTCACTTTTATTTTTCGCTTTTTTTATGTTAATTTTTTTTTTTTGTGCAATTGACATTGTGAACAATAGTATTAATCATATTATTATATTTATTTTGTTTTCAAACATTCTTTCTGTTAGTTTTTTTTCTTACAGTAAAGATAATTTTATATTCCATCACATTTAAAATATTTCACAGTTTTTTATATATAGATTTTTATATATTTTTTCACTATTATAACTAATTATTTTGAAATAATAAATTATTATTAATGCTTATTATTATTATTATTATTAATTATTTTAAATTCTAATGTATTTATTTTATTTATTTAATGTATAACAGATATTTTATAAAGGTCGACATAAAATCATAGTTTGAAGAAATTGGTTCAAATTGTTATAATAACAATGATAATAATAATAATAATAATAATAATAATAATAGTTGTTTATTATTATTATTATTATTATTATTATTATTATTATTATTATTATTATATAGTTGATTATAAATTGTTATAAATTCAAATATATTTAATTTAATTTATTTATTTATTTATTTATTTATTGTTTTGTTTTATTTTATTTTATTTTTTAATTTAATTTTATTTATTTTTTTTTTTGTTCAATTTAATATGCCAGATATTTAATACTGTGCCACATATGACCTCATAATTTTAAGAATTTGGTTCAATTTCAACTTAATAATAATACTCAAACTACCGATTCCACTTTGAAAACCCTTCATTCATTTTCCTTCTTCTTTTTCCATTTATTTATCAGGGCCACAGCGGAATGAACCGCCAGCTTATCCAGCATTTAATACATTTTACAATTTATTACATTTACCAAAGAGTCTTCACTAATCTTCTAAATATACTCACAAAAAACATGTAACATGTTTAAATCTTTACCACAGGCCTCTATGTATGATTTTATGCAATATTCATTTGTGATATGTATATATACTATGTTAAGTGCTACATGTCACTGTCTGATCTCAGACCTAAGGGATTACAGGAAACATGAACACATTACGGCAGATCAGAAACACCTCCAGCCTCCGCTAGAGCAGTCATTTCCACAATATTTGTTGAAATTGGCGAGGATGAAAGGTTCTGCGTTTGCACTTGATATCTGACAAGCGACTACATGAAAGGCTTCATTTCAGTGTTTGGAAAAATTGCGCTTGTTGATTTTTGTAGGGGAGACACAACAACACCTGTGTCTCCTGAGGACGAGTTTACATCAAACAACAGCTTCAACCTATCAGCAAGTTCATTTCATTTCTTTGTTGTTTTCTGCTTAAAGTCATTGTTCTGATGTTCAGATTATAAGAAATCTTTCTTCATGTTTCATATTTGTCATGAGTTTGCGAGTTACACAATCTTGGCTCTGATGGTCTTTGGATTTTACTCATAAAATGAGTCTCCTTCCGCCTTTTATGTTGTTTTGTTTTTGTTTTGTTTGTTTACTCTGATCAAGGAGCATAGAATCACCAAGAGGCGACACTCTAGTGCAATTTGGGAAACAGCCACTAGGTGGCGCGGTAGCCATTTTGGAATGAAAGCTCCAATAGAACAACAGCATATTATAAGTCTGTAAAATAAACTATTAGAAGTGCTGATGATTGTGATAGTAAGTGTTGTATTTTCGTCTTTCAGGTAGTATCTCAGTTTTAATGCGCTTTTTAAATAAATTAATAAAAAACAAAGCAAAGCGGCTGCTCGCCATTGCGACAGCAATAAGATCCAATAGCCAGCCGATCGCTTTTCACTCCAAAATGGCGGAATCCGGGGCTGTGGCTGTTACAATGGAACGTTCTACATAAGCTTTTTGCTCTGATGAAGATGCACACATGTGCAGTACATCTGTGGCATATCAGAATGTTTTGTTTTGTTTTGTTTTGTTTTGTTTTGTTTTGTTTTGTTTTGTTTTGTTTTGTTTTGTTTTGTTTTGTTTTGTTTTGTTTTGTTTTGTTTTGTTTTGTTTTGTTTTGTTTTGTTTTGTTTTGTTTTGTTTTGTTTTGTTTTGTTTGTTGTTTCAGCTTGTAGTTTGAGGCATTTTGTTCATTTTTAAATGTTTTTTATTTTTGTTTGTGTGTGTTTATTATTTGTTTGTGAATTTATTTGTTTATTTAATTTAAATAATTTTAAAAATTTAAATTTAATATTATTTATTTTTGTTGTTTGTAGTATGATGCATTTTGTTTATTTTTTTTAAATGTTGTTTATATGTGTTAGTGTGTTTATTTGTGTTTATACATACATACATACCTACATACATACATGTGTGTGTGTGTGTGTGTGTGTGTGTGTGTGTGTGTGTGTGTGTGTGTGTGTGTGTGTGTGTGTGTGTGTGTTTATATTTATTATTATTTTATTATTACTAAATATGTATATTTATAAAACAGTTCTGTCTAGTTCTTGAATCTAATTGGCTGATAGCTGTGATATATTTGAATAATATCAGCACCCGTACAGCCTCTTTACCCTCTGTGTATTACTCCGCCCACATACAACCAGCAAAAAGCAGACACTACAGATCTAAAGTTTAAAAGACGCTTGATCAGCTGTTTAACTGTCAGCTTATGATTTGAATCCAAGGTGGAAGAAAGTAGTTCCCCATACAAAAGGGTTTTTGATACTCTCCATGTTTGATTTTGTTTTTATATACACAATTATGCCGTCAAACTGTTACTAAGTCAAACTAAGGCACTCAGCCTGCGGCCTTGTGCCAACATACACCTACCACCAGTGCCGATATATAGCCAAATCGCACTGCTACTCGTGTGATATTGCTATATATATATATATATATATATATATATATATATATATATATATATATATATATATATATATATATATATATATATATATATATATATAAAGAGAGAGAGAGAGAGAGAGAGAGAGAGAGAGAGAGAGAGAGAGAGCTGAACTAACTTTTTAAAATAAATTTTCTTTTTTTAATGTAATATTATTTTTAAAATATGTATTCAAATAACACCATAATATTAATTGTTTAAAGAATAATTTTAAAAAGTTATTTGTTTATAACTTATAATGTATATAATTATATATATAATTGCATATATATATTTATAATTATTTTCTTTGCATCTTTATTTAACTTTCTTTTAGAAAATGTTCAAATGTACTTTTTTTTTTTTACTCCATTTGAAGTTTGTTTTGAACATTTTTTTTTAAGAGCCTTTTATCAGCACATTTCTATCCTGCTATCCTGTCGTCATTTATTCAGGAAAACACTGCGATATTAATGCCCATTCCTGTCAAACACCTACCAGAAAAGCCTTCTTTTTCTCCGAGCCGATGACAAAGAAAGAGGTGAGAAAAGCAGGATGAGTCTGACAGCCTCTTCAAACCTGCTTTCTAAACTCAGCCCTTTAAAAGCCTGATCCAGGGTCAGTTTATACAACACAATCCTTCCACTTTCTTTTGCTTTTCTTTGACCATTTCAACCTGAAGAAACTAAATGGGGCTCCATAAAGTTCATCATCAGGTCTTCTTCAATGTTTTGTTAAAGTAAAACCGTCTTTTCAGACTATCCTGATTAAAAGCAGCTCAATGTCATCTTGCGTTTCTGTATTTTTAAAAAAAATAGTCTTTCAACTAAATCTTTACAAATGCTGTGAATGGTTAGACGTCATATAGAAATCACAAACTGCTCTTCAATTGATAATTTTTTTCTTTCAACTTCAGCTTTAAATTACATGTGAAGTTGTTATTTAAATATTTAATTAAAATGTGCAAAGATCATCCTTGAATGTGTTCAGACATTCAGAAAGTTTCCTTCAATAGAGTGCGCATTAGTGTCCTGTTCCTGTTTTGAAAGCAGTAAAGCTTCTTTTGAGCGAGAGTTATTGTATGTTGTCGTGGTCAAAAGTATTGGCACCCTTGATAAATATGCGCGATGAATGCTGTGAAAATAATACATGCTTTAGTTTACACTTAACACTAAGGGCTACTTTTTAATGATCTATGCGCAAAGTCTAAAGCACATGGTGCAAAAGCTTAAGGACGTGTTCAAATTCCATTTTTGCTATTTTAAGGTTGGAAAAATATGCTTTGTGCCATGGTACATGGTCTAACAGGGTGGTGCTTATTGTCTTAGTGAGTTGTGGGTGTGTTTTGAGCATAACAAACATTAAACTAATCGGAGTCTCATCTCCCATTCCCTTTAAGAGTCAGTTGTGTCACGCCATGCCACATTTGCTATTGACATGATGGACTTTGTAAGTGTAAAAACTGAACACTTAACTAGTGAGAAAACAGTTAAACAGATTATCTGTAGCACAACAATAAAGAATGAGCCTCCTTCATTTAGCCTCTTTACTTTCTCTTTACTTTAGGTCTTTACTTCACTCCTTTACTTTCGTGGTGTTGTACACACTCCACTTAAGACATCCAATAGCCTACATATTTAATTTTGTTTGTTAAGCACAAAGATTTGTTTCAAAGCTATTTCTAAATTCAAGGTTTAATTGCCAGCAAATGAATAAGCGAACAATAATAACCAAGTGTGTTTAAAAACACTTTAGTTATAAAATTGGGGTTGCGCTGGTCTGAAAATAGCAACGAATTGCATGTTACATTTTCATTGTATATTAGATGATAAACGCATCATATGTTTTTGTCTGCAGGGTCTCTGTCGTGTCGTGCAGATGAGTTTGTGTGTAATAATACACTGTGTAAGCTGCTGGTTTGGCTGTGTGATGGTGAGGACGACTGCGGAGACAACTCTGATGAAGATGCGCACATGTGCGGTACGTCTGTGGCATGTCAGAATGTTTTGTTTTGTTTTGTTTTTTATTAGATGTTGAGTTTTTTTATTCCGCATTCATTTGTTTTTTTATTCATTCATTTTGTTTTATTTTTTATATATATTTTGATTGTTTTATAGATTTATTGTAGGTTTATATTTTAGTTAAGCTATTTATTTTTTGTATGGACGTTACTTTGTTGTTGGTCTTGTCGTTTCTGTGTATGTTTTATTCATTCAAACAATTTTCTCCTGCCTGTTTTTTGTCAAATAAACATCTATAATTGAAAAAAATATATTTAATTACTTTAAAAATATTTATTTATTCATTCATTCACTCATTCATTCATTTTCTTTTTGGCTTAGTTCCTTTATTAATCCGGGGTCGCCACATGAACCGCTAACTCATGCAGCATATGTTTTACGCAGCGGATGCCATTCCAGCTGCAACTTATCACTGAGAAACATCCACACACTCATTCACACACATACACTACAGACAATAGCCTACTCAATTCACCTGTACCACATGTCTTTGGACTTGTGGGGACACCGGAGAACCCGGAGGAAACCCACAAGGACAAGAGTAAACTCCACACAGAAATGCCAACTGACCCAGCTGGGGGACCAGTGACTTTCTTGCTGTGAGGCCATAGTGCTACCCACTGCTCCACCACGTCGACTATATTGATTCATGTTCTTATTTTATTTCTAGTTTTATGTCTCTTTATTTAGATAAATGTAGCACACACACACACACTATATATATATATATAT